TCTTGAAAATTAGACGTGAAACTCGATTGAAAACCAGAATGTAATACATCGCTGGGAGTCACAAATTTTTTCAAATCTGCCACTTTAAAATTGCACGCGACTAAATTTCCGTTAGTATCTAATTTCACGCCGGTAAGGAATCTCGAAATGTCTCCAGGTGCGGGACCAACATAAACTTTCCCGTCCCTCAATATTTGTCTCAAAGTGTGTGCACTTTCATTAAATACAGCCGAATATGTATTATCCATTTTAACGTAAAAAATATCGTCAAGCCTGAATCCAATTGATCCCAATATTGTACGAAATTCAGCAAGTGTTTTATCGGGCCAAGTAGAGGTCATTTTCAACCGCCTTGGACGCCTTTCATCATCTATATGTATAACATCTATATCAGGTTCTGAGCTTCCAACATAAATATAACTGTCACGATAAATAATGCTGTCAATTGTGAGATTTGTTTCCACTGATTTATCAATTGCTGCGTTTTGGTACTTTTCTTGCGTATTTATATCTTCCACGGTATGAATATAAAATATATCTGATGAGTCAATATTTAAAAAATTTCTTGCTTCCGATAATGATAGATTTTTATCCACGATCCCAACTCTCAGAAGACCCGTAAGTACATTTACAATTGTTATTTGGTTACTTCCACTGTCGACTGACCAAATAGCACAAAATAACAACACTACTGAAACACACTTCATTTTCGTACTGTTTTCCCTACTGCAGCTGCCCATCCACACCAAAGTATAATTGTAGACTGATCCAGGAACATAGTGTTTACATCAAATATATGACTATTGTGATAACAAATACATTAACATCTTCTCGCCGTCGTTGAATACAAGTTAAAACGCGGATGAGCAACTTCTGTTTCAAAAGACGGTACTTTATTTCAAAACTAAAGTTTTGCACAGATCTACATACATTGAACTCCGACAAATTTGGTCCTGGATTTGGTTTAAGATCCGATATTAAGGATTGGCTTCCTTGATCGGCTTTATCTTCCTTCTATCTTTGGCAGCTTTGTGCTTCAATGATGCAATATGCTGTTTTTCTTGGAATATTTTTTTCCTTGAACTGCACATTCACAATCACTGACCCATCAGACAGAACTACTTTGGGAAATCCGGCTTTCATACGCAATATACATAAATTTATAGCGCGTTTCTTTTCTAATCATTTCCAAGAATTTTGAAACAACTGATAACTTTGAATACCACGGACGAATGATCATTTAAGAATAAATTAAAGCGTTTTTTTTATTAGTCATTGAGAGTACATTAATGAGTCAGTGTTGATCGTTTGATGAAAATAAACAACTTGAAAGTCAAATTACTTTCAATTCAACGCATTAATCTTCTGTTTTTTTGTTGTTATTCGTATCAGAATGATTTTCATATGCCACAGCTAAATTATTATCAGTTTTGATAAAATATGCTCGACTATGCACTTTCGATCAAAATATGCTCTAAGGAAAGACATATGCACAATATGCATGCAACATGCATTTACATGACTATCCGAGCCCTAGTTATTATTAGAATAGACAAAAGCCTGAAAGAATGCAATCCACGCAAGACCAGCTCCGCATTTTAGTTTTAAATATGCATGGATAATTCACTCTGAATTTAAAAAAAAAATTTTATTCACATTCTTTTTTCGCATGCTAAAATGTTAGAATTCGCTTAGTTTATGAAATGTACCACACAAACATGAATAAATATTTGTGTTTACACAATTTTGATTTGAAATTCGATCAGTTTCGAACAACCAGCTATGCTATCAGGTAAGCTTGCATAGCGTAGTGGTTATAGCCATGGTACAATGTATAATTGTACCATGGTAATACATACATAGCTATGGGCTTGCATTCCTAAGACCCGGGTTCGACCCGCGAAGGCAATGTTTTTTTTTTAAATTAAAGTGAGGAGTATCTATATGAATTTCATGCTTAATTCATATGACTGTTCTACATAAACTGTGCGTAAAAAATTCGTTTGCGACATCAACAGTTTGTTTTGTAACAAAAATATGCTTTATGGCAGTATTTCCCTAAGTGTGGGTCGCGACCCACTGGTGGGTCGCGGGTAGATTTTTGGTGGGTACTATTGCCATATACATAGATCTATCAATTTTTTGTGTAGATGGGTCGCGGTCTCGACAAGTTTGGGAAACACTGCTTTATGGCATGAAAATAGCGGAGCTTGATCTTTTTTTGCCGATGGTTACTATTACTATCACCTTTAAATTCATGTTTTTTCTTTCGGAAACTTTCGAAAAGGAAATTTGACCCACATAAAAATATAATAAGGTTTCATGATTTCTCTAATTTGAGTGTACCTTGTTTTTTGGAACTTTTTTTTTAATTTAAGCTTATTCTAGCTTATTTTTTTTTCAAAAATCTAGCTTATACGGGCGCTCATTACATGGCAACACTGACCGTAACTATATGAAGGTGGTCGCCGAAAAGTTTCTTTGGTTTCTGTTGAGCAGATTTTCTACTGGGCATATTTGGCGATTCCAAATGAGCAGATTTTCTGCTGGGCACTTGGCAATTCAAAATGAGCAGATTTTCTACTGGGCACTTTGCGATTTCACATGAGCATCAGGCGATCATAACTATTCAGAAGGTGGTCGCCGAGAAGTTTTTTGGTTACATATTGAGCAGATTTTCTACTGGGCACTTGGCGATTCAAAATGATCAGATTTTCTACCAGCCATAAGCCCCGTTAATAAATGTTGTCACTATTATGCATCTGCTGCTAGCTGTGGATTATGTTTGCCTGGTGTTTGAAATCTAAAAACATAGCGATTTGACGAACAAAATCAGCCGTCTTGGGCGGGCGAAGTGTGGAATTTAAATTTGAAGCATCAGGCGATCATAACTATTCAGAAGGTGGTCGCCGAAAAGTTTCTTTGGTTTCTATTGAGCAGATTTTCTACTGGGCACTTGGCAATTCAAAATGAGCAGATTTTCTACTGGGTACTTTGCGATTTCACATGATTATCAGGCGATCATAACTATTCAGAAGGTGGTCGCCGAGAAGTTTTTTGGTTACATATTGAGCAGATTTTCTACTGGGCACTTGGCGATTCAAAATGATCAGATTTTCTACCAGCCATAAGCCCCGTTAATAAATGTTGTCACTATTATGCATCTGCTGCTAGCTGTGGATTATGTTTGCCTGGTGTTTGAAATCTAAAAACATATCGATTTGACGAACAAAATCAGCTGTCTTGGGCGGGCGAAGTGTGGAATTTAAATTTGAAGCATCAGGGGATCATAACTATTCAGAAGGTGGTCGCCGAAAAGTTTCTTTGGTTTCTATTGAGCAGATTTTCTACTGGGCACTTGGCAATTCAAAATGAGCAGATTTTCTACTGGGCACTTTGCGATTTCACATGATTATCAGGCGATCATAACTATTCAGAAGGTGGTCGCCGAGAAGTTTTTTGGTTACATATTGAGCAGATTTTCTACTGGGCACTTGGCGATTCAAAATGATCAGATTTTCTACCAGCCATAAGCCCCGTTAATAAATGTTGTCACTTTTGTGCATCTGCTGCTAGCTGTGGATTATGTTTGCCTGGTGCAGTGTTGCCAGTTTAACTTATTATAAGCTAGTTCTAGCATATTTAAAACTAGAAAAGGTTGTAAAATTTCCATGTAGCTTATAGCTTAAAATATTTCTTATTTTAAAATTCATCTAGCATAGTCTAGTTTTATAAGTATTTGCGACATCAACAGTTTGTTTTGTAACAATAATATGCTCTGTGGCATGAAAAAAGCGGAGCTTTAAGAACATATTTATACGTAAAATAAATATAATAAGGTTTCATGATTTCTCTAATTGAGTGTAGCTTGTTTTTTGGAACGTTTTTTTTTAAATTTAAGCTTATTCTAGCTTATTTTTGGTTACTTATGAGATATGTGAATGATATTAATGTTGAAATTACATTTATTTAATTGATTTCTCTATGTCTGAAGTACACAAAAGTCTTCAAATATCGATATACAATGGGATTAATATGGGATTAATAGGTAAATACTTATCACTTAGCTCCCAGAAATAAGTTGAATGCATATAAGCGCCTTTCTTCCGAAGTAAAAAAGCAAGTGGCAAGTGGTACGAGGGACACGTCATGGCCGGTGCGTGGTACAGGGTGGCCGATATGAGGTACAGGGTGGCCGGTATGAGGTACAAGAGACGCCCGGTACGTGGCCCAAGGGGGCCGGTACGTGGGCCACAAACACGCGATTTTAAATCGCTAATATTTATTACAAACCAACACTATCCGTTTGTTTAATATGATTATACTGTTAAACAATCTTATATAGTCACATATTAACGTGTGACCTTCCAAAATTATAAAATTATTTGAATTTGATCGAACAATACATACGGCACACAGCTTACATGACCGGTACATGGGCCACTCACCTTATTATTTCGTCATTTATTCTTGTAACACATTAAATGATCACTATTAACTTCTCATTAATTACAACTTCTTAAGGATTTTAGAGGCCAAATGTTGCGCAAGGAAAAACAATTTATTACAGGCCATAAAAAAAGTGGCACTCCTGCTGGTAACTCGTATCTACATATTTCATGACCACATAGTGTCTATTCCCGGCACCCTGATTCTGATTGAGCATTTAATCTTTAACCGGCCCCCTGATGCTCAAATAATTTTCTACTTGAGTCCTAGACGGCAAAGGGTGGCGTAAACCACTTAACACCCCATATATATTCTGTATATCTTGCACACAGCCGGCGGTGGTTGGAAAATCAAAGTCAATGCTTTCACATTCGCAAAGGGAATTTTTTTTGGGGCGACATTGTCTGTTGTTGTCATTAGTGCAAGTGTAATGAATATCCATTGAAAACCAATTTGTGCTCGTATCTGTGTCCAAGGGGCGTCTTCGGACAGTTTCATTGTCAAGTTGCAAATTTGGGGAATATTTATGGCCGCTCCGGGGAAATAATTACCTGCACTCTGGCCTCGCTGAGTCCCAACCTCTGACTCAATTCCTCGCGCATAAAGGCATCGGGATAGTGCGTTTCCTCGAAGAGTCGCTCCAGTTCGTTGAGCTGATCCAGTGTGAAGTTGGTCCGGGATCTCCTCTGTTTCGTATTTACCACCGATGCATCCAGGTGGTCGCAGTGCTCCCGCACTCTACTCGGTTCCGGGGATCCACACTTTTCTGGTAAGATCGGCTTGTCGGGAGCTAATTTCGGTGTGTTACTGTCATCCGTGCCCTCGCTTATGTTAGCGGCTACTACTACAGAGATTTTTGGATCTAATGATTAAAAATAAATATAAATAGGGGTCGACGTGATTAATCATTTATGTCAGAATGTTAAAGGTGTAACTTAGTCCCTTTATACATATTTGTATCTTTTGTAACTTGAAGGCAAAGCAAAAAGAAAGTTCAAAGCTTAATATTATATATACGCACTGTTACCTCGCAGACGTAGACTTAACCTAATACAAACTACGCCTTTCCCGACTGAATTATAAGCTTGAAAATAGTTTAGGTATATAACACTTATAACATATATTTTTTTGTTTAAATAAACCATTTAAACTTCATGAAGTCTTGATCATCCATAACTTTAAAGTTTAAACTGCAAGGGTCTTTAAAATTATTTTTAAGAGGGGATCGTTTTCAGTTAAAGAGCTTAACTAGAAGCCACTAATTTCTTTCACAAAAACTAAAAAGTTATAATAACACGATTGTTTTTCGAAATAATATTTTTCGCACAAAATTAGTTTCAGACTGTAAGAGCTGTAATCAGTGGCGTAGATAGCTTTTTGATATGGGGGGGGGATATGACTCAGAATGTGTGTTCCTTTTTTAATTTTGAGAGTTTTACCATTAATTGCCGTATTGCACATTGAGACAAAATAAATATTGGCGCTTCAAAAATATTATGCTTCCATTAAAACACATGCCCGGAAAAAATTCGATTTTATCATCTTATAATTCTCAGACCCAAGGGGGGAGGGGGGGTATTGATATTGATATTGAAGACATTTTACATTTTTTTAATTATATAAGAAGGGTTTCAATAAGCTTTGGGTTGATAATCTATGCAGTTTTTTCGCTGATTTTTTTTCCTACATCACCAGTCAGTACTTTATCATATTTATATTCACGTTTCAAACTTTTAAGTTTTATTAAGCAATTAACGTCTTCTTTAATTAAAAAATAAGTATTTGCATTTGATTTGCGTTGTGAGTTTTTTTTGTAAGGAACGGAAAATGATGAGTTGCCCCTTCCGACGGGAATGATTTATGTTAACAGAGCGTTAATTTGTTTTACACGACGTAGTCCTTATCCCAATTACCTTCCGGCTGGGAGTCCACGTCCAAATCTTCAGATATTAGCCAGTTTTTGGGTTTGGGCTCGACAGCCTTGCGAAAACTCGGGCTTATTCTATGTGTTTCCGCTACTTCCTCCGAATGGGATTCCTCAATAGGTTCCGGATCAGCGGGAAGGATCGTATTGCTCTCCGAAACGGACAAATCGGTGATGTCTATATCCACGGATTCTTCACCACTCGCGCAAGTTTCAGCGTAACTTCCGCCGGAACTTAAGGAATTAATGAATATGGAGTTTTTCACTTCCGTGGGCTTTTTAATTCGCGCGCCCGTCATCGAATTAAATAAGGCGTGTACACTGTTATTGGTTAAATTAAATTCAAACGATTTTGTCACAAACTGTGCCAACTGCTCCATGCTTTTTGGGTAAATAAATGATTGCAACAGCTTTTTTATGCGTTCGAGCATAAGTTGCTGTAACGAAACTTAGTTGCCGACTATTTTATAGTCAACACCAATGGCATTCGGCGTGCCTAATCACTTCACTTGCTCTTTATTGCTGCGCATGTCATTCGGCTTATCCTTATTGAATTCTTTTGGTTAAATTAGGCGAGAGAGCTGGGCCATTAAGTGGGCTTTTTTCTAATATCAAGTAGACGTGGAATCCTTCGACTGTGTGCTGCTGTGGGCAAAATAAAACTAGTTCAACATCTTGACATTATTCAATTACCATTTTTATTCATCCTCTTAGATGGCGCACACATTGCTCTCCCTCTGCTTTGGCGCTCTCTCGCGAGTCCTTAAAAAAATCCACCCTTGTAAGTTAGGTGAAGTCCTGCCTACGGTCCTTTAAATTGCTCTCATTGGTCTACCGAGTCTATAGCGCCGTAATTCCAAAGTGGTTGCACGCTCAGCGCTTCCACCTTACTTTCCTATTATTGGTTATAGCCATTATAGAATACAATTTATCCATTAGGCGGCTATGAAACCCATTATAATTGCAATAAATGTTTCGGTGTAGGAGGAGTTTGCCTTTTGGCTAGGAGAAGTTTATCAAAGGATTATAGCCCTTCGCACTTCATAAATACTTTTAAATTCGAGTGCGATTAACATGTAAGTCTACCGACGGGGCTTTTTTTTATTTCCGGAAGTTTGTGTATGAGGACCTGTTTTATTGATCTGTGGGCGGGTCCAAAAGCTATAAAATACTTGGCTCTTTGCCCCGCCCCAAACATTCATTACTTCAACTTTGTGTTAATCACACTGTGCAACAAACGTGACATAATGGCTTTTTAATTGCGTATTTACTCAACAAGTTTACATCTATACAAGTATAGTGCCCTATTTTAACTCAAAGTCCTTTTTAATGTGCCACTTTGTTGCACAGTGTACATTGGAATCATTAAATGTTTTGTTTCACTGAAAGTTATCTTGGATTTAACTTAATTATTTTTGCAGCTAATAAAAATACTATATACCATTTCTTAACGAACATGAAATATAATTTTTCTGAATCATTTATAAACTTTATTTTAAGTTTCTTTATGTGTAAAAAACAATAGAGAATAGAAGATTACACTATTGCATAAGCAGCATAATTGGCAATTCCGCACATATTCACGCCTTTTCGGATTCTCATTAAACCAGATTCGCCCCAATGCGGACCCCACCAATTTTGTAGTATCCAATAATCCTTGCCAAAGCCAATTATTAACATTGCGTGATTTACAGAAGCTGCTGAGCATGAGGGATCATCATAGATACCGTCACTGAAATGATAATACATAATAATTGTTTTAATATTTTAAATATCAAAATATACATATTTAGGTCTATTATTATATTGTCTATCATTCAATAATTACCTGTACAGCTGAAAGGTCTTTGGAGTTGCGTTAATTGATATTGCTACTGGTCCAATATGAGTTACTGCTGCTTGAATCGCTTGTTCATCTCGAACAGGAAGTATGGCCCAAGATGTTACATTGACTACCGATAGCTCCGGCACAAACTGACATCTTCCCTTCTATAAATAAATTTTAAAAAATAAAACGTATTAGACAAAATTATGAATATTACAAATCTTAGAAACATCGGCGGTAAAAAAAAAAACATTTTTGGTTTTTTTTACTTAATAACGTTTTCCCAGGGCAATATTTGTAAAATATATTTTACCAATTATAATTAATGTATGTTAAGCACAATCTTATTTTTAGTGCTTTGTATTGGTCAAGCACAAAAACAAAATTACAATTATCAAGAAAATCCATATAATTTTGATCATTTCTTATAAATTCTAAAAATCATAAATACCTTTCCGACATAACTATAATCCTCAGCCCTCATTATGCCTCCAGTGTGCTGCAAATAGTTTAAGGTGTTTCGTAAGGATCCACCAACACATCCTTGATTTCCGTACGAGACACTGCAGTCCACAATTTGTTGCTCACTCAAATTTATTAATTTTCCGGTACGTTTGAAAACCTGGCCTTCGATGCTCTCAGCAATGGAGAAAGCATAGCACGAGCCGCAAGATTGCTGATTATGTGACGGAGTTATAAATCCCTTACTTCGCCAATCCAAACTTTCGGGAACATTTGTCATTAAAGGGGATCCAACTAATTCGGCAATATTGTCCTTACTGTCTTCTATATTGCTTTTAAGTAGTCGCAGATATCCTTTTAAATAACCATCTGTACTCTGTTAAATTATATTTAAATTTGGTAAACATGATACAGAGTTATTAAAGTTGAGGCCAAAAATTATTACCATGTCAGCCATAATATTGGGTTTCAATCTAAAGCTTGTTTGACCCTCTTTGAAATGTTGATTATGTTCCTCAATAACTTTGTAGTTTTCTTCAAATGCCTTGAAACTACGGACTTCATCAAAGCTTCGAAGATATGTGCGATTATTCTTGTTCTGTTTAAGCAAAGATTTATTTATTATGTTTTATTTTAAGAATACGGTATAGTTTCTTACTTTAAATTTTTCGAATTCCCCTCTGTAATTCAAAGAAGAAGAATTACCTTCGCTTAAATTGGTAGATACAATTTGATAAAATAGACAAAAGAATCCGCTAAATAATATAAACCTCCACATAGTGAACTACAAATCCAACTCATTACATTTCGCTTATGCAAATATAATAAATATGCAAACTATGCAGTTTTTACCTCGCAATGCATACGAATCAAAAAACAAAAAAAAATTGATTGGGAGACCGGAGTGGTGAACGCCCTTTCAAATTTAACTATAAAATTCTACCAATTTAAAAATGTTAAATTGTAAACACAAAAATGATAAATATTTCTAAAAGTCTTAAAATGCCGTTAATAATATTTATTATTTATAGTGGTAAAATATGAATTAGTTACAATATAATTTAGTCATAATGAGTACATATATTAAAGTTCTGAAAATATATATTCACAAAGTACAGTAGAATCCCGATTATCTGAACATCGATTGTCCGAACATCCGATTATCCGGACTCATTCGTTTGTCAAAAATCTATAAGAAGTTATTTCCAACCAAAATTTTAAATTACATATGTAGGTATTATGTAATTCATTATCCATCGTTATAGCTTGTTTTTTATATATCGTATTAACTAATTAAAACCCATTCCATAATAAAAAATTATTAAAAATCTTAAATAATATTTGATTAGCTTTAAAATGGGTTATCCGGATTTTCGATTATACGGAACACCCCTAGTTTTAATTGATCTGGATAATCAGGATTCTACTGTATTCATAAAATTTAAGAAATAATTTTTTTTAATCATGGGTGGTTGATGCGCCTAAATTCAATTGATGTTCCACTTTTGTTCAAAATTCCAATCGTTTCATGGGCTTTTTATTTTTTTCAAACTCGACACCATAAACTCTAGATTTTTTCCAACTAAATATTTTTCAGTAGTAGCACTTAAAAAAAAATTTAATAACTATATGATTTAAAAACACTACACGACCTTTGTCATGTACGTCAGACGAGCATCAGTGTTCCTTTTCTTTTGTGTCAGAAATGATTAAAAGTGTGTCGTCTTAGCCTTAAAATCAGCTGTTTTGCATAACATTGCGAATCCGGTTGATTTGCTCCAAACAAAACAAAACCAGGACCATGCTAAAAACCGCTGTTAGCCGCTTATTACAAATAAATTCAGTAAGTTAATGAACGTTGCAACATAGTACATGGCGTAATCCAGAAATTTCAGGTGAAATGTGGTGGCCGGGCGTGTTCGGTTCGCAATATCAACCTGATTCCCATGGTAGTTGAGCAAACTGGCCGCGGTGAAAGGGCCTACGACATATTCTCGCGCCTTCTTAAGGAGCGAATTATCTGCTTGATGGGCAATATTACCGATGACATCAGTTCGACCGTAGTGGCCCAATTGCTATTTCTGCAATCGGAGAATGTCAACAAGCCGATCCACCTGTATATCAATTCCCCGGGTGGCGTTGTAACCGCTGGCCTGGCAATCTACGATACGATGCAGTACGTCAAGCCACCGATAGCCACGTGGTGCGTGGGGCAGGCCTGCTCAATGGGATCCCTCCTTTTGGCAGCCGGTGCTCCGGGAATGCGATACTCCTTGCCCAACGCTCGGATCATGATACACCAACCCTCTGGTGGCGCACAAGTAAGTTACTTTCTTGGTTTTATATAATCCTTCAGTTATGTAGAATTTTTATTACCCAGGGTCAAGCCACAGACATCCTAATACACGCAGAGGAAATAATAAAAATTAAGCGTCAGCTTACCAACATTTATGTGAAGCATGCCAATAACTCCTATGACGAGATGTGCGGACGTATGGAACGAGACCACTTTATGACCCCCGAAGAGGCTAAGGTTTTGGGTATTATAGACCATGTCCTTGAGCATCCGCCAGAGACGGTTTCCGAAACCGGACCGGCATCAGATGGTGGCGTTACGTCTGGCAAATCCATGCCAGAAGAGACGGAGAAGAAGCGAAGCAAACAGGCGGCCTAATATTCAATCAAGTGCATAAACCAAAATTCAAATTTAAGCTTAAAAAGATTTGGAGCCTTTAGTTTGCGATAAAATGTACATTTTCCAATTAAATCAAGGGAGAAAACCATGTCTAGATTTTTGCTTTTATGTTAAATACTGTTGCATAATTTGTTTTTGGTGTGTTTATATAACGATTTCCCCAACACAGAAATGGTGAATCTAGAAATCAAGCATTATCGTCTCTAATAATTTTTCATCCAAGGTTATTCACTCAATTTCCCTCAGCAAGGGTATAAAAACAATATATTTATAGTGAAACACAAACACACTAGAATACTCCGTTTTGTTTGTTTGGCTATCGTCGTTTTTGTACCTTGTGAATATTTTTTATAATATACGGCTTCAAGTCGATCTGCATTTATTTCTTATTAGAAAATCTAAAAGCTATATCAGAAAAGAGATACTTGTTTGTGCGCACACGCATATTCTTAATTAAGTAAAGGAATCAGAAAAACAAGTTTCCCTTTTAGCTTTGATCCATTACGATAATATCTGAGCTCCCGGTGATGGAATCCTTCTGAATGTAATCGTAGATCTTGCTCAGTTCGGGTGTTTCCTTGATCGACTTGAGGAAATCCACTAACTGCTGATTTTTGTCTGTGGAAAAAATAATACCGCTTAGTTTCTATGCAGATTTAGTATGTGACCGCAATTTACTCACTTGCTTTGGGTATTTGCGAAAGGGCCGAAACTGCACGAAGAGCGGAACGCTTTAGTTCGTCCTGCTTTTCGTACTCCTGTTTAACAGAATTTGCCTTCACCTTGTGGGTGCACGTATCACGTAGTTGCTGTATAAATTGATCGAGTCCTAAATGGAAGAAGCCAGTTAGTAAAGTCTTTTCGCCAGCAGGATATCAACTCACTTAGAAGAACCTTATCCGGACACAAGGTAGCCAAACGAGCCGTCATTAGGTACGTCAGCATCTTGATGTCGTAGTGGTCGCAGAGACCAGCCTGCACGTGGTCCAAAAACTGCATGACATCCACACGATCCAAGCCCTGCTCGAGTAGTGTGTACATGCACTCAAATGCCGCTTTGCGAATATCGAGACCGTCGTCAACGGTGTGTTTGAAGGGACCCATCTCCACCTCCCTGATCAGTTCGCTCTTTACCTTCGTCTCTGAGTAAAGCCATGGCAACAGGGTGGGCAGTAAATCGCGGACCAAGCTCGGTTTGTTGTGGACCGCCGAGTTGAAGGCCACGAGGGCGACTCGACGCACTTGTGGCTCCGGATCACGCAGAGCAAACAAAAACTCTCCAATATTCTGCTTGAGCAGCACATCGATCGGTTGGGGCTGATCGGAGATGGTGAACTTCACGGAGGAGACCACCACGGTACGCATGGTGGCGCTCTCCGAACGCAAAGCCTGCTGCAGCTGCGGTAAAAGCTCGTCGGGATTGACCAGCACAAGTTTTCCCAGGCACTCGGCCACCACGTTGCGGGATCCCTCCTCGGAGCACTCGCAGTGCTTGAAGAGCTGGCTCCAAATGGATGGCACCGAGGGCAGCAACTGAGCCAGTCCGCTGGGCGAAACAGACAGTGACGAAATTACCTCCTTCAGCGAATGCAGTAGCAAATACTGTCGCTTTGGCTGCACCTCAATCTCGTTCAGGATCAGAGGAAGGTATGTTTGCAGGCTGCCCACGGACACAGCCCCGAGGGCATGCGAAGCGGCCGCTTTTACATCCTCCGATGTGGCACCAAAGCATTCAATAATTGTCTGCGGCAGCACCTGTATCGTGCTCAGATCGAAGTGCCTACCTATCTCGCCGATAGTGAGTAAGCAGAAGATAATCTCGGTGTCATTGCGCTTCTGCAGATCCGTGATCAGTTTGGTGGCCAACGGGGTCGCAACCTGGGGACACTGTTGAGTGAGAGCCGCAATGCACTTGGCCGACGAATGGTACGCCTGCTTGTGCAACTGCACCACCTCACTGGGTGCCCCTGGGGTGGCTCTAGAGTTTGCATCGCCGTTGCCACCCAGAACGGGGGCCATTAGCTTCGAGACCAGCGAATGATAGTCCAGTCCGGTCAGCTGAGTTTGCACCAAGGCCTGGAACAGCTCCAAAGTGCAATTCAATGCAGATCCCTGTAAGAAATTTCGCGGTTATTAGTTGTTCTTAAGCGGAAATAAAAGCAGCAGCTGTTTTTGCTGATATTTAGCTGTAGTTTTACACTTGTTTCTACCCACCTGCAGCAATGGAGAACGAACCAAAATCAGTACGGAACGCAGGAACTGGTCATGGATGCCGACCAAAGCTTGGGGCTGCCTGCGAGCTACAGTACTTAGCAAGGTCAGCGAATACTGTGCGACGTGCAAGTCCGAATCCGATATTAGAGGTGGAATCTCAACAATGGCAGTCTGCAAGAGATTTGCCTCGAAGTTGCTCGAATAGTTTATCACAATCTTGTTAATCAGATCGAGAGAGTGCAGCTTCAGGGCGCGGTGGTTCTTACGCAGGAATGTGCCCAAAGCGGGTAGCACGTCATGCAGAATGGGAGTCAAGTCAATGCGCAGGGATGAAGCTGCGATTAGGGTCAATGCCTTTACGCTGCTTAGCCTGGTTACTTCGTTCTTCAGGCGCTCCATGAAGATGGGCAGGCAAACGGCCAGTTCGTTCTGCAGCATGTCGCCCATGTTGGCAATGATCTGACCCATACAGGCAATGGCTCGTTCCTTGACCTCCTGGTCGACATCCGTTACCTTCAGTTTCTGCAAGGTGCACGAGTAAACCGGTCCTACGAAAGAGGGAGCATCGAAGTCGGACTTGGCAGCACTACCCTCCAATGGCCGAATAACCTTGACCAACTGTTGCAGCACCAGCAGAGCCTCTGTGGCGATCTTATAAAACGGATCGAACACCGAAGTCACTACAAGGGGCACTAGTGAGGGTATGTGTGGATGAAAAGCATGCGGCGGATGTCCCTGCAGCAGCGAGTACAAGAATCCTAGAGACTCGATCTTCATGTTGCTGGTTGAGCTTTTGTCATTCAGTGAATAGCTTATGCCCGGCACAATACTTTCCAAATAAGGTCCCAAGGCGCCTGGCAGCGAGTTCAACAGCTCACGCAGTAAGAGGAAGCAGTCTTGACGCGTTTTCATCGATTTTTCCCGCATTAGCGGCTGTATGGCTTTTACGATAAGCGGAAGCTGTTCAATTAGCAATGACGTCGGCCCCGAAACCTGATCCATGGAATCAGGGTCGTTGGCTACGTCGTCGCTGAGGCGAGTGTTCTTCAGCAAAGCCACATAGGCATGGAATATGTCGGATTTAACATTCTCCTCGCGCTCCTTGAATCGAGCAATCAAAGCCGGGCTCAAGCTGCGATAGAAGTCCTCGATAAGCTCCTGGCGTGTGGAAATTAAAACCTCCAAGCACTTGGCCGCAGCGCGACGAACTTTCCAGCTCATGTCATCATCATCGCTGTACTCCTCACTGTCCACGTACTCGTCGTCCTCCGTGTCCATGGCATTGCCAGTATCGCCATCATCGGTTTCATAGTTGTAGTTCGGGTCGTAGGTGATATATTTCAGGCACAGTTCAAGAATCTATAAAACAAGCATATTAACACTAAATTGCTTACTTTGTTAATTACCGCTTACCATGGGAATGTGCGGATTAATGGCATCTGGGCAGCGCATAACGAATGCCTCGCAGGCTTGCAGACAAAACTCGCGCAATTCATCATCGTCTCGTTGACTGTACTGGCTCAACAACAGCATAGATCGATCAATATGATTACATAGCCGATGGCCAGCCTGTCGACTAAAAAGCAAAGTTATAGCAGTTTTTTGCAAAAACAAATCAGTGTTGGCCCTCACTTAAGTAAATTAAATTAGAAATGTGTGCTACCCCTTGGTAGCTTAAATTACTCAGCTGCTTTTACAACTCAACTGTTTCTTAAGAAACGAAATAATTGCACTAAGCCAGATTGAACTTTTAAACAAACAAACAAACTGAGCAAGTAAACAATAAAAATGTTAATCTAAGTTGTTCATGAAAAGAAAAACGAAATAAGCTTGCCAACAGTCGTATAGCGCACTTCTGACAAACTTACCATATTGAAGCCAGGCATTGAATATAGGTTCGAATGGCAGCTGGATTTGGTGGGTTCTCTAGACCATCGAGCAGATGATCGATTACGCCGTTGTAGGCGTTGCTGTTGGCCTGAATTAGCAAAAAGGAGAGAGCTACGATAGTGCGCTTGCGAACAGCCTGTCGCGAGGAGGCCAACTGAGGCATTAAAGCCTTCAGGATAGTGCTGTGAAAGGGAACCAGAAACTCTCCAAAACGGGAAAGCAAGTCGGCCAGAATGTCAAGCGACTCCAGTTTTACAGAGACATCCTCCTGAAAAAATTTTGCAAGGGGATTATAATAAAAAAAACAGGCCCAGCATTCACTAAAAAATCCACCTTTTCAATGGCCGTGCTTAGTTTTCCCGTGATCCTCTGGCACACATTTGGGGCCAGAGAGTTCGATGACTGGGGCAATTCGGCAATCACTGTCTTTAAGCCAATACTCGAGATATCCCGTAGCTGCTCCGTGTTCGACATCATGTTGGCGCATAGGGAATCCACAATAGTCTCCACCTGGATTTCCTTTACCTTGTTGACCAGCGGACCCAAACATTTTACAGCCAAATTCTGGACCTCGCCGTTCTTATCCTCCAGCAGTTTAAGCACCATTCGCACAACCTTTTTCTCCGACTCGTCGTCCAGAATAATGCTGTCTTTCTGTAGCTCCGTCATCAGATCGTTTGTTGCCATAAAACGGAAATCCTTGTCCGTCGACGTCATCTGCATCAGACCAAGGCTCCAATATATTTCATTATATTGCAAAAATAAAATTCTATACATACTTTTTCCAGCAGATTCGCAATTTGGTGGTACTGATGTGACGCCATAGCGAAGCCTTTGAAAAGTTTTATTAAATGCAGTTAAGTGAGAAGTAAAATATTGAATATTTTTGTAGGGTTGCCCTATTTTAATATTTGCTAGACTTAAAAGCCTACTGAAAATTTTCCGGCGAAGAATGTCCAAGTTTTATATTCACTCAAAAGCAATTTTGTTATAAAGGCTGCTTGTTTGAGGGGCCAGCTCGCAATAACAAAAAACGTCAATAATAACTTCCTAACGCCTTCTGATGCCGACAAGCAAATTGTAATAATTTGCTGGTATTTTTTAGGATGACTAAAATCAAGAAAACAAGAATAAGGAGGGCAATGGTAGGATAATAATATATGTTTCTAAAAGTGTGATATTTTAATTTAATTTTTTTAAATAACATCCATGTATCTGAACTTTTTTATTCATATATATGTTAAACAATTTCATATATATATTTTCTAATAATCTAATAACGATTGGTTTTTTTCCATCGTTTCAAATTTACAATAAAATAACTCAGTGGCTATGAGTCTCCCATCTCTAAAATTGTGCCGCTCGTTTTCATAAATAGCCTCACACGAATAAAATTAATTTGCTTATAATTTTAGCGCACAAATAAAAATGGATCAGATATTGAACAAGGAAAACACTGGGGTTCATTGTAAGTAGATTTTATTTGGATTCACGTCGAAGTCATCATTTAATTTGCCTTAGATATTTTAGTGCCGACAAATCCTATAAAAAATGGAGTCCCTACCAATTCAGTCAAGAAAAAAACCGTTCTTGGGAAACTTGACAACGTGATGCATCAAACTCCTGGTATAACACCGTTTAAAAGCCATCATGTGAAGCCTGAAGGCAGCATTGCCAAGCTGTCGATTCGTAAGACACATAATCCCAACATTAAAAACAAGGATCGAGAAGACACTAATGTAAAAGCTAACTGTTTTTTGGGTTCATACATGTTAAAACGCGAAGCCCATGTCATTAATTTATTTAACTATACTGACTTTCCGAGCGAGAAATGTTTAAGGACCTGCAGCAGGCGTAAGTTCTATAAATATTGTTTGATTTTAGTTCAATTTAATCTGCGTTCATTTAAATATTTTAGCAATCACTGAAACCTGGTCAGATCAAGCTGAGTATGATTCCCTGCTAAATCAACTTTATCATAACCTTGGCACATTGGAAAATCACTTAGAAAACGTACGTCATCCTCCGTTAGAATCAGAATTTGACGATATCCCTTGTTTAGAGGAGACAGATATTTATGAAAATGAGGAGTGTAAATATGTTTTCAATTTATTCGCGCCAATGCCTACCATGGAAACTATTGATATTTTATTTTAAAATTCTTTATATATTAATTGTAGTTATATTGTACCTTAGACTAGTTACCATTATCTATGTTAAACTTAACAAAATAAGTCCTAATTTAAATTTATACATGTTTTTGTTAAATAAATGTGAATCAATTAAGGGTATTTTTAAAGAAAATGTTTTTCAAATATTGATGGAAGGTACTTTATATGGTAAAGCAACCTTTCTTCATTACTGTGAGACTTGAAATTAAAAAAAAAAAAAAAAAAAACATTTAACTGCATTTTTCTGGGGTAATAAGGCCCTCTGAATGCATGCTTATGTATTAATTTTTTGTTGGGGCTTCTTCAAATGCGCAAATCTATATTTGTATAAGATACGTCTCTTGGAATTGAATTAAAAAAATGGAAAGCCTTTTCATTTTTATAAATTAACTAAGTGTATTTTATTTAAATAGTAATAATCATTTTCAATAATTTTCTATCGAGGTAGCCTATTATTGTAATAAATAACTTTAATTAATTTACACAGAAAAATAATTTAAGATCATAATTAATGTTGAACTTTAGCCTTTTCAAGCTAAATTCGCTGTATGATCTTTTTTGTAGCTAAAAAATGGCAGCACTGAAACACAGTAATGTATCCAGTTTTTTTTACGTTACTGCAGAAAGGTTTCTCATCTCGGTGAAGATCTTAGTTACTTGATCGTTCGGATGAAACAAAAGTGAAAATTAAATATATTAACGTAGAAACCAAAATGTAAAGGCAACAGCGGTGAACACTAGACGAATGCCCTTATATGTATTTTTATACAAAAAAGACATAGTGAATGCTTTCAATTAAACATTTTAATGTGTGTTTGTTCTTAAATTTTCTTTTATTACGGCACACGGTATAAAAATATACTTGGTAACACATTTTTCAACAGTCAATCAAAAGACTTAGGCGACAAACTCGCAATTATCGTAGATGTTAGGATGTACATATGTTTAAAGACGTGGCAGTGTCACCATTGCAACAATACCACTCTTGTATATGTATGTAAACATATGCTGTTAATGTATATTTCCTGTCTGATGAAATCCATATAAGAACTAATTACGACATTTAAAGTGGGCACAAAAAAAAGAGTACTTTACATAAAAGCGCTCATAAAATACTTTTTAACAATAATGTTTTGATTTTTGCAGCCTCTTTAAGTGATATGCGGTTTTACTTGAGCTAAAAAAAGTTAACCATTCTTTGTTTAACATATTATTGAATATTCTTCAAAATGGTTTACCCTGAAGAACCCTTCTGGGTTTTACCAACGGTAACTGGATTCTACGAAGATCGAGATTATAGAGGTGAGACTAATACGTGATATTATATATGGAGGCATCTTTTTAAATAAATGATGTACATATAAAAATGTACATATGTATTTCAGTGAATGTGGTGGAAGCCCTTCAAGAGTTTTGGCAAATGAAGCAATCGCGTGGAGCAGAAATGAAAAATGGAGCTCTTGTCATTTACGAATCGATTCCAGCTAATAGCCAGCCATATATTTGTTTTGTTACACTACCTGGAGGGAGCTGCTTTGGAAGTTTTCAAGTAAATATGGTTGAAATATTAATATATTGCAAATTTGAAACTGTTTGTCCTTTTCAGAACTGTCCAACGAAGGCTGAGGCCCGTCGTAGTTCGGCTAAAATTGCCCTGATGAACTCTGTTTTTAATGAGCACCCATCGCGACGAATCAGCGACGAGTTTATTCAAAAAGCTGTTCAGGATGCTCGTACTTCATTTAAAGGAACATCGCAAATTAACGAGGGCACAGAATCTGGAATAGGAGCATTTAGGTAAGAACTAGGAAAAGCAGAATGCTTTCACACCCATTACCATCAATAATCACGCTGTCTTTGATAAAGTTTTTACCTACTTTTGCAAATAAAGAGTAATCGGTAGTCTACAGCTATAGCTTATAAGTATATTTTACAAATATAGTTTGTAACTAAAGTGATCAATTTTTTTTTTAGATTCATGCTGGAAGCCAATAAGGGAAGAACAATGCTGGAGTTCCAAGAACTTATGACTGTTTTTCAACTGCTGCACTGGAATGGATCGCTAAAGGCAATGCGAGAGCGACATTGTTCGCGACAGGAAGTCGTGGCCCATTATTCTAACCGCAGTTTGGACGATGAGATGCGATCACAGATGGCACTGGATTGGATTGCCAGAGAACACGACAATCCTGGTGTTATTCGCAGGGAATTAGTACTTGCCGAGAGGGAGCTTGAGACGTTCCGCATGGCTGGACGTGAACTGCGCTTTCCAAAAGAAAAGAAAGACATACTTATGATAGCACATAATCAACTGGGCGGTAGTGCTCTAAACTCGGCTTCCATTGATGATTGATCAAGAAAACTGTTAAGCATTTTGCACGGTCAAAATTAACCCCTTTTTTAGATAAATCATACCACTTACCTTTTGAGTAACAATCAATATTTATTTAATTGGCGTACCATATGATCTCCATGATAAAAAACAAGTGGAAAATATATAAAACTTCCCACAAACCCTTCCAAATTAAACAAATTAATTTAAAAAATCTTTGAAAATGTGATTTTTAAAACAGCTGCTACAAAAATAAGACTAAACCCAATAAAATATATATATTATTTTTACTAAATGTTCATGAAAAAGGTTAAACCTTTTTGGTAGAGAACAAATATTGGCTTGATATGATTTTTTTATGATGATATGGGTGATATTCCAGATTTTTAACAAGGGTATTGATCTTATTAGAATTATTAGGTCAAAAAAGTTTTCCAACAAAGTAGGAGTGTACGTCATTGTAAGCAATTCTTTAACCACAATTAATACATTATTCCAATTCCAGCGTTTCAAATCACTCCCTTTATAACACACAATCTTATTGGGACTATTACCCATCCCTCGAAAAAAGACCCCTTAGCGCCGCTATCTTGTCTGTTTTCTGTAATGTAACACATACATACAATTAAAATTAGAAAAAAGGGAGAAAAAAAGTGTTTTGAAGCTCCCCAATTGCACATCAAAACATTAAGCCCACATTGGCTGCGATACTATTACTGTGAGGAAATCAAAAATATACGGATTTGGCTGCACAATGGCTACTGAAGAGTTGCCTGCTGACCTGGACAAGTTGAAAATAACACAAACTCATCCCCTCATCAAGACTGTGGAACGGAACCCCTTTTACGATGCAGATCATGGATTTGATCAGTCTGATAATTCCGAGGCATCAACGAGCTTAAAACTCCGATCGCAACACCGCTGGAAGTGCAGACCACGCCGAAGGTCAGAAAGTTGCTTGCAGGACTGTAAGCAAGATGAGTCCTTCGCTCCAGCCGTATCCTTTGATATTGTTAGTCCCTTGAGCTGCTCCCACGGGGTGCAGAAGCATTTTCAAAAACGAAATTATCTTGCGCCAGCGAAGAAGAACTTATTTAGACAACCCATTTTGAAATCGTTATACGGCTGCGAGCATGGCAAGTGCATCGTACGCAGTGGAAGGATGTTGATCTGCAAGCCAAAGGATGAAACCAGTGATATTGTTGGCCTGGACAACGATGATTTAAGGCCCAATGGCCCGTGCGTCTTTCGCGAGGTTATAGGAGAATGCAACGCCATGTTAGACGAATCTAAGAAAAGCTCTTTGGGAAACAGTTGGCACTTGTCCAAAAACTACAGCTCATTAAGGGCCCAGCACTCGGGAAGTGATTTAGATGAGTCAGGATCTTCAGGCCCTCAGAGCCATAAGGGCGACTCCGTCTCCGTTGCCACGAGATCCTTGTCAGCTGTCTCGTTGATGGGAGCAACGTGCTCGCAGCAGGCCAGCTACAACTCAACAAATCCTGGGAATTGCGATGACGTTACCATCGGAGAACTGGCCAGCTACTTCGACACCATTGTTCATATTCCCAAAAAAATGTCCTCAATGGCCGAGATGATGTATATATAATTGTCATATCGTAACCATTATTAATTAATATCTTTTCTCTTAATATATATTCTAAAGTTAAGTGTATTATAATGTATGTTATTTGTGAATTTAATTACACAATTTCAACCCTTTGAAAATTCAGTTGCTTAATATAAAAATATTTATAATGTAAAATATGTACATAGTCATTGGCAAATTCTGCGAATTACAGCATTTCTAAACACACTCAACACGAATTTTATTATAGCCGAGGGAATTCGGCTAACCTTTACAGCACTATTCTAAACACTTTTTTTTTTATTAGATTATTAAATCTTTGACTACTGAAAGGGAATATAATTAGAGGTTTAGTTTTCCAAAACAGTATGATTTGAAAATCTACCTTTAATACAAAAGTTAAAAAGCAACTTGATTTCCTTATTGAATATTTTGGTCACTACATTTTTTATTCCATTGTTTATTTGAATAATATTTGAATACAAAATGTCCACCCGCAGAACTTTAGCTTATTTTCCCATAAAATAAAGACAGACAGAGTTTTAATACTAATTATTCTTTATTCATTTAAAGTTCGGATTATACATACATAAATAGACATTTAATGCGTTATTCATATAATTGTTATCTATTTGTGCACTCAAACTTGTCAAATTTTTTTGTCATGAATTGATTCGATTAATATGTAAAATATTAAAGGACGTTAAATTCAGTATTATTGATGTAACCTAAATATTTCTGTTTATTTTCGGAGTGCACCGATGTTAATTCAGTCATAAGATTAGAGTGGTTGTTTTTGTTTGAGAATCTAATGGGTGAAGTGAACACTTGCTTAAGCTTTGATATATTTCCAATACTTTTTTTAATTCGATCACTATAGTTTGAAAGGTGATTAAACGAACGACTAAACTCTACTTCCTGCCATTGTTGGGCGCTCGTTTTCCGCGGCGCAGCCGGATATAAAATGTGCTGTAATAATGAAAAATAATATTAACTGCAATTGATTGATTTTACTCTTAGACACTCACCGAAACGAGAGCCTTTTCTGTGAACGTAACACTCTTCCTTATAATGTCATCCGAGTGATGATGATAATAATATTGGGAGTTCTGCGTCTGAGAGTATCGAGTATTACTGCTAACGACATCAACGCCATGATGATCGGTATTGGTGAAATTTTCGTATCCGTTGCTATTACTAAACATATCTACAAAGCTAATGGAGTGAAATTCACTGGGGTGAACGTAAAATGTCACTATCATTGCAGCGTACACAACAACGTGAAACAGTACGCAAGTCCAAATGAGATTAATCTGCAAAACAAATAGTGTAAGTTAATAAATGTAAGTTAGCCGAAATAAGTGGCTTACCTTTTTCTTCCGGCCGTATTTCGTGAATGTGGTAAATGGCACTAAAGACATGGTTAAAAGGCAGCCACAAATCACTCCGGCCAGCAATCCTAGGAAGTTCAGTTGATAAGGCAGTGTTCCTATTCCGACCAACACGCTGCACAAGAGCAATAATTTAAATAGCGCAATGTGTGGCTTGTGCAGATACTTCCAGTGCATCCACACCAGCAGGGCGATCAGCGAGGCCACCACGCCACTCAGAGATGCAGAAGGTCCAACCTGTCAGGAGTATGCAGTACATTATTTTAAGATCTGCAGATCAGCTGAAACATTACCTCTGGACGATGGGGCACCAGTATGGCACTCGTTAAGTTTCCAGCAAAGCCCGACATTATGTAGACAATAGCTGTGCGAACGGTTCCGATCAACCTCTCCAAGTCGGCCAGAAATAAGTGCTGGAAAATAAGCGTAATGGCCAGATGCAGAATGCCGGCGTGCATACAGAGCGAGGTCAACAGGCGGTACAGCTGATCCGGAGTCTCCACAGAAATGAAGGGGAACATTCCGCACACATTGTTGAGGCACGATATCTAGCCAAACCAAATAAAGTTAATGAAAGAAAAAAGGCTTTTATTCTATTGAACTTATACCTGTGAGCACAACGAAGCTTCCTCATGGAAGTATCCCTTTATAAAGTCACAGTACTCGCGGGTCGTTATCCGACACTCTCCATACAAGCCCGTGCAGCACGGATGGCCTATCACCTCGCACACCATATGCTCCGAAGTGTGATCCTTGTACCGATATCGTTGGGTAAACGAGTTGGTTTTGCGGCAGATCGGCCACTTGGTGATGTCGTCGGGCCACTCGTAGGGAGCTATTGATGCCGGGGCATCGCAAAACTTTGGGTCTAAGCCGCACACTGATCCAGAAATTCTCCCACCTGGTCCGGACTCACTGGGGGACCATTTCTTCCAGGTCGAAATTGATTTCTGGGAAGACAATAAAAGGTTACGATTATAATACCTATTATATTTTATTTTGTAGGAAACTTTAGGTATTAATTGTAGGTTTGAATTAAGAAGTCACCACCTAAATCAGTAAGCACTTACCGTTGGGTAGAGTCCTCGGATAGAGCACTCCGCCTGAGAGCTCTGAACGCAGCCAGAGTCGTCGTTGCGAATGCAGCAGGCCGTTTCCCTTTCGTGTCGCCTCGTCTTTGTAACCACCTCGGTAATCTTGATGTCGCGTCGCATGCAGGCAGCGAACTTGGCTCCCATGTGCACCAGGTCAATGTTTCTCGGTCCGATCCAGAGGTTCCGCTGCTCAACATGCTGCACCGTCTGCAGACTGAGGCTGGTCACCAACACCTGTCCGGTCTTTTGCTCCGATCCGATTCCAATGGGAGCGATGCCGTAGCAGATGATCGACAAGATGAGCACCACCACCTGCACCGTGTTGATCCAGTAGGTGAAAAAGGGTCGATGATCGGTACGATCGTCCAGGTCGTTAACCGAGAAGTACTTGATGCAACGCAGCGGCGGACGTCTGGAGTTCTCAAGCACTCCGTCGAGCAGTTGGGCAGTAATTCGGTTGCCCCGATTGCAGGTGGAAGTGGTGGAGTGTGAGCTTCGCATTGCGGGTTGCATTTGGCTGGAAACCGAACTGCAGAGCGGAATGTGGGCCGCACCGGTCAAATGCGAAGCTTGATCGCCGGTTAGGTTGATATCACTGCTGGCATTGCCGCCACTATTCAACGCCGATGTTCTCCAGCCATTCTGCTGCCTCTCCGCCATGTAGACACTGACGCCCACGCCCGAAGCATCCGCACAAGGACGTGGCTTTGCGGTCTGCCGGCCTATCTCGGAGCTCTCGTCGTTCACCGACGTGGTGGTGATCTCGCAGGGACTGTCGAAGAACACCTCGTCATCGATAATGGCCTCCAGGCCGTCCGTTAAGCACCCGTCTCCGTCCGCCTGCTGACTATTGTGCGATGTGACGTGTAGAGGGGCAAAGCTGCGGGACCACTGCCAGGGACAACGCACCCTGTGCATCTGAATGGGCCTCCGCTTGTTGAACATGTGCACCAAGTAGCTAACCATGGCCACGAACATATACCCCACCGATGCCTTGCGCTCCACGAACTCCCCGGCCAGGAAGTCCCGATTGGTGTAGCACTTTTGCCTCCTACTATCGCCAGATAGATTCATATCCATGCCTATGGCATCCTGAACGGGCAGGATATCCGGTCGATCCGGGGCATAGTTGCTGTTCGAGGCATTGCCCTGCACCACATCCTCGTTTCCTCCACCGATTGCCTGCTGCATGTGGTACTCCAGCTCGGTGTCAAACATCCCAAAGCAGCGTATTGCCAGACGACGATGACGTCCTTGCCACAGCACACAATCCGCCGCTTCCGTACTCGGCTCTACGCCGAAGAACTGAGAGGTGGTGCGCTTCATGTAGATGCCAATCCGCTTCTTGCAGGACAAGTGGTGCGTCTGTGGTTGCGGAAGCACCTGGAGCGACTGGTGCTGCTGCGTCTGGTGGTGCATGTGCTGCATTCGCGGATTGCTGGCCATCTGACTGCGGTACATCTGGTGTTGGTTCGATCCAGGTGGCACGGCCATATTGCCGCCATTGGATGGCCCTTCAAGGCGCTTCGCCTGCACAGACACCATGCTCGACTCGAGATTCTGGTTGGGTATCTGCTCGTTCAGACCCGAGATGACCGGCATTGGCATGGGCACGGGCAGGGATATGGGAACCGGACTAATGGGACCCGTGGTCTGTGTGGTCTGATGAACTCCCGTGGTGCGGCGCACTGTATTGCAGTGCAGACACGTTCCCGACGAGTTGTCCACTTCGATCTGAGCAATAGAACCGCCGCCGTTAGCCACCACAATAACAGAATCGCTATCATCGCCCCGGTGGTTTCCCGACCTCGATGAGCTGGTGGCCGTTATGATGGGCGAACAGGAGCTGGCGGCCGAGAAGACCATCGACATGCTGGTGGAAGGAGCCGGCGAGGGCGAGGTGCAGGCCGGTGAGCAGCTGGCGTAGGTCTGCGATGTGCGACTGAGGCTGCCGTGCGAGGCTTCACTGTGGCAGCACTTGGAGCGATAGTTGTAGGGCATGTTGGCGTACTGTGACTGCACCGCCGAAGACGATGTGGCAACGGCCGCGGGAGTGGGTAGATTGCCCGCCGGCGAGGATGAGATACTCAGGTCCGAGTAGAGTTCCATGGCCGGCGGCGGAGTGGGCACATAGCGCTTGACCGGCGTGTGCACCGTGGATCCCAAGTAGGCGTTGTAGTTCTCGCACTGCGAGAGTGGCAAGGGTACGTTGGAAGGCAGCAGGAGTCGGGTATTGGAGACAGAGGGCACGGTTGAGGGTAGTCCACCCATTGTGTCGATCATCTTTGTCTGGGCAGTTGGCTGCGATTCGCGATATCGCTCCAAGCGATATCTCGAATTTGGGGAAACCCCACGCTGATGGTAATTTCCATTTCCACCCATACCACCTCCGGGTATTACACTCCCACTCATTCCGTTTCCCCCATTCCACTCCCACCAATTCCGTGCTTCTGCAGAACGGCCGAAGTATCCGGCTTGACGGACCCCACGCTGCATGACTGGGAAGGTAGCTGATTGGCCACACAGGTGGCAAAACAATCGCTATTTGGAGCCGGCGAGGGCGGCGGCACGCCCCTGTTCGCATCATCGTATTTTTCTAGCGGCGATAGCTTTAGCTTGCCCGCATGTGGCGGGTAATTCTCGCCATTCGGAGTGCGAAAACGTCCCGAAGACAGGCTGCAGTACATCACATCGCACTCATTCGATTCAAGTGCCAATTGTAACTGATTCTGGAAGTTAATAGATTTCCTACGTGTGGAACTCATGCTGCCGTTCCCACGCATCGAGGCGTGAACATTGTCCTGATTACCCTTTTCATTTCGCCGGTTATTGTGCCCCAAATCACTTCCATTCGAACTCATAATCGAAGAATTGGTGTTTTTCGATCTAAGGAAGACAATTATAAGGCAGTTTGATTGGGTTAAAGTGGATCCCAAAATTTCAGAGTCAATACAAAATTAAAAGTACTATAATTAATTTTATCCAAAAAGTACTATAATTAATTTAGTTTCCGTGATTTTATTTTCTTTTTTAGTGGGGCATAAGCTGTATTAAAAAAAAAAAGTGGTGTGTCTGATTTTTTTTTTTTTTTTGAATGCTCTACAAGTAACGTATAATAAATGAAGCCAAATGGTTTCCTTTTATACAGATCCGGTTTATAATTTGGGTAAGGAAAATTAAAATAAATTCCAGCTTAATTCGTATAGAATTGTTTTAGATTGTTGTTGCACTGGAGTTTTTTATGTACTAGTTTTCATAATTGAAAAAAAAAAAATATAGTACAAATCTCCATTTCAGATACAAACAATAAAAAAAAGGGCCAAGGGCACATGAACAATGAAAAATATTTGCTCTGGACTGTTAAATGGACTTCTGTATATTTGATTTAAACAGACTATGGAATCCACACACTAGTTTTATGTTTTAAATACACTGTTTACCATATAACTAGTATAACTATTTCGTTAATGTTAGTATAGAAAATAACATTTTATAGCATAAACTTTTATAGTAATGAAAGCACTTAAATTAAACTCACTTTTAAAGGTTCGAATGGATTAAATGTATAAATGCAATTTACTGGTTTTTCACTTCATCTTTATTTTTATTAAGCCTGTTTACAGACCGAAAATTCCTTTATCGATTTTTCACATACACCTTCATAACAAAAAGTACAAAAGAACATTGTCTCTCAGTTTTCGATTTTAGCTTACTGTTTTTTATGTTATTTATTGTATTTGTTTTTCATTTAAATTTCTAAATTCTCAAATTGTTAATTCCATTTTTTCTAATAATTTTATAACCACTAATGCATATGTACACAGCACACTTGTCGAAAAAGTGCAAACCATTCGAATAATTTTTCTCGTTTCCATGCGCATGTCCGATTTTCACTTGTTTGAGATGGCAGAAAATGTCCTACTGCTGATTGCGGGAACTTATCCTAACTAGGGTATTTTTTATTTTTAAACATTATGTTTTTAATCATTTTTTCCGAACACCCAGACCAAAATATGTTTGTTTTTTTTGTTGTCCGACTACATATATCTTTTTAAAACAAACCAGAAAAACGTAGAAGAAACACATCAATAGCCAAAAGTGGAATGTTTGAAACACAAGAATCTCTTTTAAGGATAATTTCCTGCAATCAAGTGCAAGCTGTTTATTTGTTTCGTTAGTTTTTGCAAAATATTTGTATCATTTTCATCCTTTTTGTTTAATGATGAGAATAACTATTTTCAAAGCAGAAATTATAAGTTACTTATTCTTTATGCGCATGGGAGGTAATTGAAAAGTCCAAACGTAAGAAGACAATGGTGAACACGAAAATGATATAAATAAAGCCGCTAACCAGCAGAGGTTCCTGCAGCATGGAAATCTTCGAGAAGCTGTAGTAGAGGGTAAAGTCGGAAATGTGACTTTCCACTAAGTTTGACTTGGAGAATGAAACAACAGGGCGACCCGTAGTGTCCAAGTAGGTGTGAACCAGTTCGTTGGGCAGTCGGCTTATCGAGTAGGGCGTCGAAAGCCTGATATCGCTCGATCCCTCGGGCAATATAATCTTAATGGTGGCTTCATCGATGGCCATGTTGTCGTAAATGTGATCGATCAAGTGCATTTTTAGCTGGTACTTGTTACCATCGTTATACATGTACTCGTAAGAGGGTACATTGTATCCAAGGGTGTACTGTGTCTTCCAGCCGCCAAAGAGCGGAAAGCGTGGTCGCAGCTCAAGTTCAATGAAATCCCTAACAGGATTCATGTTGGAGGTCGAAATGTTGCCATTTGTATCGCGGTAATAGACTCCAGAAGCAGATGCCGGCAGGTATGTTTTGTAGGATTTCAGGGCAGCTAGTCCTGAGCGACCTTCCTTCTGAAAATCGTAACGCGAGAATGATCCCTTCAGTTTGGCTCCGGTGTGAGTCATTTGGATCGATTCCTGGACGGCAATGTTGCCCCAATGAGAGATCTCCAAAGTACGCTCCAAATAATTGACGGTGACAAAAGGTGAGGAGTTCTCAAAGTGAATAACCAGCGACTCCTGGCTCAAGGCTAATAAAATAAAAAATATATGTAAGGAATCTGAAGTTCATAATGCTTTAAGATTTTTGATACCTTCGACGTTTTCATAAGGACCCAAAGTGATCTTATTAGAGGACACCGAAAAAGGCTTGACTTGGGTGTGCGATAAGATATTCGAGGAGCTCAACTTTACATTGGTTTTCTGGCTGTTGGTCTTGTACTTTGAGTACAGATGCAGGTTGCCCACATATTTTACAAACTGTTTGTCATTCTGTCTGATTTCCTCGGGATGCGGCAGAACGCTCTTAGAGGCAACAGTTTCGACCAGGAATGTCTGTTTGGCGGAGGCCTTGGGGAATGTCAGTGTAAAGCTGTGCTCTCCCTTCGCCGCTTCATTCTTCTTGACCTGGACATTCTTGTCGGCATTATCTTTAACCGAAATATAAGCAAGACTTGGTTCCGAAGAGAAAAACACGTACTCTGCAATCGGTTTGCCGGCTGTGTCTTCCGCCGAGATTTTGGTTGTGGTTTTCACCAGTTGCGAAGTGAGGTCCAGCGTTCTTTCCACATTTGTGTTAACTATCTCCGCATTTCCTTTGTATATACAAAGCAATGCAAATAACGCCAGATAAATAACACAATTTGTACCCATGCTCGCCTCGAATTTGGACACGTACATTAAAAAAAACTCAACGCGTTATGGGATATTTAGTACTTTTCAAACCGGCAAGCAGAACAGTGTGCCCAACTCACGGATGTGTAAATATACCAGGTGTAAAAACCATTTATAAGCGGTATTCATAAAACATTTTTTGTTTAAATTTTAAATACTCTGAAGATAAAAAATGATTAAATAATAAAAACAATAAAGCAGCACAGATGCATCAAAAAATTTAAATTCCTTATGAAATATTAATAGGACACATTTATTTTATACAGATTTTGTAATAAATTAAATACATGATACATGAGGCTTTTACTTTTAATAACCGAAATTGTTTCTTCAACGAAAAAAAAAAAAAAAATACTTCATTCTCTTTAGTTAAATATTTTAAAAATATACCTGATAACTAACCTAACCTAACAATTTGAATCCGTCAGCTGATTTATCACCATAGCAATCAACAAGGAGACAATAATCCCAATTGACGAACCTAAAAAAAAATGTTATCTACCACCAACTTCAATATTTAATTCTTATTGCAATCCAATAAGTTCCGTAGTTACCGCTGTTTTTATGTAACTCACTCTATCCGTTATTCATAATGCCGCCCCGCTGTAAATATGAATAATATTAAATAATTTCTGTCATCATCCCTTTGACTTTCGAGGAGCGGCGTTGAGTTGCCTTTAACACGCATATGGCGATACATTTTGAGAGACCCACATAATGCGACTGCGTGAGTTGAGTTATACGGTCGGTGCATTTTGCCGACTTCAAGTTAGTCTACGATTGGCACTTCGAAAAAGAAGTTGGATTCAAAACCAAGTAAATTCGAATCAAAAATTGTGCCATTTTCTCTAAACACACACTCGCGCACACATACACTTGCGTGTGTGCCAATATAATGGAATTGCAGTGAGAAATCTGCACTTTGATGGTCAATACATACAATCTATATATCTTTACCTGTGTATCTGTGTTTCCGAAAATATGTAGCTACGAAATTATTCATATGTATGTTTTATGATTGCATAAACAATTAGAAACGAAATGTGTATATACGAGTAAGGTTTTGCCGAACTGTCTTTGCAAAAAAAAAAGAAAAAAAAAGTGAGTTTTCCTCTTTCATTTTCTGTGTATGCATTTCCTCCAGAAACTCACGTAAATACATGTGAATGTATGAAATTTAATCCGTGACATGTGTTTTTTACTCTATTCGTGAAAATAAATATTAGGGCATAATAATTTATGGTGCAAATTGTTTGATAAATAAAACGTTTCTACAAAAACTGATAAAAGATTAAAGTTATTTATGTGACCCTTGTGTATAAATATCTTATATCTGAGAGATACAAACACATATACACACCTACATAGATCCGTGTGCATGCAACGGTATTCCTTCAAATATTTTTAGAAACATACATATATACATATATAATTATATATATGAGTTTGTATACACATATTTAAGTTGAAGTTCGTTGCAGAAGGATAATGTTTCGAGTATAAAGATTAATTGCCAAGTATACGATTTGTGGAGTCTCGAATTTGGGAATAATGGAACCGAAAAGATGGCACTTGCATTTATCATGTTTTTTGCTACTCCTTAGTTCAACGTTTTCTGGTAAGTAAAAGAACCAAACTTTATGAGAATCACAAGGTTATATTAAGCTCTTTAGCGCAGAGATGTATGCTAAAAAAAATGTAAAAATGTTAGCTTTGTTTACCGTCAACATCTGAGTTTTTTATTTCTGTGTAGTAAACAACAACGAATGTACTGATTACAATAGTTTAAAAACATGGAAGTTGGTTTTTTACAGGTCTGATTAGATAATTAAAAGAACTACTAAATAATCAAATCTTGAAGAAATGACTAATTTATACTTGTTATGTGAAAACTTGTTTACATATATATAAATAAATGTTAACCTTGTTTAACTAACGAAAAAACCATTTTAGATGTCGGAAAAATCACGTCTTCTCAAAACCACTTTGGAAACAGTTTACAAAGTCAATTTAATACCAAAAACAATACTCGTGTTATTGCACAAAAAGGAGGTCTTGCCATTTTACCCTGTGTGGTCAAAGTTAACTCCCCAGCAACGGTAAGAAGAAGATTTAACTCGGAAGGTTTTTCTGTAAAATAAACTTTTTTTTAATATTTCAGGTTTCTTGGATACGCAGAAAAGATTTTCAGCTCCTGACAGTAGGCCTTTCCACTCACAGTAGCGACAAACGATTCTTGGTTGAACATACACGTCACATGGGCCATTGGTCTCTTAGAATAAAAGCTGTTCGAGAGGAAGATAGAGGATTTTACGAATGTCAATTATCTATTTATCCAACCCAGTCAATAGTTATAGAATTAAAGATTGTCGGTAAGTACAACTTACATTTTTAATGAAGATTGAAAATCCATTTGTCTTTTTTTTCTAATTGTATAGAAGCGGTAGCGGAAATTTCAAGTGCCCCGGAACTCCACATTGATGAGACTTCTACTCTACGTCTAGAATGCAAACTGAAGCGAGCTACCGAAAATCCTGCGTTTGTTTTTTGGTAAGTGTTTTTCTTGCTAGCCTGAACAGTTTATTTAAAAACATTATTAAAAAAAATTCATTAAATTAACTTTATTATTAAGAAAATTATTAAATAATTAGCTTTCAAATTTAGAAAAGCTAAAAACAAATGGTTTTAACCTGAAAAACTCATACATAGTTTTACATCTCATTTTAAACTTATGACGTTTTTATTGCCTTACAGGTACCATGACAGTAAAATGATAAATTATGACTCACAAGGCGGATTTGTTGTAACGTCGATCGGTCAAAGCAACGTGCAAACTGGTCAGATTTATAGGACTTCCTCAGCGAACAAGTCGCGCGTAACCATGCCGATGGAGTCAGGCAATGGAGTCCTTAACAACCTACTTGGAACTCCAGATAACTTCAAGACACCAAATATGCCATCATCCACACCTTTTGTGCAACAACACCAGTCCGCGTATCTTCTCAATCCGTCAGTTAGTGTCCTCACTGTGAAGCAAGTCAATTTTCGCCATGCTGGCAACTACACATGTGCTCCATCAAATGCCCGTCCTGCCAGCATTACAGTGCATGTCTTAAGAGGTAATAATAACAACTTAATCGTATATCGTAATCATTTATTACACCATCTTCAATAGGTGAGAAAACGGCGGCAATGCAGCACGCAAATCGGAGTATTCTGGATACCGAGAACAATGGCAACGGGACTTTTGGATTGATCACTTTGGGTGGACTGAATGGAACCACTAGCATAGCTCTAACCGAAGGGATTCTATATTTCTCCGGCATGTTCCTTCTTGTAGCCGCAGTAGTATTAGATCGATTCTCATTAGCAGTGAATCAGAAGGTATTCTTAGCATTTATAATAGTTCTTTTGTATAGCTGAAACTTATAATTGACTGCATTTGGAATGGAGCAACTTCAATCATTCAAAAATAAAAAAATTATATTTGTTTTAAAATAGAAGATTGTAAATAGATCATTGACATACCATATTGAAAATGCGTGAGCATTGTAAGACATTTACGTACTCTAAGATAAAATTGTAAATAGACTTCCATTACATGCAATGTATTGAATTGAGAAATAAGAGAATTCATGAACTTGTTACCACAAAACTTATAAAATGCATACTTATGTCAAGTCGTAAGAGATTTAACACTGCATATTTTAATGGTTAAAAGTGGTACAATAATATGTATGCTTAGATGTTCATATTTATTGACTGGTACTGACATTTTAATGTTACAAACAATGGAATTAGCGTAAAATAATGATAAAGCCATAAAGATTTGTTACCTAATAACTCGAAAAATTTGATCGTCACCTTTAAACTGTTATTCTGCTCAGTGTTCGATATTTAGTATATAGATTGATTTATGTAAGCACCTTTAGAAGTACGCTAATTCATATAATGTATGTACAACTGTAAATAAATATTACTTTCGTGAGCGTTTACAGAACGCTGTCTTGAATCCAAATGGGCAGACGCGCCAGTTTCGTTTTGTTTTCCTTGCAATACGGATAGCAAAACAAAATTTAAAATTTTGTTGCAGACATAAAAAGTTTTAAATAAACTGATCAATTTTAAGAAATTATGCCAACTCATTTCAATTTTGGGGAAGGAAAGCCAAAATAAAAGATTTTAATCTTTATTTTGAAAACCAACAAAAACAGTGTGGTAAATATTCTATAACGACCCTTTTAAATATTTCCTAAGTATTTTTACATAACATACATATCTTGAGTCTCCCTATTATTTTACAAAAGTTATCGATAGCTTAAAAGATTCTACACATCAAATGAACCACCACTAGAAAATGTTAGCAAAACAAAACAAGAGCCATGAAATCCGAAATTTTAGCAACCGCTTTTTTGGGTTTGGCAGTTAGGTCAATAATATCGTTATACTCCTACTCAGGCTTTGATACCCCGCCTATGCATGGAGATTACGAGGCACAACGACACTGGCAGGAGATCACAGTGAATCTGGATGTCGGCGAATGGTACACAAACAGCTCCAACAACGATTTACTATATTGGGGCCTGGATTATCCACCTTTGACAGCTTATCACAGCTATCTAGTGGGTCGGATAGCTAAATCAATCGATCCCCATTTCGTAGAGCTGCACAAAAGCAGGGGCTTCGAGTCGAAGAAACACAAACGCTTCATGCGCGCAACAGTTGTGACTGCTGACGTCCTCATCTATTTGCCGGCAATATTGCTAGTGGTCTACTGCATGGAAAAAACATTTCAAAGCAATGACAAACTATTTCTTTTCATGCTGATTTCGGTGTATCCAGGTCAAATACTGATTGACAATGGACACTTTCAGTACAATAACATATCACTTGCCTTTGCCGCCGTGGCAATTGCGGCTATCTTCAGTAATAGATTTTACGCTGCCTCGTTTTTCTTCACATTGGCCTTAAACTACAAGCAAATGGAGTTGTACCACAGCCTGCCGTTCTTCGCATTTCTTTTGGGAGAGTGTGTGGGCCAAAAAAGGTCGGTATTAAAGCTGAGAATGAATTTAAAATTGTTAAAACGTGTGTTGATTATTTGTTTACTTTTTCCAAAGCTTCACCTCTTTTGCTGCTAAAATTTCACGAATAGCAACCATTGTTTTAGCAACATTTGCTATTTTATGGCTGCCCTGGCTGGGATCGCTTCAAGCGGCGCTTCAAGTGTTGCATCGCCTTTTTCCCGTTGCCCGAGGAGTTTTTGAAGACAAGGTGGCAAACGTTTGGTGTGCCGTCAACGTAGTTTGGAAACTAAAGTAAGCGGGCCACTTTGTACTGATTTCCGAATAAAACTGAACTTTAAATTACAGGAAACATTTCCACAACGACCAAATGGCGCTTATATGCATTGGCTGCACATTAATCGCTGCCCTGCCAACAAATGCTCTGCTCTTCAAACGACGAACTAAAATTTCTTTTTTGCTAGCCCTTTTCAACACATCCCTCGCTTTCTTTTTGTTCTCCTTTCAAGTAAGAATTTGTAATATAAAACTGGAATTGCATGAACGAAATATTATATTTTAGGTTCACGAGAAGACAATTCTACTGGCTGCCTTGCCATCCCTGTTCCTTCTTAAATGGTGGCCAAACGAAATGATTATGTTCCTGGAGGTTTCCGTGTTCAGCATGATCCCTCTTTTGACGAGAGATAAATTACTAGTACCTGCATTAGTATCTACATTGGCTTTTCATTTGATATTCAAGTGCTTTAATTCAAATTCAAAACTTAACGAATATCCATTGAAATATTTTTCAATAATATCAAACATTGTGATTGTTTCTATCGTTGGAGCGTCTTTGTCAATTCCAGCTCCTTCCCGTTTTCCTGATCTTTGGCCTTTGATTATTTCTGTTATAAGTTGTGGCCACTTTATTTTATTCCTTTTGTGGGGATATTTTCAACATTTTACCTGTAAAATAAGTTAACGTATAAAACAAACGCCTTGTAAATATTTTACTGAATAAAAATTTGTATAGAAGTTGATTTTAATCTTTATTTTTTCTGTCTATACACTTTTCTTCGCAAACCAACATAAGCGGCTTTATTCTTGAATTAAAATCGTGATTTAAGTGAATCCTACAAGTACATGTGTATGCAGTCGTAACTTAGTCACATCCAATAGATATCGCTGTTGCTATCTTATCATAGATTTAATCAATAAGTGCCTACACTATGCAAAAAAGAATTAAAACTTTTAAAACAAGTACATCTTTTGGTTTTACCTTACTATTAAGGAAGTAAAATTTAAAAAAAAAATACGTTAAGCTTTAAGTGTAGATACCTGAAATTTAATTATTTCGAAAACTAATTAAATTAAATTAATTTATTTAAAAATATATCCTAACACATTGTAAAAAGCGTTATGGGGACTCGACAAAAGAGACACTTTTGTTGGTTGGTGTTATCAACGCTCTCTGAACAAGATAAGATAAAAAAATCGGAAAATATTAGGTGAATAATATGTGGGGGTTTGTGCTCTTGTTAGTCATTTGAAGTTAATCGGTCGGCACACAAGACAAAAATTTCGACGCTTTCCGGAAGAAAATAAAAAAATGAGTCTTAGTAAATCAGCTCTTTTAGCTGTAACGATTTTTGCATCGTTGTAAGCCAGGTCTCTTGTGATGAACAAAATGAAACTACAACAAATACCCCAGATACGCCAAAGGTATATAATATAAAATGCCTAACATATTTTATACAAAGAAGTGTGATTTCGCCATATAATTTGAAGAGTGATAAGTGTAGAAAATTATAAAATACGAATGTGAGGCGCACATTAAGAAAAGCAAGTTGACCAATAATAGACCTGTAATCAAACCGATTAGATTTCTGGTAGACAAATAAAAAAAAACAAAGAAAAGAAGAGCGGAGTACTTATACTCTTGCAAATTTATTGAGAGATTTATGTTTCTCAAATAATTTTTTAAGCCGATATTAAAAAAGGGTTGTGTTTCTAAAAATAAAAAAATAAAATTAGGTCACGTTGATCTGTTCTTAACGAATTCGAAATTATTTCTTTTATTCAGTGACTTTCTGCAAGACCTCTATCAAAAACTGATAAGAAAAAGGTGTAGCAAAGTTTAAGTGATAAGGAGAATAATAAAAAAAATTCAATAATTCACCACAAAGCTTTGTAATCCAAATAAAAAAAAAATGTTGCATGCGAAAACTATTTTAGATTTGTATAGATAACTACTTAACAAATGTAGAAGTCCAACTTGACACTTGATTAAAAAGATGAGGATATTTTCTTTGGAATATTTTATAAAAATAAATAAAAAAAAACCTATGTTGTAGTTACCGTATAGGTTTTTGTGAAATCCGTAAGATACATTTTTTTTAATAAAACCAGTGTTTAATAATTATTTGAAAAGCTATAACGCAATGATTTCATCCTTGTTTGCAGGAAAAAACGAATGTAAAAGAGAGCGCTCTTTGCAAAAAATGTACTTGCGATTTTGCCAACAGTTTACTCGATTGCAGCGAGAAACTTTCGGGATGGCTGTCTGATGAGGAATGGAAAAACCTTACTAACGGAGATTTTGTGTTCAAAACAATCAATTTCGAACACAACAACCTCACCAGTGTTCCGGTTCTGCCAACATATGATATGGAAGACTTGTACTTGGCACACAACCAGATAGAATCGATTGCGAAGGGGGCTTTTCAGAACTTGAGCGAGCTAATCAATCTAGATCTGTCGCACAATCTCTTGCCATCGAAAGCCCTGGTACCAGATGTTTTCAAAGGACCCTACACAGCCAATGATTTTGCAACTTTAAATGTTAAATCGCTTAATTTGGGTTACAATGATCTGCATAACTTGGACGCCGACTTGTTTGAACACATTCCCTATGTAGAGGAGCTGGTTCTCTGCGGAAACAGTTTCCACATAATTGATCAACTTTCGGAAACGGCTATTTCTGGGTTAGGTCATTTGAAGGTACGCAATGCCAGGTGTTTAAATTGTTAAAAAAACTGAATATTCTGAGGCATTGTTTCAGATTTTAGATATCTCTTATATGGAAATCGATGACATACCAGACACAGTTCTTCATGGACCTCGAGATCTTGATACTCTTATAGCAGCTGGAAATCTCTTCCACCATTTACCAAAGGCCTTAAAATGGGCCACGAATTTGACCAGCCTGGTTTTAAATCAGAACCCAATTGAAAGTCTGATTGGAGACAAGTAAGATATTTTAAGTTTACATTTTGGACGCAGTTTAATCAAAGAACTTATTCAGTGTATTTCCGCCGTTGACAAAATTGAACCATCTGAGTATGTCCTTTATGTCGAAACTATACAAAATTGGACCTGGAGCATTTAGTGAATTACAAGGTAAGTCATGTTTCTTTAGTTTAACTAAACCTAGGACAAGAAGACAACACTAGAATTACATTAAGGTTAAACAGATTGGGCATCATACAACTCTCGTATTTGGAAAACTAAATTAATTATTTTCTTTAGGCCTGACCGAGCTTATATTGTCCGACAACAAGTTACTAAACGAAATCGACGAGGAAGCATTATCAAAGAACGTTACTGGAGGCCAATATTTGGACTATCCCCCATTGGAAACGGTAATAAAAAGATCATAAGAAAAAGAATAATAACGAATAATAACGCACGATTACAATTGTAGGTTTACTTGAATAACTGCAACCTTACCACTCTGCCAAAATCTCTGCTCGTGCGTTGGGATAAACTCAAAGCCCTTGATCTTAGATTCAATCCGTGGAACTGCGACAGTTCCAATGATTACTTGATTAACGAGTTGATAGAGCAAGTCAACAGAACCTCAGCCGTTTTAGCCAAAGACGTCCAGTGTGCCACTCCGACAAATTTAAAGGGCGTGACGGTTCTGAAAGTGGCAAACGAACATTTGATGGAAAGCTCTACTGGCAGTATAATTTGGGTCGGACTCCTAGTTTTCCTTCTAATTGCTGTGCCGACAATTGTGGCCGCCGTCATAATGAAAAGACGCGGCTGCTTCGGCGCTTTTAGACGCAATAGCAGCGGTGCTGATCGCGCTCTCTATAATAGGACTAGTTTCAATGAAGATTTCCACATCTAATTTTCGTTGTGGACTGGTAGTATTAAAGTTATAATTAAACTTAAAAGCGGTTGTGCTTTAATGAGTCACTACGTTCAACTTCATATTAAAAAACAAGTTGCATACCTGATAGATAGCATGCCTGCTTCAAAAACAACCATTGGATGGACTAACTATAAATATTTTCTAAACATTCCGCTTGACCATCGTCAATTAAAATACTTTTTTGCAAAATAAATAAAACTATACAAAAATATTGCGGTATTTTAAAATTTGTATAACAATTAAAAGACAATAAATACGGATCTTCTAAAAGAAAATGGTTTGTAAATTGACTTACCGTTCAAAGTTATTCATTCAAACTCATTTTGTTTTTCACTCTTATTTTTATTTTACGGCTATTTAGCTTTAGTTTAGATTTCAAGGTTTCTTGTTTATAAAGATAATTAAAGTCAAACCAGAATGCTGATGTTAATTTCGTACTAAACCCGATTGAAAGCCATGGAAATATGGATGCTCCAAAATATCCTTGGCGGAAATGCGGTGAACAGGATCGTAAATTAACATACTTTGAATAAGATTAATGCCGTTCGCATCGAGATTCTTTAACTGGTTGGTCAATTGGTTTGTGGACCAGCAGGGGAACGTATTTTTATAGTCGGGAAGCGAAGTAACGCCTGGCCAAATGTCTTCGGTTGGTGTTTTGAGAATTCTGAAGATAAGCAAAATGTTAAGATCAATTGAATTAAATACCTTATGACTTTGTGTTACCTAAACATTCTGAATAACTGGTCAATTTCCGAATCACCCTGAAATAGAGGTTTTCTCGTTGCCATTTCCGCGAATATGCACCCAATTGACCAAATATCGACTGGACAGGAATAGCGGGGTGAGCCCAATAAAACCTCCGGAGCTCTGTACCACAAAGTTACGATCTCGTGAGTATAAACGCGCACTGGAATTCCAAAAGATCGCCCAAGGCCAAAGTCTGCGACTTTTATGAGGCCGTTCTTGTCAATCAGCAAATTCTGGGGCTTCAAATCACGGTGAAGGACTCGGCGACGATGACAGAATAAAATGGCACTGGTTATTTGGTACAAATAGCTTCGAACCAATTCACTTTCCATATGCTTATCAGCTGGCAGGGAATCCATATATTTTTTTAGGTCCATAGAAAGGAACTCAAAGATCAAGTATATGCGATTTTCTTCCATTAAAACATCCTCCAAGCAGACAATGTTTTCATGTTTTAGTTCCTTAAGCAACGAAATTTCTCTGTAAGGAAGTGTACAAATAAACAGATATCGTTTGAATCGTTAGGATCCAAATCAGGAAAAAAACATAATAAACATATTAAAGCCTAAAGTGATCTTGAACTACTTAAAATTCACTTATTTATTTCTTTAGAATTGATTATTAAAATTGAACTGGGTAACGAAACATTATGAAAAAAAGAAAGTATGTGCGGTGCCCACAGCCATACATATGTATATGTATGTAAAAGTGTTTGTAGATATGCTTGTTGGTGAGTATGCTGTTTTAGGATTTATATTAGGAGTATGCATTATAAAGAAATGTCACTAAGTCACAAGGATAATATCAAGCAAAATATTTTCGTTGATAACCTATTTTGAATAACAATTTTACGAACAAAGTCATAAATCTGTATGAAACATTCAGAGGCTTGGGCGTCCAAGCCGCGGCATTTTACCTGATTGCGGTTGATGGAACGCCTTCGTCATCCGATTCCAAGCGAATTTTCTTCATTGCCACTATCTGACCCGTCAGGCGGTTGCGTCCTTTGTACACCACTCCATATGTACCTTCACCAATCTTTTCAATTTTCTCAAAGTCCTCCATAATTTGTATAACTATTTGCAAGCCACCGACTTTTAAATTAGCGCGTTTTTGACGTCTGTGCCGAATATTGCCAGACTGCCAATGCCAACCACGCTAACTGAATTTTCGTTTTATTTGAAACGAGAAGAAAAAGGTTCAGCTTACCACTGTTATAAATTTACCTGCTGTTATACTTCATTTATTTAAAGTACCTAAATGTATTGGAAGTAAGGACGTAATATTTTTCTTAAAACTAAAAAGCGATAGTAAGCTTTTTCCCCAAAGAAGACCCAGCAAACCTTAAGCAAATTTGTGTAGTGGTTTTGTGTATCCACACTGTTTTCTAATATTTTGAATATATGCTTTGGCTTATCGTTCCTTTACCCTTGTTTCAAAAACATAAAACGTACGACGATGTCTTGACTTGCCTACATGCTTGCTCCAATTGTCCATAGCATATATTAAACAAATCTAATACATTTTGGCCGATGTAATACAAAAGAAGATGTCAACATGTCTTTTATGAGTCGCATTGCAGAAAAATCTTCGAAGATTCGGTAAGATCTGTCCATATTATTTTTTACAAGTTTTCTCATTCAGAAATTTGTTTGTTTTAGTTGCCTCCGTTTGATGTCGGTGTATCCTACACACTACGTTGAACCAATTGTACAAAAAGATAAACAAATTGAGCAAAAGAATGAGTTATCAAAGCTTTACCATGTGCCAATCAAGGCGGCTGTCAACAAGGCTTCTGACACAGTCTTTCATGATGATACAAAAGAGAAAATGATAAATTATATAACGAAGAAAGGGAATAGTGCACTGGCCAGAAATCTTTTGTCGAAGACATTTGAGAAAATAAAACGAACACAGACGGAGCATATGAATCTAGCCAAAGGAGACAAAAATGCTATAAATACCAATGCCGAATCGCTTTTGAAACAAGCGGTGGAAAATTGTAGACCCCTTCTTCAAGTAACTGCCATTAAACGTGGAGGAGTTACCTACCAAGTTCCTGTTCCCATAACGACAAAACGATCTTATTTTTTGGCCATGAAGTGGCTCCTGGAAGCAGCACGCGAAAAGGAGCGCAAAGTGTCCCTTCCGGAAAAACTTGCCTGGGAGATTCTGGATGCCGCCCATGGACAGGGAAGAGTTGTTAAGCGGAAGGACGACTTGCACCGGCAGTGTGAAAGCAACCGAGCTTACGCACATTACCGATGGAGCTAAATATAAGTTGATATTGTTTTTGTAATACAATAAAATTTTAAATGTTGTTTTAACAATGTTACACTCGGTAATTTATCTACGATCAAATGTTTAGGATAGACCAGAAAAAAAAGGTTTTGTTTATTTGTTGCTTAGAAACTTTAATGTGCATTTTAAAACTATGTATACATATGTGTTCCGAATTCATCTTATAAAAACCATATTCCTGAAGCATCTTTTCCATTCTCATCAAGGAGTTTACAAATGTTGTCCAAATCGTTTGTGTTTACTTAAATATTTTATATTTTCGAATGGCTACAATTGTTTTCGAAAGTTGCCTCAGTGGACTATTTGAAAACCTTGCTGTAATCTCATATTAAGTATTACCTTACATAGTTCATGTAAGTTTATTTTTAAGACATAAAATCAAAACTCGTCATTTAAGTGCTACTGCTTAGTCAGCTGTAACAATAAAATAAAATTCAACGTACAGTCAAGTCCATTTTGTATTTATATATGTAAATATTTGGCGACTTTTTAATTTTTTTAATTTTACAAGTTTTAAAAACATATGTAAGTTTTTTTCTAGCTTTTTAGTATCCCTAAGTATTGTTATTTCAATGATATGATGAAAAAATTATACATATTTAGTCATTATTTTATGTACAATTCCGAAAAGGATCGAATTTTATTATATGAATTTTATGAGTGTTTAATAAACATATGTAAATTACCAAATTCGAACAACTCCTAATACATGTCAATAGTGTAAACGGCACTTTTTAAATTTTATATTAAACTCCAAGGCCTTTTATCGAAATTCTTATCGATTCTTATCGAATCGCAACACTACAGATGACGCACGAAGAGAACAAAGATGGCGATCCCGAGCACACGAAAATTAAAACGAGCTGAATGATAAATAAAGAATTTTTTACTTATAGTTGAATTCGCATAAACGCAGTGTAAAAATTAATTAATAAAAGTGTCATGCATACTTACAATGTGTAAAAAAAGAGTTTATTACAAAACGGTATATTTTCGCTGTGCATTTCAATAAAAACCCAAACACATAATCCTACTAGTTGAAGTTGACTGGACGACAAAAAAAAAGATTGGGTAAATTTACCAAACGCTATAGAATACATAAGGATTCTCGGTATTAACACAAAAAAGATATGTATTTGTAATACATAGGCTGTGGCTCGACGTCAACACTCGCTGCAACAAAAGGAATTGCATACATAGAATTAACAGTGGATATTAGGGTGAGTACTTTTTACGAATTGTATATTAATGAGGTATGGGGTATGTTTTATAGCCATTCGGTTGCATTATAATTTGGTGGAAATGGATCAGTGTTCGTTTATTTGTTGAATGTGTGTATATACCAATGAACATACAAAGTTATGTACGACTTAATTCCACTTAAATGTATGTGGATACCATTTTCATGATTCTGCATACATACACATGTATGTATGTATATGTACGAATGCTCGTAAACAAAGTAACTGCTAATGTATAAATATGTAAATGGTTGTAAATCGTATGAATTAACTTTATTTTTCAACTGTGTTTATATTGTCGCTAAAAACTTTTTATTTTAATCTGCTGTAACAAACTTACGGTTTTATTATTTATGTACGTGTATGTTTCATGTAAGTATCGTGTACATGTGTTCATGGAAAAATGTTGTGAATCAGGTGTAGAAAAATTTTGAGAATCAGTTAGTGTATGTGTCTTACGTTTACCTTTTTGTTGTTTCTTTAAATATTAATTATATGCGGTAATTATAATATTTTAAATAATTTTACACTGGGTTCCCTTTTTTTTTTTTATATAAGTGAAAAATTGATGCTTGGGTTTTTTTTATAAATGTAGTACCATGCTAAATACCCGCGCCCCTGCTAAGATGCTGATTTTAATAAAAACCTAATCCACAAATATTAAAAACAAGGGTCAGGTTCCGTCTTGGTATATTTTTAAAAACTGAAAGATTAAAGCAATGGCTATAAAAATACTGTGATAATATTAATTCCTACTTGTCCCATTGTTTTAAATAATTTATTTGGTACTTAAATAATCCTGTGTGTACTCATATCTAATTTATGAATTTGAGGTGGAAGTCTGTAGATCACCATTATTGTATTATTTTTGCCACGCCCACCTTTTTTTTTCCATATTTTGACTAACTTTTTCATTTACCCATTATTCTTATTAATTTTCTTGTGTTTGTCATTGTTATAAAAAGATATTACTGGTTGTTAAATAATGGTTTCTGGCCTTAAATTTGTTTTTTGGTGGTCTGCGTTTATGGGTTATTTTGTCTTATGTTCTAGCAGTTACATTTAACAGGGCTAAACCCTTTTGGATGCAACCCTATGTCTATTTTTAACCTTCTTGATCAGTTACAAATAATAATTCATAGCAGGATGCTTGCCATTAGGTGAAAAGAAAAAAGAGAGGATAACGACCCCTTTTAGGGTCAAGAGACATATGAGTCATTTTTAAATTTAACCTGTTGTGTTTATTTATATTTTTAAATTTCACTTTACCTGTTGCATTAAAATAATTTAAAACTTAGATAACGGATTCATCGTTTGGTTGTGTATAGATTTCTATGGAAACTAGTATAACATGTACTTTATTTCGTTTTTTGCTTAAGTTCTATAGATGCAGAAGACTTACTCATGATATTTAAATTATAAATTAAAACAAATTAATTTAACAAACAAATTTTGTTGTATTTATTACGTGTTTTTATCATGGGTTTAGAAAAATGATCTAATGTGATTTAACTTATATTCAAGTTATTGCTTATCGCTTGTATGATGAATTACTGGTATAATTATAATAACAAGTAATAAGTCAACCAGTAATTATATTATCCTTTTAACTTTGTGTATGGGCATAATACCCTAGATTTTGCAGGGAAGCTATCCGGGTGATAAAAGGATGATCGGAAATGGCAAAAGGCCGATTTCGATTAAAATAGGTTTTATTGGCTCAGCTAATCTTTGTTTTTTTTTGGGTATCAACAAGACCACCAAACATATACTTATGATCTCTTGTTGTTTTTTTTTTGTAGATCTATTGCTGAGATGGCGACCAGTGACGACGAGCCGATGCACTTGTATGAGGTGTTCCAGAACTGCTTCAACAAGATTGCAAACAAACAGCCGACGGGGACGGTTGGAGCGGATCGCGGCGGTGGCGGTGGCTACCATTCGCCGTACGGCAGCCTGGGCGTAGAGAATGGCATGTACCCCAGTGACTTCAACTCGATGCACGACGCGGCCAACGGTGGCGGGAACAACCGATATGCCAACGCCTCGACCGTCGATCAGTATTTTGATTCAGCCGCCGCCGGCAGTGGAGGGGCCTGGTGTCAGTCGCAAATGGGCAGCGCCAATAGCTACATGGGTCAGGCGGCGTATCAGAATAGCGGACCGCTCTCGGGACACTCGATGGATGGGCAGCAGCAGCAGGTGCATCCGGCGGACGCCCTGGGAATGGGCGGCCCAGGAGGAGGCGGCGGTGCCGATGGAATGCACTGCCCAGTGTCCACGGCCTTGCCGCCGATGAGCTCGTTCCGCGCCACCCCGGGCGGCATCGGCGGCGGTGCAGGCGGAGGACCTGGTGCCGGGCAGCAGGCACCAGTGAACGTCAACGTGAATCCCCCAGCCGTGTTCAACTCGCCGCAGGCCCACAACCACAACCACACAGTACAAGCACAGCACAGTGCACTGTCCACGGCTGGACCGCTTGGCCATCACTCGCTCAACCACACGCCGCACGCACATTCCCACACACTCCCGCTCCCGCACGCCCTGCCCCACGGCCACGCCCTTCCGCATCCCCACCACAGTCAGCAGAACAGTCCTGCCGTGCAGAGTTCGGATGCGTTCAGTGGTGCCGGCGGTGTTGGTGCCGTGGTGAAGGTGGCCGGCGGAGCTGGTAATTCCTCGGCGGCGGCAGCAGCGGCATTGCGACAACAGATGTACATGCCGGCGGATCAAAGTATTAGTAGTTTCGGCTCGAACCCCTCCACGCCCGTCAATTCGCCGCCACCGCTGACTCAGTCTGTTGTTGGCGGCGGCGGTGAGCCGTCCGTTTCTGGAGCCTCTGCCTGGGGTCATGCGGTGCTAAATGGTGGACCCAGCTCGAGCTACGCCAGCGAAATGGTTCCTGTGTCCAGTCTGCACACCATGGCCTCGGTCTTCCAGGGCGTGCGCATGGAGGAGCGACTGGACGACGCCCTGAACGTGCTGCGGAACCACTGCGAGCCCGAGATGCTGGCCGGTGTCAATCAGTCGCTGGCCTCGATCGACAACATCGATGCGCTTACCTCGTTTGTGCCCAACTCGCCGTCGCATCTGGGAAGCGGCGGTAATGCCGGTTCGGTCAGCAACTCGTCCAACGCGGCCCTGGTGCACGAGGTTCTGGCCTTGGGCGCGGCCGCTGCCGGTACTTCCGGTCAGTCGGTGGGTGGAGCTGGCAGCCTGGCCAGCTTGAAGCACGATCGCAGCGCGGCCACGTCTCTGACCAAGCAGACGAAAAAGCGGAAAGAGCATACGGCCATCAGCAATTCAGTGCCGGCGGGCGTCTCCACCACCTCGAGTCTGACCAGCCTGGACATTTCCGACACGAAGCCGACCAGCTCGATCGAGTCGTCGAATTCGGGCATGCAGCAGCATTCGCAGGGAGCCAAGGGCGCGAAAAGGCCGCGGCGCTACTGCTCGTCGGCGGACGAAGACGACGACGCAGAGCCGGCGGTGAAGGCCATTCGTGAGAAGGAGCGGCGACAGGCCAACAACGCCCGCGAACGGATTCGCATTCGGGATATCAACGAGGCGCTCAAGGAGCTGGGACGCATGTGCATGACGCACCTGAAATCGGACAAGCCACAGACCAAGCTGGGCATCCTGAACATGGCCGTCGAGGTGATCATGACTTTGGAGCAGCAGGTGCGCGAGCGCAATTTAAACCCAAAGGCGGCGTGCCTGAAGCGGCGAGAGGAGGAGAAGGCCGAGGACGGGCCAAAGCTAAGTGCCCAGCATCACATGATACCGCAGCCGCAACAGGTGGGCGGCGGCACGCCCGGGAGCAGCTACCACGGCCAGCCAGCGCAACTGGGGCCGCCGTCGTCGCAGACCATCAGCAGCATGACCATATCCCTACCCGTCAACCAGGCCAACAGCGGCCTGCCACCCCACTTGCAGCAGCAACAGCAGCAGCAACAATCACAGCTCGGACACGCCCAGCTCCCGCAATAGCATGCACCGCCCAGGAACCCCTTCTGGAAATCGTCGTCGTCGTCGTCGTCCCACTCTTCCATAAAAACCGAATGTATTGAAGGCTCCGCGGCCAAGTACTCAGATAACTTGGAACTGGAGAATCAGGTTTTAAGCAATATGTTCTGGCGTTGTCGTCCTCCCAAATTGCAACCACAACCCTTACAAAATGTACAACACTTTTAATACACAACAGACACACACACTACAAAAAGTAAATGAGAAAATGAAAAAAAACGAAAACAAATGCCCAAATGATTGCCAATCCACACACTCACACACACAGAATTGCTCTTTTTAAAACGATTGTATATAGCTGTTCCATTATGTTTAACCTGGGAAGATCTTTTTCGTTTTTTTAGAATGTTTGATTTAATAATTATTTGTTTTATTTTGTGCGATATCACCGTAGCCATATTTTTTATATACAAATACATGCATACATAACGACATAATTAAGTGAAAATAGTTTTATAATAAAAAAAAAACAACACATAGACTTACTTCTATATATTCCCGAGAGCTAAGGAATAAATATGTCCATATTAATATTTTATATTGCGTTACAATGTTCTTCTTATGTGATTACAGAGAAATTTTTGCACATAACGGTAACCACGGAATTAATCGTTATCTAAGATTAGCTGGTAATTGTTGTAGTATCTTAAGGCTTCAAAGAGACACGTTCACGTGTTGTATAATTTAATTATATATATATTTTTCGCTAGGATAGGGCAACCGGAACTAACAAACTGATGCCATTATAATCTTAACAGAAATTGAAAAGTGAAGCCAATGCAATTCCCCCGAATGTATGACATGGAAAAGTGTATTTTATTTACCAGCGACAACGCTAAAACTTAACAACAGACTCTTTAAGGCACTGAATTCATATATGGCGATACGAAAACTTTCTCGGTGGTTTTCATTCAGTCTATCTTTGCCCGATCATTTCTTAGCTTTCGTATATTTTACACCGCTTACATACTTCATGAAAACTATTACCTGTACAATTTTTAGACTTTTTGACTTCATTGATTTCGTTATGAATAAATGGTATAATATAATGTTTATACCTAATAATATGTGGTTGAGCTGTCCATTATTTGGTTTCTAAACAAGGTTTCAATATGGCAAGTTTTTTTGGGGAAAACTATTTTGTGATTAACAAAATTAGACCGAGCTATTTTAATTAAAGAGCGTTGGAGAGAAGTCCTACTTTTGAGGCTTAAAGATAATTAACATTGTACTGCCTAAAAGCTATATTGGAATTCCAAATGAAAAACGAAAACCTTAGGTCTTATTTTTTTTAAGAAAGACTATTTGTTTTACTTCAAAGTTGTATCTTTGTGAAATGGCTCCCAAAATACACAGGTTCGTTAATTTGTAGGAATGTCCTTTATTTCCTTTTTCTACATATATCTTGAGTATATCGAGTTAAAAAGAAAGGAAGACGTTTTATACCCAAAAAAAAAAAAAAAAAAAAAAAAATTTAAAAAAAAATTTAAAAAAAAAAAAAAAAAAAAAAAAAAAAAAAAAAAAAAAATTAAAAAAAAAAAAAAAAAAAAAAAAAAAAAAAAAAAAAAAAAAAAAAAAAAAAAAAAAAAAAAAAAAAAAAAAAAAAAAAAAAAAAAAAAAAAAAAAAATTGGTGACTCTCATTCACACTGAAAAAAATACTCCAGAAGTATACAATTTTAAAAGTTGAGTGTATAAAAAAGTGCGATCATTAGTACTTACCATTTTTATCTACACATTACATGTAACTTACACATGTAAATAATCTTTAAATTTACAAGGAAAAACGTTCAAACGTACATAATGACATCAATGTAAATATTGAATGCAAGCGTTTTTTTTATCACATTGATACATAGTATAGTTGTATCATGTTTATAACAATTAAAATAAGAGTGACATTCAATCGAGAATTAGACTACGCGTTACTAAGTAAACATTTTTTAGTACATTGCCAGGGAATTTATGTACACATGCATAGGCCATGCTAAAGTTGTCTTTCATTTCTGTTAATTAATTGGAATCGTCGACACTTTTAGAACCTGTTAACCCATGTTACCAAAACACCAACCACCGAGTTATTTACAAATTGTTTTTATTGCCATGAAACTTGGTTCCTAAATGCACAACTATGATTTTAGTAATATACGTTTAATGTCTCATTACAAGTTGGACACATTCGAATCCAAAACGGAGAGGGCCTCGTCCTTCTCCTCCTGGAGCTCCTTGCCAGTAACGTTCAACTTGGTCTTGGCGAAATCGCTGAGGGTCAATCCAGAGACGATTTTCCATTGCTTATTCTTGATCTCGACGGGGAAAGAGAAGATTACATCCTTGGGAGAATCGTAGCTGCCGTCGGAGAAAACTCCCATAGAGACGAACTGGCCGGGAGCAGTGCCGTTCCACCAGTCGTGCATGTGATCGCATGCAGCCTTGGCCGCCGACATGGCCGAGGACATTTTCCTGGCCGCAATGACAGCGGCTCCGCGCTTCTGCACGGTCTCAACAAAGGATCCCTGCAGATAGGCCGTGTCGTTTACAGCCTCCACCACGGATTTCACGGCTCCATTGATGGTCACCTTTCCTTGGCCAGCATCGGGATACTGAGTCGAAGAGTGATTGCCCCAGATGATGACATTCTTCACAGCCGAAATGGGAACACCCAACTTGGCGGCGATCTGGGAGGTGGCGCGGTTTTGATCTAGACGGGTCATGGCCGAGAAGTTCTCGCGCGGAATAGAAGGAGCATACGAAGAACAGACCAAGGCATTGGTATTGGCCGGGTTGCCAACGACCAACACTTTCACGTCCTTCTTGGCGAACTTATCCAGAGCCTGGCCCTGGGTCCTGAAGATCTTCACGTTGGCGGACAGCAGGTCCTTGCGCTCCATTCCCTCCTTGCGGGGCATGGCGCCTACCAGGAAGGCGGCCGAGACATTATTAAATCCAACAGCCGGATCGGTTGTGGGCACAACCTCAACCAGCAGTGGTAGGGCACAATCTGCCAGCTCCATGACCACGCCCTCGAGGACTCCGACCATGGGTGGAATGTCGAGCAGGTGCAGAATGATGGGCTGATCCTTGCCGAACACCTCGCCGCGGGCGATCATGTACAGCAGGGAGTAGGCAATTTGGCCAGCGGCACCGGTTACCACAACTCGAATTGGTTCAGCCTAAAAAAAAAAAAGATGAAGATGGTGAAAGCTGAAGAAGATTTTAATCCCTTAACAATTTGAAATATTTTCATTTGAAACAGCGGATGATTCTTCTAATATCTTCTATCTAAATATTATCAAGTTAATGTTGCGCCTTGTTTATTTGAAATGTTATTTTCAGTGTTTTTTTTGTGTATAAAAATGAATTTTAATTTTTATATTGACAAATTATATATACTTAGAATACAGATGCAGCTGAGCTAATTATAATGAAATAAGGGGCACATTTTCCATACAGCCATTGCCTTTGCTTTTATATTTTATTTTTAGAGACTTGGCATAGATTATACTGGGGAATATATTAAGCTTCACAATCATCGTTTTCCTATCTAGTAAGCCTTTTCAAATATAGTTTAATTTAATTTAGCCAAAACTCGTAACAAGTTCCAATTTGATAACGAATAATAAACAAATAAGACGCTTTTGTTATTATTATTATAGTAAATGGATGGGTCGATATCAGCATGTACTCGTATTTCTAAAGTCAAAGAGAGATAAAGGGCTATTGTTTGTGTACAGCGGAAAACAAAATTTAACTGTAAATATTAAAACCTATAATATCCAAGCCATTATTCATTTCACAGGCTGGCATTTATTTCTTGCGCGTTATGCGCAATTTTCACCCGTCCTTGTTACGCAATCCCAGTTAATCCTTTTTGAAGGGGGAACTAAATATAGGGCACTAATGGCAATCAACAACCATTTATGTTTTCCTTTCTCCAAAAGCCATTCAACTTGGATTTGTACATATGTATGTGCATATCTGTAATGTTTTAAACCTTACAAACATACATACACATGTACATATGTATGTAGTTTTCAATCAATGTTTTAGTCTAAAAGGTTACAATTGTAAGTAGTTGGAGATAGAACCTCTGAATTTTAGCATTTTTGATAAGGTATGACAGATTTGAACTGCATGGACTTTGCTTTTTTACTTTCTATAAAGTTTATATAAGCCGAATCTCGTCCGGGTGAGCGAAAACATGGAAAACCACATTTTTTATTGCAGCCAATTGCCAATTAGCCTGCATTCAAAATCATTTGATGCTCTTTGATTCTGCTGGAAATTTGTCATTTGTGCAAACGTATTTACGTCACTGTTGGTTTTTAAAGATTAGCAATGAAGAGAGGTCGAATGAATGTTAAATTTCCAGCACAAATTTTGCGACCCGTCTACACATACCCTCATAACTACATTTAATTGAATACGGCGACTGTGCTTGTATATGTACACCTTTTGCACATTAAAAAAACAAATATGCAAATTATGAATATTAATTTGGCAATATATACTATATTCTACAAAAATTTTGCCGGCAACCTTACCATTTTTCTATTTTGCAGGTGAAACGCTCCACGGACGAACTTCAAGTAAAAACGTAAATAGGGATCGCCAATTTGTTAACCTGTTACTTCTCACAAATATTTTTAAGTCACTGCTTTTCGGTTAAAAGTAGCCGTGACTATTTTGCGGAAAAACTGACACTTCGCGTTTTCTGCGTTATTTGCTATTGTTAACATACAAGCCAATAACATTTTTAACTAATAAAAAAAATTTTAAATAATTTAAATTTAATTTAATTTTAGTACATTTAAGTTCATTTAGTTAATTAATTAATATTTTAAATATTTTGTACTTATATATTTTTTTTTCCAACCTAAACCTTTTTTGCAATCCATTTAACTTGTAATAAAATTAAATCAATTATATTTTATCATAAATAAAAACAATGCAGTCGTGTGAAATGTTACTTTTTAATGCTGTGTTATCGATAGCTCAAGTCGTGGAATGATATCGAATGTTTCGTGTTGAAAAAAATTGAAGTCTTTAATTTGGCGAATTCATTCGTTTACTTTGCGTTTATTTTTAGCCTTAGTACTTTCGTTTGATACGTTTGCTACCGAGTATTTATAAAATTAAAAAGCGTTCAGGTGTTACATTTGCAATCGTAATTACGATTCATCAACTATCCAAAGTGAATAAAGAAAAACCTACATCACACCTACAATCATACGTGTTACGTGTACATACATATGTGTATGTATATATACTCTTGCTTATGTACATTATCGTTTTTATTTCCTATTTGCCCATTGGTATTCTCTAAAAATCGATTTCTGTCACAATTTTTATCATGTTTGTTGACTTAGTTGGTTTGGCAAACAGTTTTGAAAACCAAAAATCAGATAGTTTAAGTTTCTAAATAATTGTAGCGTGAACAATGTACACACAAGTGCATACATAAGTGCTTGTGTATGTGTGTATATATAGTGGGTGAACAAATAACTGATGTACAACTATTAAATGATTTCCGATTGCAAATACGAAAGTCATATATTTTAACTTTGATGCTTGATTTCTGCCTGATATCCAACATATTGATGTGTCGCCATATTTACACAAACCTCCGGTTATTAAACTCTAAAGAATACTTTCTTTTTGTTGCTTTAAGGAAAGCTTGCATTTTTAATTTGAGGTGTTAATACTCGTACGTACAACAAATCTGTTATGAAAAGGTTTCCATATTTAAAAATACATTTTTATTTGTTGGTCTGCGTGCAGACTGATGTGCATGTGTGTGTGTCTTTTGTATATATACAAAATACTTACCTGACAGAAAACACCTTCATCAGGTAGCATATATTGAACAATTTACTGTGGTCGCATCAAGACAATTAAGCCACGAATACCATAGGAAATACGTAAACAAAATATGGAACCCAAATTTCATTAAAAAGCTAAAAACTGTAAATAATCGAAAGTCTATCCACAGGTGCTAAATTCCGAAAACTTGTTTTCATAGTGTGCAAAATAATGGCAATGTTCGTGTGATTCATACAAAAAAGATATTGGTACGACGCATACCTTCGTTGTGTACAAATTTTAGGGGTTATAAAGCATACAATACTTCAACTTAAAAATAAAAACTGAAAAGAATAGGAAGTTCAATATCAAATTTCGTTATTTACTCATGACACATTAAAACCCATTTTACTAACGTCACCGACAAGCTGGCTAAAAAATATTTTTTTTTTTTTTTGCTTTTTCAAGCTTGGTTTTCATCATTATCAACAGTTTGTTAAAAATTTGAAGCTGCAAGTACTTCTCCACTAAGAATCGCCTGAAAATGAACGGCCTGAGCAGTAATGATGATGCAGTCGAGTGCCCGTTGTGTATGGAGCCCCTCGAGGTGGACGATCTGACATTCTTCCCCTGTACCTGCGGATATCAGGTAAATAACGTCTATATTAGCACTCTGGTCTGCAGGGAACTCAAGTGTTTTACAGATTTGCAGGTTCTGTTGGCACAGAATCCGCACGGATGAAAACAAGCTGTGTCCAGCCTGTCGGAAGGAATATCCAGAAAATCCTGCTGACTTTAAGCCGCTAACACAGGAAGAAGTGAGTTGAAGGCCGGGGGAATATATTTCAAGCATTAATGTTATTTCTTCATTAATTTCCAAAACTCCAGATGATTGCCTTCAAGTCCCAAAAACGACAAAGGGACCAACAACGAAAACAAAAGATAACCGAGAATCGAAAACACTTGGCCAACGTTCGCGTGGTCCAAAAGAACTTGGTGTTTGTTGTGGGCTTACCACCTCGACTTGCTGACGCAGATGTATGTTGGCTTTTGATTGGAATTTACTGAAATTTAGTGACATTCTCTCCTCACAGATATTAAAAAAACACGAATATTTTGGTAAATATGGGAAAATTCATAAAGTCGTTATAAATCCAAGTACCACGTATGCCGGGGTCCAGGTAAGAGTTGTAAGATTCAATTATTTATTACCTCTATACCTTCTTATGGCCAAGTGCCAATACCCGAGTTGCTCAGTCATTTTAGGTGGTTTCAATGAAAATAATGGCTGGTTTTCAGTGAAACTGTACAGGTTAACAAGTACCAAAATTTATTTTCAATTAAAACGAATTCGAACCTTTTGTTATTAGCTGCTCTGGTAAGCGAACATTGTAGAAATATCGTTTTAAAGCAAAATTTTTAAAATTTATTTCTTTACTTTTATATTAATAATTTTTTTTTTATTATTTTAGGCAAATTTGTTTATGTATTTATTTGTGCTTGCTTATGCTGCAATACAACTTTAAAATAGTTGTTAACAGAGTGGATTTGAGAATAACCTCGATTGTTGTTTTCAAAAGATCACAGGTGTCTCTTTATGTGTAACATTTGCTCAACTTGCTTCCCATAAAACTGCGAGGGTATCTTAGTTTTCGGTTTACCGAACCCGCTCCTTTCTTAGCTTTATTTACTTATTTCAATCTTCGATTTAAAGGGTCCATCAGCTTCTGCCTACGTCACTTATGTTAACAACTCGGATGCTTTGCGGGCCATTCAAAGCGTCAACAACATTATGATAGACGGGCGACTCATAAAGACTAGTTTGGGGACAACAAAGTACTGCAGCCACTTCATGAAAAACCAGCAGTGTCCCAAGGGCGACTGTATGTACTTACATGAACTGGGCGATCCCGAGGCCAGTTTTACAAAGGAGGTAACTATCGTAAGACGCTCTAAATGTTTACAAACTAATGTCGTGTTTGCTTTAAAAGGAAATGCATCAGGGAAAGCACCAGGAGTACGAGAAGCGCCTACACGATACTCTTATTGCCTCGTTCGGACCGAATACTGCAGGTATTGTAAATGGTAACGGAGCTTCTAAAGCAAATGGTAATTCCCGCCTATACGACAACTAAATGACTTAATAATGTCTTTCCCCAATCAGCCGCGATTCCATCGTCCTCGTCGGCATCATCCTCGTCCTCTGGATCGGGTACGAACGCTTCTGGTGTAGCCAATGCCCAGCAGAAGGAGGCCTGGCCCAGTTTATCGGTGTCTCCCATCAACGGCAGGGAGGCGCCTGCGAGTACAAACAATTCCAGTGGGAAGAGCAAACGGGAGAAGCTGCGTAACGAAAAGCGACACGAGAAGAACAAAGCGAAGAATAAGAATGCGGGCAACTCAAACTCCAACGCCGCGAACAAGGAGAACTTTGTTCCTGAATCGCGGAGTAGCACAAGTACTGAGACATTCGCAGAGGCCACAGCGGATGCTCAACCAACGCCCACAAAGGCTGAGCCGCCGCAGCAGAGCTCCGGCAATCGATCGAGGGCAGATCGCGGCAAGGATCGGACCTCCAATCATGCGGCCAGTGCAAAAGAACCCAAGAAGGGTAAGGAAACGACTGCAGCGGCACCAGCGGCAAGCAAACAGGTTGAGCGAATCGAGCCGAGCGAAAGTACAATAACACAAAAGAAGACGGAAGCAACTGAGAGCTGTGAAGATAACTTACCACAAAAGAGATTAGCGGCAACCAATGTTCAAAGATCTGTGAGCTCCTGTAGCGAAAATAGCGAAGGCCACGTCTCGGAGAGTAGCTTAAGTGAAAAGAGTTTAGCCGGCGATTATACGGAGGAGAAGTGCAATAGTGTGAATTCTGAGAGCCAACCAGAAAGTGTACTCACCCAGGAGGACGTCGAAAAGAGCAACGAGGCTATTGCCGAGGCTGAACCGAAACTATCGGGATCCAAATCCTTAGAAGACCTCAGTAGCCCCGCTGCAGTGTCGCCTAGTACAAAAACAGATAGCTTGCCCGATGAATCGGTTAGTTCTGCGAGTTTGCCGGAGAATGGAACGCGAGTGACTGGTATGGCACTTAATCTATTTAACTCCTGCTGGCCTTACTTAAATTTTACCCACAGATGCGCTGTCTAAGCTCAACATTTATGATGACACGGCCAGCTTTTTCACATCATCATCATTCCAGCAAGCCCCCTTAATAAAAAATAAGTTCGATTTGGAGATGCGACAGTCTCATTTACCAGACTTGGTAAACGGTAAGTGAATTTACAAAATGCTTTACCATTAAGATGAAGCCTTTGAATTAATATTTATAAATGTGTATGTCCTTTTTATTTTTCGGTACTGCCAATCATCGGTAACCACTTAATAAAAACATCGGCGGCTTACACAGATATTGATGGAATCCAAAAGGCATCAAATGCAAACGGTAATTTATTTGTTAAATTTTTTTTATTCTATTTTACTTTTTTTTCCTGTTTATTGTTTTTTTTTTAATTCATTCCATTGGTCGTAACCATCGTTGTTTGCCCTTATAATAACTAACGTATTTTTGTAAAAACTAATTTTATTTATTTGCATTTAATCAAAAATACTATTTACAGAGTGGGAGGAAGCTTTCAAAAATGTGATGATACGCAACACAAGGCATGTGGAGGAGCAATTGCTTCAGCAGCAACATTTGCAACAGCAGCAGCAGCATCACCACCAGCAAGTATTGCACCAACAGGAGGAGTTCCTTCGCATGCACGAATTACAAAAACGCAACCTGTTTGCGAATAATATTTCACAAATCAACGGTCCTGCAAATGGTATGCTAGTTTCTGAATTTGTATAACCTTTTCATTTTGTTCTTATAAAAAATATTATTTTACTGTGTTTTTGCAGATGTCCTAAGCCATTTCCAAGCTAACTCACTCGATTTAAACAGAGTTCAAGCCCATGCACTCCTGCAGCAACAACTATTACAACAGCAAACAGGGGAAAATCTGTTTGGCGGAAACATGTCAAAGTTCTTTGATTTTCATAAAAGCCAACAGCAGTCACACCATCAGTATCTTAATGGACACCAGCCTCAAATCAACGGAAATAGTGCTGTGCCTGAGCCACAACGAGTACCAGCTTTCTTGGAAAATAATCGTCTGAATTCGCCCTTTGTCGAAAATGGTACGTTCTACTTTTCGATTATAAATACCCTCTAACCGTCAATAATGATTTATATCCTTATCTCAGGACTTCTTAACTCACAACAGCAAGCTCAAAAGCAGAGGATGATGGGAATGTTTGAAAATTTGGTGAGTGTGTTATCATTGCCTTTATTTAGCTGGATACGTAATACAAACTATTTTTTTTAGCCTCCAAACACGCAATCTCAGCAGGCTCGGTTTACTCAGAACTCGATAGTCGACGATGACTTAGGTAAAGAGTTGTTAATATCGCCCTTTTACAATTTTTAACTACTTTTTTTCCGTTCTAAAGGTTTTGATCCCTTTATTGAGACCCAAAAGGGACTTGCTGAACTTATGGAAAATGAGGTTGTTCAACAACAGAGTATTAACAATGAAATCCCCGGGCCGAAGCTTCCGCCACCGCCTCAAATTCCCCCGCATCAGCAACTGGTGGACAACATGCAGCGAGCTCGCATGCCGCCGCCGGGCTTTAATCATGTTAACACACTGGGATTGGGTGGAGCATCTAGACTTCAGCACACGAGCAAAATGATGCCCTTCATGAACATGCCCGTGAACGGGGTGGGAAACAACGGAGCCCAAGGGCAGCATCAGGTCCCGATGAATGCCAACTGGAATGCTCACTTGGCCATGCATCAAAACCCTGGACAGTCTGTGGGCGACTCCCAATTGCAGCACCCGATGGCTCACAACAAGGGTAAATATAAAAAGATAATACTGAGTTGATCCTTTTTTTAATGCTTTCATTAATTTTCAACAGTTTACAACAACAGTGATTGGACTACAATGGATCCGGCTATACTTTCGTTCAGACAGTTTTCATCTTTTCCACAAAACCAAATTCCCCCACATCCTCAACAACAGCAGGATATGTTTTTGCAGCATTTGGCTCAACAGCAAAATTCCCAGAGTGGTAAGTTTCAATTACGAGTTGTTTGAAATATGAAGTAGACGGATTATTTGACATCTTTCGGATTATTTGACAGGTTTCAATAATCAGCCACAGCAACTGCTTCCTATGGCGATGCCCAATAATTTGCTGAACGGACAACAGTCGCAGCCGCCACAGGTCAATGCCAATGTTCAGGGCATGCTTGAGTTTTTAAAAAGCCGTCAATTCGTTTAGCTACAATACATATAAATATTACATTTGTTTACCTGTACTCTTTATTAAATATTTCTTAAAGTAAATATAGGCAAAATAAAATTCGAATATAATGAAACTACAAAGATAAAAAAGACGGTGGAGTAAAATTTTGCATAGTATATGCATTTGGCGCAAGAGCAAGACTTGAACCCCAACTTCCCCCGCCCGATGTCCGCACGAATGAGGCTTATAATAGAAGAACCCTATTAAGGACTTAATATTCTCGGCAGTAGTACAGCTCCCAGTGATTTTTTAACTTAAAATCAACTCATTCCAATTGCTTGCTTGGATAACAGACAGATACCATGGCAATAAGTAGCAAAGAAAACCTCGTGATTTGAAATTATCGAGACTGTATAATAATGTCAACTTTTTAATAATAAACACTTGACTTGAAAGGTTGAAATGAGTTTATTACTATGATCCACTATTACTTCCTATTTTTGGGGGCGTGGGGCAGGCGATTCCCTTGACCGGCGGCTCCTCCTAAGCGCATCGCATTGTTCCCAGGGCCGCCGTACCCTTGGCCAGGACGATTTCCCGCATTATTTCGGTTGCCGCCGGGACGTCCTCCCCTTTGATTTTGATTGGAGTTCCCACCGCGGTTTTTGTTCATTTCTGTGCGATTTCTGGACTTTGCCTGCGCGTCTTCCTTTACCATATCAATCACTTCATCGGGAATTCGCAGATATTTAATGGTGCTTCCACGGATATAGCACTCCGGCATACGCCAAAAACGATCGCCATCCTGTAAGATATTTAATTATTAAAACTTGTTTTTCGCCACTATTTTATTCATTATGTGGGTAAGCCAAATCATGGTTGAGCCATATTTGCAAAATTATTTATTAATTATTTAATGTGTATGTTACCTTTGAGGTGCAGATCACATCGCGAAGGTTTATATTCATCCAGGAGTCACAGCTTACCAAGTGACCATTGTAAGTTTCTCCGTTTTTGAGCTCCACCAACTAAATAACAAAAAATAACATATTTATTAAAACGTTTAAATACATTAAATACACTAATTGTCTTACCATAGGATGGCTTTGCGCTGTTTTTAAAAGTGACAGTGGCAGCTAAAACGCATTAAAATGAATATTTTTCTGATATTTACTATAAAATAATGTTGCTTACCATATTGAAGAAATAATCGATTAATAATTCGATAACTGGAAGCCGGTAGGGATGAGCGAAAAACTATCGAGCAAATGAACGATATGAACTTTAAACAATAAACTTTTGTATATATTTGTATTCTGATTTTAAATCGTATGTATTTCTTCTTCAATTTTGCTTACGAACATTTTCTATGCAAATCAGAATTTTAGTTTTGTTTGGAATCGTTTTTGATACTCATAAAAAACGCTGGGTCTATTAATATTATTTATTTATTTATATTAATTGGGTACGAACAAGCTAAATAATTAAACTAATGCGTACATTTAATTTGAGTTATTTTAAAGCAGCTCGGCTTTGCAACGATTGTAACTCGTTGAGTAGCAGGGCAATATTATACCGCACTTGTTGGAACATAGATAGCGGTAATTCTAAAGTTCGAAATTCTCTATTCTGGAGTTTAAAGTGGAGGACTATAGTCGGCTTATCGATTTGCACAGTACTGAAATTTGAAAACAAAACAATATAAAAGTCTATTTTCAGTGAAAAACATAATACTTACTTAAGAGATAATGAAATATTTATTCTCCATTGCAATTTTGACATTTTTACGCGGTCCATTTTAGTTTCAGAAAAGTTTTTGCTAAGAACATCTCGATGGTTTAATAAAACTTTGCAAATATCATCAACGAACTCTTCTGAAAAACTAAAATGCAATTTAATATCGTTACACTTTTAGCACTGCTATACATACCCTGCAGTTCTGGCTGTCACCCGGTGTCTTTTGGCATTCAAGCAATCAATGTGTAGGAAAGGAAAAGGGATATTCCTAAGTTTCCTCTTTCTCACTCTTCGAATACGATGTCGTTGCTTGGCAACGACGGCGGCCCGACACCAAATTTGTCTTCTATTTTTTCGTTTCTCTCATTGCATTGTTGGCATTGGAATGCATTAACCGTTAGAAACACAAATTTGGGTTTTCGGTGGGAACCACGGCTGAGGCATGCTCGACTTATGTATACTTTTAGGTTTTAAAGTTTTTTTAACATAATTTACTTTAAATAAGTATAATTATATACAATTTTATATACCAGCTATTGTCTGGGAATAATATTTAAATTAAATTTACAAGTCAAATTATAAATCAATATTATCTAATTTTTTTAATATTTAAAAAAAGAGATTTGTTAAATGGTTTTATAATTTGACTAAATAGTTTAAATAAACATTTCTAATATTAGTATTAAGAATCTTGCCCTTTTATTAATTCGCGTTGCATATATAGTCGGGTATGACTTTAAATCTAAAGGGTATGCCAGCAAGGCACGCGCCAAAAAGTCTCAGACGAAACAAAAGGGACGATGCAAATTATGAAAAAAAAAACTGACCTGCGTCATTCTTCCGTTGTTCTGCAGCAAGGAGGTTGACAAATCGTCAGATTATTTGTGCTAAGTGATCATTTGTGTAAAATTTAAACTAAATAAACCAGGTAAGTGTTTAAATTATTTTTGAAAGCTATTATTTTTTATTATTCAAAACCCATAAGGCGCTGCGGTGCTTTTAAAAGTAAACAAAGTGAATTTGAATAGTGTTAAAAAAAACATCTCTTTTATGTGCGCCGGCGTACAGTTAATAAACTGGTCCCAACGTAAGCTGGGCCCAATTCTGAACTGGGCCCAATGCAGTTTAAGCCGATTCAAATCGACGCCTTATGGGTTTTTTTTGCATCAATTGCACGCCTCAACTGTACGAGCGCTGTTGGCAGGTGTTGAGCGTCGAATAGCTAGATTTTTAATAAAATAAGCTAGAATAAGCTAAAATTGAAAAAATTATATTTCTATGTTTTGTTAAATCTGCATTAACATAAGCTTGTTAAATTTTCATCTAGCTCATAGCTTGAAATAACATAAAATATAATTTTTTCAATTTTAGCTTATTCTAGCTTATATTATTAAAAATCTAGCTTATAATAAGCTAATCTGGCAATACTGACTGTACGAAGCAGGCCCCCTTAAAATCCCGCAAGTTTATTTCGTTCAGCTACAAAATTTTAATTTTTGCTATTGGCACGAGTTTAGTTACTGGCGCGCCAAGATTTGGGAAATATTTATATTAATTGGCCCACAATAAATACTTTATAATAAATAAAATTTTTCGACATCTCGCACGGCTTACGACAGATCAACCCTTAAATAAATATTTAAAAATTACTGGAAAATTTTAAAAGTATTATTCCAAAATAAATTATTCTAAAATAAGTTTAATAATTTAATATATTTCAATAAATATAATTACATTATTTTATCCATTATTGTTAATAAAATTATTTTTGTTATTATTTTAATCATTATTTTTTATGAATAACAAAATAGAATCAATTATCAAAATAATTTATATTTTTTAGAAAATTCCTATCATTAAATTAATTATATAATTTTCCAAAAATTTTTATTAATTTTATTAAAATATTAAACTAAAAAATGGTCATCGAGAGCGGCATGCATGTCAAATCCTTAAATGCTATACAAGAACTTTATATGAAATGGCACCAGTGCGGCTCCAGGTGCTTCGGACACTCGCATCAGTGGGTAGTCGTACATGTCATCAACGACAAGGCACTTTTGGAACTGCAGGGTATGTATGTATATACATGCATATGTATATTAATACTTACTTTAAGTCGTCTATTAAACACTTTCGAAGCTCATGGTGTTTTACAACGCCCTTGGGATACCTTAGAAAGGTTTGCATCATCAGAAATACCATAGTAAAAAGTTCACAAAAGTTTGGTGGAATTTTGTGACCAGCATTTGTAAGTTTGTTTAGTGCCAGCGAAAGTACTTCAGAAGATGACTTTTTTGTTTCAATAAAATGCACAGATACTTGAATAAGGACTCGTAACATAGATTTGGTCAACTGAGGAGTAAAAGGAGTGTATGGTTTTACACTCCTCAATAGATTATATCTAAACGAAGACATGCTGTAAATTCATTGCACAAACATAAACAAACTAGAGAGGAGAAAGCCTTGATAATAGGAATGTCGTTTTGTTGGTAGTCGATATTTGTTGCACTCTTTTTAAAAATTAAACAAGAAAATAAAAAAAATAATATACAAAACTTCTCTAAGTGAAAGATCCTACCTATATTCTAGTTTTTACTTAATTGGCATGTCGGGTAAAAATCTAGTCTAAAAGTGTCAGTAAACAAAAGAGTTAATCGTCTTATTAAAACTTCATGAACTAGTTTCCCCTGTCAATCACGGCTACACTATTTTCCATTTTATTGTTTAATCTTAAGTGGCCTAATTTTGCTTCATACTTGTTAAATTATAGATTAATTGACACTGCAGCTCACGCTGTCAATCAAACCATATTACCTACAATAATGGTATAAAATGCTCTCCGAAGTATAAAATTGAAAAATTTGTGCTTTGATCCGTATTCTGGTTTTAGTACTCAGTGCAAGTGAAGTAAGCCTGACTATGGACATACTGGTTGTAAGCAACTTTATTGTTAACTTGGTTAAAACTGACCATGCTATTGTTTTTTCTTGTTCGTTTATGGGTAAGAAATAAATTCGTACACTTTAAATTTCTATTTTATGTATTATTTATAAAAAATTTAAAAAAATAGATTTTAAAGATACATCTCTTGCATTAATGGAAAGAAATCAATTTGTGAGCGTTGTACATCTCAACGAATCTTATTCTCTAGAATCTATACTGACAAGAGAGAGTCATGCTCGAACTTCAATCTTGGTAAATGCCAATTGCAGCGGAACAGCTCATCTTCTGTTCCAAGCCTCTGAAAGTAGGTACTTCAACAAAACCTACCAGTGGTTTCTTTGGGGTGTTGATCTTGACGTTATAACGTTATTTCCGTTGGAACTTAAATATGTTGGTCCAAACGCTCAAATAACCTTTATAAACAAAACTGAAAACGGCTACGCATACTGGGATGTTCATTCGAAAGGACGACATCTGAAATCGCAACTGGAAATAAATTTAATAGCAACATTGACAAATGACACACTGAATATAGTTTGCGATATTTTTCATTTGCAAAGCATTGAATTTCGAGGACAATTTAGAGGATTGAATTTAAGAGGAGCAAGCGTCGTAAGTTTTCAAATTTTTTTTTTAATTGCACTCACAGTTGTTGTCTTGCAGATCGACAAGGAGGACATCATTTCAAATGAACAAATTGAATCTATTCTATCGCGTCCCACAAAGGACTCTGGAGTTGCTGCATTTATAAAATACCACTACGAACTTTTGGGACTTTTACGAGAGCGCTTTAATTTCACAGTAAATTTTCGAAATTCTAGGGGATGGGCTGGGCGTTTGGGAAATACCACCTTTCGGCTCGGTCTTTTAGGAATAATTATGCGAAACGAAGCAGATATTGCCGCATCTGGAGCATTTAACCGCATTAACCGATTTGCTGAGTTTGATATTATACATCAAAGTTGGAAATTTGAGACGGCGTTTTTATACCGGTATACTCCAGATTTAGATACTCATGGAAAAAGTGGAAACTTTCTATCTCCATTTAGCGATAGAGTATGGTTGTTCTCCTTATTAACACTTGGTTTATTCAGCATCATTTGGATGCTATTTGAAATTATAGACTTTAAGTTTTTACAGCAAAGAAATTTTGGCCAAAAGCGAAACAATTCAACGCAAAAAATCAATACAGAGATAAATAACTTATGTATAAAAACCACATGCATCGAGCGAATTTTGCAGACATTTGGAGCTTGTTGTCAACAGGGACTAGACCCTAATCCTAAGGATCGATCTGTTCGCTTTCTTGTGATGACCTTGTTTTTGTTCTCACTAGTAATGTACAATTATTACACTTCTTCCGTTGTGGGAGGGTTGCTAAGCTCTTCAGATCAAGGTCCATCTTCTGTTGACGAGATAACTTCTAGTCCATTGAAAATATCCTTTGAAGACATTGGTTACTACAAAGTATTATTTCGGGTGAGTAAACTTACAAAATATAAATAATTTTCAACAATTAATAGTCTCATTTAAAAAGGAAAGTGAAAACCAATCTATTAAAAGATTAATAGAAAAGAAATTGTCCTCTGCAAGAAAGTCAAATGAACTGGGAATTTTTAGTCACATTGAAGAAGCTGTACCATATCTTAAAGCTGGCGGTTTCGCATTTCATTGTGAAGTCGTTGACGCTTATCCCGTGATTGCTGAGTTTTTTGATGCCAATGAGATTTGTGATCTGCGTGAAGTCTCTGGTCTAATGGAAGTTGAAATAATGAATTGGATATTACATAAAAATAGCCAGTATACTGAAATTTTTAGAACGGCGTAAGAAAGTTTGCTCAGACGGTATTAGAATTTTTGAAAAACGCATGCGTTTGATAAATGTTTTAGTTAGTTTTTAAAGTAATTTGTTCGCTAAAGCATCAGTTATGAATTGGTATATTTTGCTACCCAAACATTTTTCAAAATTGTAAAACCTAATTCAAAAATTCCTGCTGCAATCCGTTTCGAAAATTCCTGTTTTTTTTATAATTCCGCTTTATAATTTTAGAATGTGTAATGCCCATGAAAAAGGTTTTGTCGAACGAATCCTCCGACGGCGGCAAATTAAAAAGCCCGCCTGTCAATCACTGTACACCGTGTATCCTGTCAGCTTATCAGGAGTTTTACCTGCTTTTGTTACCTTGATCTGTGAGCTGGGAAATATTGGAAAAATAAAATCTTATCGTTTTATCTTAATTTTCGCAGGTGGATTTCTAATTTCCCTACTATTACTGTGTATGGAGAAATTGTATGTGTATCTTGGATTGCCCAACCGTGTTGTTTTCGGGAAATGTGTCAACTTTTCAATTAAAATGTATGATTAACGACAGAGTTAATAAACAAATAATAGAAATTGTTCCCAATAGTAAAGTCCAAATATTGTTTCATTCCTTACGTTTCTAATGATATATAAACGAATTGGATTCAAACTCCGAATGCAACCCTGCGGCAAATTTTCAACTTCCTGTCACGCTGTATATGTGGTTCTTTCTTTCCTTTGATTCTGTTGCCGAAGCAAGGTAAGTTTTTGGGGATGCTAAGTTTAGCTAATGTTTAAGTGCATTAAAACACATAGAGACACAGATAAAGTAGTCTATAATATTAATAACTTACTGCGAGTGTCATATGTGGCTATTTTTATTATAAAATAAAAACAATTGCAGTGCACATGTAACATTGAAAAGCAATTTCATATTGCAAAATATATTGTGAAGAAAAAAAATTGTGAAAATTAAATTTATTCATTAAGGTAAGTGAAGTTCTGCGTGATTAGTTATCTGTGGATGGCTAGAAAAGGCTTCCTCAGGTAACATATTTCGCCCTGCCTTTCGTTCCATGTGATAATAACCATGTGTATTTATTTCAGAACTGGTCTACAGAATTAAAAACTAACCATGCCGCAGAATGAGTATATGGAACGCCATCGCAAGCTGTATGGCCGGCGACTGGATTACGAAGAGCGTAAGCGCAAGAAGGAAGCCCGTCTTCCCAAGGATCGTGCACGCAAAGCACGCAAGTTGCGCGGCATTAAGGCTAAACTCTTCAACAAGGAGCGCCGCAATGAAAAGATTCAGATCAAGAAGAAAATCCAGGCCCACGAGGAGAAGAAGGTCAAAAAGCAAGAGGAGAAGGTCGAGGATGGAGCCCTGCCACACTACCTGCTCGACAGAGGCATCCAGTCCAGCGCTAAGGTCCTGTCCAACATGATCAAGCAGAAGCGAAAGGAGAAAGCTGGCAAGTGGGACGTGCCCATTCCTAAGGTGCGCGCCCAGTCGGATGCTGAGGTCTTCAAGGTGCTCAAAACTGGCAAAACGAAGAGGAAGGCCTGGAAGCGCATGGTCACAAAAGTCACATTCGTCGGCGAGAACTTTACCCGCAAGCCACCAAAGTTTGAGCGTTTCATCCGACCCATGGGTCTTCGCATGAAGAAAGCCCATGTGACGCACCCAGAACTGAAAGCCACATTCAATCTGCCTATTATCGGAGTGAAAAAGAACCCCAGCTCGCCTATGTTCACATCGCTGGGAGTCATTACAAAGGGTACAGTGATCGAAGTCAACATCTCCGAACTTGGATTGGTAACGCAAACGGGAAAAGTTGTCTGGGGCAAATACGCACAGGTCACAAACAATCCAGAAAACGACGGCGTGATCAACGCAGTGCTGCTTGTCTAAACAACAAAGTTTGCTACCTAATTTAAGAGATTCCCTGAATAAAAACAAAAATATTAAACTAACTAGCAATTTCGTTTCATTTTACTTGATCTTTAGAATAAGCTTTTACCTACGACTTTTATATATTTCTATACCTGTTTCAATTTATTTTCTTGCAGTTTGGTGACTGGAATACAAGATGCAGATCTTCGTTAAGACCCTCACGGGCAAGACCATCACCCTTGAGGTCGAACCGTCGGATACTATCGAAAATGTCAAAGCCAAGATTCAGGACAAAGAAGGAATTCCTCCAGATCAGCAGCGTCTGATCTTCGCTGGCAAGCAGCTGGAAGATGGTCGCACCCTCTCTGATTATAACATTCAGAAGGAGTCCACTTTGCACTTGGTGCTCCGACTTCGTGGTGGTGCCAAGAAGCGCAAGAAGAAGAACTACTCCACCCCCAAGAAAATCAAGCACAAGAGGAAGAAGGTCAAGCTAGCTGTCCTGAAATACTACAAGGTACACACAACAATCTACCAACCGACACCCGAAAACATTCTGATCTGTTCTTGGAATTCTTGAGTCTTGGTCTTGCGCTACTTGGCTTAAGATTTGGAAATCAGAGTGACTTCATCAGTGCCCCTTACTTTCTGATCAAGTATATCTTGAGTCAACATTAAATAATAATACGTATTTTTTAATAGGTTGACGAGAACGGCAAGATCCACCGCCTTCGTCGCGAGTGCCCTGGTGAGAACTGCGGCGCCGGCGTCTTCATGGCTGCCCACGAAGATCGTCATTACTGCGGCAAGTGCAACTTGACCTTTGTCTTCAGCAAACCAGAGGAAAAGTAATTCTGCTACATAACAACATGTACGTTTCCAGAAATCAAATAAAAGCTAGTAATTGAATATTTAATTCAATCACTGAAGAACTTGCCACTTTTTACTGGTTTGAGGTTCACTAGCATTGTTAATAAATTCATTAATTTATTAAATTAGTAGAAACAGGCAAAACGAGTTAAAGGGCAAATTTAATTTTTTATTTGAAATGCAGTGCAATGACATTTCTTCTATATATTCAAAAATAGTAATTATTACTATCGTGATTGGTTTTAACTAGAACTTGATTATCAAGAATATTGAGTATATTGTTAGAGGTGAATCATAGCAATGACATCAAGGTTGTAACGCTTATGGCCGATATGCCCTTAAAAAAGTTGTACTAATTTATTCCATAGAATAAACAGTAAGCACTCGAGGTCTCATTCAGGTATAGAATTTATTGTGAAAATATTGAATACATTGTAAAAGCAGTTTTTACTCGACCTTGAGAAATGCAAATTTTTATAGTTGACCACTCAAACATTGACTGTGTCCACATTAAGGCTCTTCGACAAGAATGTCAGAATATCGGTGGCTTCCTCGATTCTCTTCGAGGTGGGTTTACCGGCTCCGTGGCCCGCCTTTTGATAAACACGCAACAGAACCGGATTGTTTTGGAACTCGGAGTCTCGAACAGCTTCCTGCAGGGCGGCAACAAATTTAAGCGAGTGCAAGGGGCTCACGCGATCATCATGATCTGCTGTCAGGATCAAAGTAGATGGGTACTCCGTTTCGGTGCCCTTTGGAGTGTGCACATTGTGCAGCGGCGAAAACTTGTACAAGTTCTCAAAATGCTCCTTATCAGATGGGTTTCCATAATCCGAGCACCAAGCATGTCCAATGGTAAATTTATGGAAGCGCAACATATCCATTACTCTGTGCAAAATATTTTTTTTTTATCAAGCTTCGTTTTTCGAAAAAAAATGGCTATTTACTTACCCGACTTGTGCAACAGCAGCTCCAAACAAATCCGGACGTTGGTTAATACACGATCCGACCAGAAGCCCTCCATTGGAACCTCCTTGAATGGCCAATCGGTCCTTAGTCGTATACTTATTGTTGATCAAATACTCGGCGGCAGCTTGAAAATCGTCGAATACGTTTTGCTTGTTCAGCAGGCGACCTCCGTTATGCCATTTCTCGCCATATTCTCCACCACCTCGCAGATTTGGATAGGCGAGCACACCATCAAAGGTATCTATAAACATAAGCCTGTAGGAGGACATGATGTATTAAGTAAAAAAGATCAAATTAAAGCAGAAAACTGCAAACCCCGAAAGTCCGAACGATGGCAGCATACTGATATTAAAACCTCCGTATCCATAAAGCAGACATGGTCGCGGTTCAATGGCATCGCGTTTCTTTCTAATAATAAACATAGGTACTTTAGTGCCGTCCTTGCTGTTGTAGAATATCTGTTCAACAGCGTAGTCTTCCCGACGAAAACCTTCCAAATTGAGCTTAATTTCACGGAATAATGTAGGCGACTGGTCGGGTGTTTTGAAATCATATTGATAAATGGAGCCGGGGTTCAAAAACGATGAAAAGTTGTAAAATATTTCGGAATATTTTTTTTCTCCAGAGGTTCCCACAATGGTGCCAATATCCAAATCAAATTCCCGCAGTAGTTTTCCATTATTCAGAGAATTTACTTGCAGAACGCTCTAAAAAGGAAAAATAGGTTTAAGCTCCAAAAAATGAAACGCTTCGTGTATATTATTTACCTTTACATCTCTTATATAGCAAACGAGCAGTTTATCAGCATCGACGCACTTAACCCAGTCCAAAACATCAGACTTGTGCTCCTGTTAGACCAAAACACATTTTAAATAATCTTATCTGTAATTAAAAACAAATAAATCTTACGGCAATAAGCGTTTCCCATTTCTTCTCTTCTGGATTTTCAAAGTCTATGGCAATAACTTGATAATTTGGTGCATTTTTATTTGTACGGAAAAATACTTTTGAGCCTTCGTTGGTAATGTACTAAAATATAAATGAATATATAATAATATATACAATGGAAAAATGATAAAAATCACTTACATCATAGTCCGCCTCGAATTTCTCCACAATTTTTTTAACACTTAGTTTAGAGTTGATTTCCTCGCCAGGTTTAAGATCTGCATAGAAAACAATATTGTCTCGGCAATCCTTAACAATAGCCAGAATCAAGTAATTTCCGCAATCAGAGACTGTAGATTGGCTAAATAACAGATAGTATAAAATGTTTAAGGGACCTTTTTCTTTAAATCAGAAATTCTTACATGCGCCATGAAGGTTCCTCGGGAAATTCGACCACAAGTGTATCCTGATTTTGACTTTCTCCCACACGATGATAGTACAGTTTTTGATTTTCATTTTGTTTTGTTTCAGAACCGTCAGTTTTGCCATCTTGATCGGGGTATCTCTAAAGAAAGGAATCATAACATTTGTTGCTAAAGGAATTCCTTTAATACTTACACCATAGAAGAATCCCTTATTGTCTTTTGTCCAAGAAATTTCGGAGAACTTGACCTTTTCGAGGACTTCGCTTAAATCCTTACCAGTCTCCGCGTCTCGAATGAGAATCTTTATCCAATCGGACCCACTTTCACTCAGTCCGTAGGCCATATATTTTCCATCTTCGGAAAAGGACTTTTGGGTTAATGCAATGGTTCCGTCGTCCGACAAAGTATTCGGATCCAGAAATACTTTGCTTTCACTTTCGTCGCCAAGCGATTTTTGCTGATACATGACACTTTGGTTTTGCAGGCCAGTGTTCATGAAATAATAGTAGTAGTCTCCGTATCGCATTGGGCATCCATATTTGGGATAGTTCCACAGCTTGGTGAGCTTCGTATTGAGTTTCTTCCACTCTTCTCCATTCTCAAGGAATGGTCGGCTTATATTGTTTTGAGCGTTGACAAACTCCTCGGTTTCCGCCGAATCGGGATCTTCAAGCCAGCGATACACATCCTTGATTGGGGTTCCATGGAAGTCCTCCTCAACAGTTGCATCTTTTCGTGCAACTGGATACGCGAGCTTTTTGGACAAAGTGCTTGACATGGCTCTAATGTCTTTGAAGGTAATACACGTATATAAGTTTCTCTTCTTTCTAGCACATGTAATCTTATGAAATTTGCTACTTAAGTTTTTACTCACTTTTCAAAGGAAATTCTCGTTGAATATAATTTCTGGGCAGTGCTTTGGGTATTATTTGGCAAAATCGGCGAACTAGCAATGGACCTTGGAAGATGGTATGCATTTGCAAAATTATCAATGCAAAAATGGAATACTAATTTTCGACTGTTTCGATAAATAATACGGGCACTCTTTTATGAACGCGAATTATCTGTGTGGGTGTAGACTTTTTTGATCTAAAGTGCTTAATGATATTAGTTAAATTCTGTTCAAAACGTTTGATATGTACAAAGTACAAAACCTTGTTTTAATTTACGATAAAAGTTGGTTGATTTTGTAACATCTTAAAAAGCACTGAATAAGGATTCGGGGCATAAAATGTTTTATAAATCTGAATGAAAATATACCCAATAATGATAATTAAAATCAGACTATTGTATTAAGAGTCGACAATGTAAAAAGTTTGTAATAATTATCTTAAAATATGAATTAAATCGAAGAAAATCATGCAGGAATGCCCTCTTTAACATACCCAGTAATGTCAGGTGTTAGCACCAATTGTAGCTTAACATTAATCGGCCCGTGAACAGATCTAACGCTGTTAAACCATATGTTATGTTATGTGTCGAAATATAAACACAACTGAGCCAAACCGTCCGTGTTTCATGAATTGAATTTGGGAATAGCCGTTTGTTTTATTTCATTTAATTTGTCTGAGACGGGGAATTACTTTATTTGTTTGGTATGTATCTTTATGTTTATTTTTCACGGAGCATTTACGTATGGGAACCGGACTTTTACAATATTTAATTTCCATATGTATGTTTTTCTTGGTCAGCAACTTGTAGGCACATATGTATATTTGTATGTAGGTATGAATACATAAACAAACATTCAGCATTTGAATGTATTAACTTAACTGACTTGTGTATTTATTTGAAACTCTTAATTAAACGTTATTTTTTATACCCTGTGCATGTAAGCACCATTTTAAAAGGCTTTGTTTATTTATCTATAATGTTGGACATTTGTTTTAAAGGTTTTCTACAGCCCTTTTAATGTTTTTTGCTTAGTGAACATTTTTGGTAGAATATGACCTTGTAACTAACAAGCTCGGCCTAAAAATTGTTTTCAAATTATCAAATATCATTCTCTTTGATTTTACATAATTTTTATTTTAAGATTAAACTGCATCATGATTTCGGAAGTAGACTTCACAAATAAGGACAGCTCAGTTCGAGTGGCTGTCAGGTGAGACCTGAACTACTTACATACATATAAAAGCACAATAAATATTTGAGACGATTTTTATTATATAATTTCGTTATTTTAGAATCCGACCTCAAAACTCTAGAGAACAAATAGATTTGTGTCGTATTTGTACGACAGTTACAATTGGAGAACCGCAAATATTTTTGGGATCGGACAAAGCCTTTACTTTCGACTATGTTTTTGATACTAATTCCAATCAGGTGAAACGTCCCTTACTTTAGCTTACATGTGATCATTAAATTGAACTTATATATTTTAGTGTGATATATACTCGGAATGCGTGGAGCGGTTAGTCGATAGTACGCTGCATGGCTATAATGCCACTGTATTGGCCTATGGACAAACAGGATCCGGAAAAACCTATACGATGGGCACTGGGTTCGATCATGAATCCGAATCTTCAGAGTCTGTCCAACTCGGTATTATTCCTCGGGCTGTTCGTCATATATTTAGTGGTATCGAACAACTAGAAGCTGGAAGCACTTCAGATATCCCAGCTGCTGCTGGAAGTCCGCAGTTCAGTCTGGCTGTTCAATATATCGAACTATATAACGAGGACATCTTTGATCTGTTGGACCCATTCAACAAAAATAGCAACTTTAAGATCCATGAAGACGCAAGCGGACAAATTACAATATCTGGCGCGTCTATTAAGCCAATTTCTCAACCACAAGATGCCCTAAAGTAAGTTTAATGAATAAATAAACACGTTTTATGTTAATATTTTTAAATATATTTAAGGTACCTTCAGCAAGGGGCTTTGGCACGTACTACTGCTTCAACGAAAATGAACGACCAATCTTCTCGTTCACATGCCCTCTTCACAATTTTCGTGCGCAGACAACGTATACTTGCCCCGAACGACAATGTTTCGGATAACGATTTGGAAACACTGACTTCCAAGTTCCACTTCGTTGATTTAGCAGGATCCGAGCGTCTAAAAAGGACTCAGGCCACAGGAGAACGAGCTCGCGAGGGAATATCCATAAATTGCGGCCTACTCGCTTTGGGAAATTGTATTTCGGCTCTCGGAGATAAGTCCAAAAGAGCTCTTCACGTTCCCTATCGAGACTCAAAGCTGACTCGCCTACTTCAGGATTCTTTAGGCGGAAATAGTCAGACGTTGATGATAGCATGTGTGTCGCCAAGCGACCGAGACTTTATGGAAACATTGAATACGTTAAAATACGCCAATCGAGCTCGGAATATAAAAAACAAAGTTAAGATTAACCAAGATCAAAGTTCTAGAACAATATCCCAGCTGCGTAGGGAAATTGCAGCACTGCAGATGGAGTTATTAGAATACAAACAGGTAAAATATTTCTTATTTTATGGTTTATTCGCGATCTTTGACATGTTGTTCTTCTAGGGTAAACTTGTGGTTGATTGCGAAGGAAACACGACTATTTCTGATACATTTAATGAAAACATGTTGCTTCTATCGGAAACAAAACGTCTACAGCAACGCCTTAAATCTTTACAAAACACCGTTGTCACTTTGACTGAAAGAAATGCAGCACTGAAATTGGAATTGGATTCAAGAATGTGGTCCACAAGCAATGAGGCTGATGCTGAAATTACGAGCGTAGTCGGTCATTACATGCTGGAAATAGAACAGCTTCAGACTAAGTTAATAGAGTCTGAAGAACTGCGTAAGCAAATGGAAACTGCTGCCGCGACTTCACCCAGAGGCAACAAACCAGTTTACGATGGTAACTATTGTATATAGCTTTCATCCTTTCCGTAAATACATATTTTTTTTGTTTAATTTATGTGCTGAAAAAAAAGGTAACATTATAAATAGGGCCAAAAAAGGATTGGAGAAAGAACGAGAGCTTTTAATGTCGCGTTCGTTGCCAGGCGCTCAAAACCAAAACGTCAGCTCGGAGGAAGCAGAAATGGCCAGTAGCGATTCGGAAGGTAAAATTGTGAAAACTTAAACATACGCATTACTTTCTAAACATATATTTACGCAGCGGGAGTTGAGGAAGACTTGGAGTCAATAGAAACCGATATTGAGATGAAAACCAAGCTAATTGAACAGTTGGAGTTGACTAATGAAAGAATGGAACTTATGCGAATGCAATACGAAGAAAAACTATCCGTACTGAACTCCAAAATCCTGAGCACGCAAAAAGAACGAGACGATGTCTTGACAAATATTGGTATGCAATTCAAAACAAAATTCAAAGGTTTAATCAACAGCAATTTGTATTATATAGGTACAGCTGCATCTGGCCAAACCAAGGACAGCTTGAAAAAAAAGAAATCGGATTATGAAAGCAAGATATCGACTATGCAACTTGAGCTAAAGAAATTGCAGAACGCTCAGAGGGAACATCTTCGTCAACAGCAAAAACTAAAGTCTCATGAAGTACGGATAACTACGCTACGCAGTGAACTGGACGAATTGAAATTCACAAAAGTAAGTAAATACATTTCAAAAACATCTTTAATCATTTTCAATTTGGTAGGTTAAATTGATGAAAAAAATGTCGGAGCAAACCAGTCGCCACAAAGAGGAAGACAGTCGAAAATCGAAGGAAATAGCTCAGTTGTTGAAGGAACAGCGCCGCCAGAAAAATGCTGTACTATCCCTTGAGGCCAAGATGACTGCGAAGGAGCAGATTTTAAAGCGGAAAACCGAGGAAGTCATTGCCCTTCGCAAGAGTCAAAGGGGAAAATCGGGCCAAAGAGCGCCCGCACATTTAACTTCAAAAATTGCCACTTTAGACGGGTTTACTTCTCGAGCGGCAAGGCATCGATGGGAGAATCTTTATCGCATTATATTACACGCCGCCAGAAATAGGCAACTGATAACGCAGTTGGAAAAAGAGCTGGAACGTCTCATTCTGGAGCGGGAGGATCTCTCGCGGGAGCTGAACATAATGGAAAATAGTTCAAGTGGCGAAAAGAAGACGGATGATTTCAACGAAGTCGACAATTTAAAAACAAACATCAGTTATATTCAGGAGAATATAGAGCATGTGCAGCAGGCTATAATGGAGTTCGAAGACACAAAGGACACTGTCCAAAGCGATGTGAATAAGATTCAAGGTCTATTGGATGATGTTTCAACCGTGGCAGAGGCCAAATTCATTCTTCAGAAATTTACCGACAGTGCCATTGTCATGTCATGCAATTTGGCCATTGCCGAATCTCATTTGCAGGAGCACGAATCGCTGCTAAAAGAAGTTAAGCAAGAAAGTGCCATTCAGCAGCAAATCTTACAACATTTTCTGTCGCAAAACAGTAATGTGCATATAGCAGACATATTCGATTCATTAAATCTCAAGGGCAGTAACCTCACAAATAGTGTAAATCCGGGTTCTCAAAAGTCGTTAATAAGCAATGCCACATATGACATACCACAAGATGACAAATTTGCAGACACTACCCATGTAGAGATGCGCAGGACAACTAGTAGAAGTCCTTCACCCTTTGGGCCAACTGACTCGTAAGTAAAAGCTCCAAAAACATTGCAATTCATCTTTATTTTTTAGCTTGAACAAAAGGCATGATCAATTTTATTTTCAACAGGTTCGATAAAAGTCCCAAAGTACGTAGACGTACTGCCAAACGACAAGATCTTCTCTTTGGCGACACGGAACTTCCAGAACAGGTAAACACGACTTATTTTGAAAGCCGAATCACCACTTTAAACAAATTATGATTTCATTCTCCAGACTATTAATAAATTGACGTGATCATGCATTCAAAGATGAGGTCACAGAACGCAAACGGCATATGGAGCTAATATATTAAATTAAAACCTATAGCGAACAAGTAATCAAAAAACAGGTTTCATATTTTGTAAAGTAACCTAAACAATGTTACTGTTATGTACGAAATGAATGCAAGCATTCAAAGGAGTTACGGAGCAGTCATTGGTACCATCCAATTCTACTTTTCCCAAGCAGAAGTTGCTGGTAGAGACATTTGCAATTTAGACCTCCAAGTAAATTTAAACGACTTCCGCGTTAAAATAGTTTGTTTTTACATCGAGGGGCTATACAATTTGGAACTTTAAAAGTTATCTTAAGGATTGTACATAGCTCGCTGGCGCAGACGAGGCTGCAAAAGAAGTAGATGTTAGATAAATTATAACTATTAACTACTATTATAAAATAATTAAATAAAATATACATGTAACGTTCTACATGAATTCCAATCTCATCCTTATAACGAATAACATTTTAAAATTTAAATGCATAGTGTATGGACGTTAATACGCGTTGTGTTAACAGTCACACATTCCATAGGATTTTTAGTGGTTGTGTGGATATAGATGTAGCTGTCACAACTTTTGGCCAAACACAATAATAATATTGCAGTAGCAGCAGGACTTCACCCACCGCCATGGTTTCCATCGATACCAATATGCCGATCATCCATACATGCCCAATGTAATGTAAAATACAATTTGGAAATGTAAATTAACGCTTTATTTGACCGCTATCTTGGCATTAATCGAACTATCGGTTTTTACCGGCCTTTCTGATAGAAATTTGGCTTGGGTCCACTGTTTTACTTGTTTATATTTCCAAAACCGCTACACATTGTAATGACGGACACTAACGGACCTGCAGTGCGAATGCCCTGGTAAGTTTTCGTTATATTTCAAAAACGCACAATTAAAATATATTTGTATATTAAGGGTGGAGAAATACCGTCCAAGTGGCTTAGACGACTTGATATCTCATGAGGAAATAATATCAACCAGTAAGCTTGAGCCATTCGGCACATCATAATAATTTAACAGCATCTATATATACTTATAGTCACCCGCTTTATAAACCGCAAGCAACTGCCTCATTTGCTCTTTTATGGCCCGCCTGGAACAGGGAAGACGAGCACAATATTGGCATGTGCTCGTCAACTTTATTCGCCGCAGCAATTCAAGTCTATGGTTTTGGAGCTCAATGCTTCGGATGATCGAGGAATTGGAATTGTGCGAGGCCAAATCCTTAATTTTGCCTCTACGCGAACAATTTTTTGCGACACCTTTAAACTTATTATTTTGGATGAAGCCGATGCAATGACCAACGATGCACAGAATGCTCTACGTCGCATCATTGAGAAATATACAGACAACGTCCGATTTTGTGTGATTTGCAATTACCTGAGTAAAATTATTCCAGCTCTACAGTCGCGTTGTACTCGATTCCGATTCGCTCCATTATCCCAAAACCAAATGATGCCTCGATTGGAAAAGATCATTGATGCTGAAGGGCAAGTATATTACACTGTCAATAATTAAATTTAACTCATTTCTAATTTATCTTCAGCGTTCAAATTACTGAAGATGGAAAAAATGCCCTTCTTACTCTCGCTAAAGGTGATATGCGAAAGGTTCTGAACGTTTTGCAGAGTACTGTAATGGCTTTTGATAAGGTTAACGAGGATAATGTCTACATGTGCGTGGGATATCCGTTAAGACAAGATATTGAACAGATTTTAAAGGCCTTGCTTTCTGGCAGCAGTTTGGAGGACTCGTTCAATAGTAAGATTTTATAAAAATTTAAAGACCATCATCTTTAAAGCTTCTCCTTTTCCACAGCTATCGAGAGCGCCAAGTACGCAAGAGGTCTCGCCTTGGAAGACATTATAACAGAACTGCATTTATTCGTTATGAGACGTGAGTGCTTATTTGAGTGTGACTGAATATTTGCTAATTATGTATTTAAACAGTTGAACTGCCCATGTCCGTCATGAACAAACTTATTGTAAAGCTAGCCCAAATTGAAGAACGATTGGCCAAAGGATGTACAGAAGTGGCACAAACGGCAGCCCTTGTTGCCGCTTTTTTTATCTGTCGGGATATGGTTTCCATGGAGAAGTAAAATAAATGATTTTGTAAATCTATGCTTAAAATATAAATACACAAAAAATTCCTTTTTGTTTTCTTTGTTCATGTTGTTAGTGTGGATTCATATTAAGATCATTTCATTTCAGGTTTAGCTGCATGCATGTATTTTCACTGGAATAACTATATACATATATTAAAAAATTTAACTGAGTATATTCTAAGATTTTGTCTACAAAATTGCTTTTCTGTAGCCCTTTCATTTAAAATTCAACTAAAATTTGTACATTCGATGCTTAACATAAACATGTTCTTGGGTCTACCAATTATAACAACAAAATTCAATTATGGTCTTAAATATATATAAATAAATAATTGTCCAATAATAATAACCTTGAAAAGAAAAATAGGATAACTTAGGATTTCTCTTTATTATCCAGACGCCGTTGTTTGAACCTATCGATTTGCCCATAAACACCGCGATCCTTATCACGGAACCATATATCGTCTGGAGTTAACTTGATGCGCTGCAAAGCTTCTTTCGAGGTATCCTGAATGCGGGGATCGTCGACGTTAAATCGCAATGTGCAGGTTCCCACGCAGTCGCCGTTGGGTATGCCCTGCTCGAATTCGTAGATTACCACGTAGTAGTATGGTTCATTGGTTCGAAAGCTTTCCTTAAGCATCAGTAGGGTATGAGGATCTGTATCTGGAGCAGAGTTTAACTGAGAAACCTCGATTTCTACTGGTGCTGATGGCTCCATTTTGAAAATATCGTTGCTTTCGTTCGGTATAGGCGAATCAGGAATTTCAATTACTTCAGATTCTACTGCTGCCGATACGTTACTTGGTTGTGGAGATATTCGAATGGCCTTGTTTCTGGCTTGGCTGGATATAACAGTAATGACACTACTATTTGCGCTCATTGAGTCTTCGTCCTCCGTGTCAGAAAACATCGGCATCTCAGTTTGAGCAGGTGGTGGCATATTTGGACCCGATTTGTGCACGTAAAACGAGACGTCCACTTGGCTCCCGTTGCCAGTAATAGAAGCATCTAGATTTTGTGTCGGGATTTCTGAGATTTTGTTCTCCACTTCTTCGCATAAAGTACACTTAAATTCATTGGGCTCGTCTCTCTTGGACAGGCGAAAAGTGCCTGCCAAGCACTTGGCATGTGCGCCTGTGGAGGCGCATAGTTTACAGGTCAACAACAACCATGTGTTTCTGTTAAAGTTTCTGCCATTGGGGCAAAGGCAATTTTCCAAGTTGCAGCTCACAGTGCGCTCATGGAGCTCTCGGTATGCGCCCTTCTGCTGCTCCCACGTGGCATCGCGATCCGGCACGAATATCGACTGCATGCAAATCGTTTCCCGGAACTTAGTATCTCGGCACCAGATGCAGCGTAAATAATAGCCCGATGCCAATGCATAACGACGCATACAGTTCTTGTGGGCAAATCCTTTGCGACAGCAGTCTCCGTAAACGGCGTTGAATAACGAAAAACGAGAAATGGGATTGAGACAGATATCGCAGGGCTTCTTTTTGGGCGGATTGGCCACTAGTTCGCGTTTGTAGTCATCCATCGGCGTGCATTTGTCGCAAAAGCTATCGAACTGTCCAATAAACTGGAAGGTGCACCGATTCTCGATTCCGCACTTTAAATGGAAGATTGTCGAACAATTTCTGCACTGGACACTGGCCTGCATCTTCTGGCAGTAGGTGCACCTCCTCTTCTTGGCGGCAGCTGCCTCTCGACGTATATCGACCAGAAGGAAGCCAAGAATGCCGGCTGAATCGCCGCCACGCTGGGGTAAGTTTGTCGAGCAAAGCTAGGGTGCAAATAGTCTTATTAGTGGGTGATCTCCCGACGAATACAGACACTAACCAGGCAATAATAGTGCACCCGCACTTGATTACGGGTCATCCAATCACCGTAAAGCAGCGGGTCACTGGTGTCGAAGCCGCATATATCGCAAACAAGTTCCTGGTTGTTCCCCATTTAAAAAAAAAGGCAGTAATAGTTATTGTATGATTTACTTAAAAAAAAGTCTTCGGAATTGATCGAAAAGCGCGCTTGGACGATTGACATTAATAATTGGTATCGATAAGCAAAGAACAACTATAAATAAATCGGTTAGCTAAAAATTATTTAGCTGATTAAGATTGATGCGAACCTGCTAACTAAAATTTATAAAACAAAATTTTGAGATTTGAAGTTAAATAAAAAATTATATGCTTAAGTATTTAAATAGTAAACTCAGGTAAGAGTAAGTATTCAAAACAGAGTATGTTTGTTGTGATATATGAATATTTTTATACCCGTACGCTTTTAAATATTAAACATATTTCAAAACTGAAATAAAATCGTATTTTTTCACTAGCCAAAACAAAATACAACAAATTATAAGCAATACAATGATTTATTTATGAATGAACGGTTCGATTAGTCGACTTCCATTCCATTGTTCCGCACCGAGCCTAGACAAGGTGACGCTATCTAGACGAGCTTTACAAAAACAGTAAAGTATAGTATATTTTGTATTAAACAAAATATCACTGTTCGTTAATTGATTCTGAATCACGTATCCTGGTTCATATCATACCACCAAGCCCCTATAAATTTTTGTTTGTTTTTATAGACCAATATAATAAAGTTCTTTAAATTGGGCGTAGCAGGCTGGATCCACCTTAATTAATATGGCTGCCGAAATAAAACCAGCGCAGCGAACAAACAATGATCGCTTTAACACGTCAAAAAAGCCGGAATTGCTGAGTAAGCTGGAAGGCAGCAGCGACGATGTTAACGCAGCCATCTTAATTCCTGGCGAAAACGGCGTAATTAGTGTTTCAGATGACAAGTGCGTATTGATAAATTATAATTCTACATATACATATATACATCGTATTAGTTACGCCTGATTTCAAATTTCTTATAGAACCGTTCGTGTTTGGCTAAAACGCGATTCCGGCCAATATTGGCCTAGCATTTGTCAGTATATGCCTTCAGGATGCACGGCTATCGAGTACGTTCCTGAATCTCGGCATTTGTACGTTGGCCAGGAAAATGGAACCGTTACACAGTATGCTTTATCCGAAGACTGTAATCGCCTATCCTTTTTACGGGACTATTTGTCCCATCAAGCCAGAGTTGTGGCCGTGGTCTTCTCAAAAACCCACAAGTGGATTCTTTCCGCCGGAAAAGATAAGCAGTTCGCCTATCATTGCACGGAAAGCGGCAAAAGAGTGGGCGGATACAACTTTGAGACTCCATGCACTGCTCTCCAGTAAGTATGATAACTGACATATTGAACATGAGATAAGCTGCTCATTTGATTAAATTATGTTGACCCTCATGTGTAGATGTGTAACGGTCCTAAAAAGAAAGAACGAAACTTTAATAGTAGTACTTAGCATTTATCACTTAATGATTTTTTTAATGAATTTTATTTTATACATTTTCTTATAAGTTGTCAAATTTGACCTGTTTTCAGGTTTGATGCATTAGCCAAGTATGCCTTCGTTGGCGACCACGCTGGTCAAATAACAATGCTGAGGTGCGACGTTCAAGGGGTTCAACTGATTACCACTTTCAAAGGACACACAGGTAATGTATATCAATAAATACTTACATATGAAAATGTAATACATTTAAAAACTTGTAAAATGTAGCGGAAATTCGCTGCTTGAGATGGGTTGAAGGGCCTCAACTTTTATTTAGCGGCGCCTGCGATCAGTCGGTAATTGTTTGGGATGTCGGTGGAAAACGTGGCACTATATACGAACTGCAGGGACACAGGTATCTAACATTCCTTACGCTCTTTGTAATTATTACTATCATTATCTGATTTTTTTGTTAACGCAGCAACAAAGTTTCTGCCTTGTCGTACGCAAATCAAACCCAACAACTGATAAGCTGCGGCGAAGACTCCGTAGTTGTTTTCTGGGAAATGAATGCAATGCGAAAAGAAGTTCCTGGCTGGGTGGAGTCAAACAACTGCCAGCTTTGCTCGCGGCCCTTCTTCTGGAACTTCCGCTCCATGATGGATCAAAAGCAGCTGGGTAAGGGAAAAGATAAAAATACAAAAAATAAGCATTGTAAATCCAATATTTTATTCTTCCTAGGAATCCGACAACATCATTGTCGCCACTGCGGCAAAGCCGTCTGTGACAATTGTTCAACCAATCGTATTAACATACCCATTATGGGCTTCGAGTTTGATGTTCGTACCTGTGATCCATGCTACAAACAACTTCAGACCGTCGAGCGCCCATCGCTGGCCTCATTTAATGACGCAAAGCACTCTATTGTCTACATGGACCTTGACGAGGACAGGAAGCGCCTATTGACTGTTGGTCAGGATAGGCTTATCAAGATCTGGGATCTTTCCAACATCTGGGCCTAAAAACATGTACGCACATGCATTAAATCCAAGGTATACCAAAGGTATAATCATTCACGAGGCGTTCCGATCTGAACTGGAATACGCAATAGAGGAACAATGTGGCTAGCTCCAGCTAGGTTCTCATATATTCGATGTAAAGCAATAATCATTGTATGTACGTATGCTTACATTAAACACATAAATACAAGATTCCATCGATAAATGACTATGGTTTTCTAAGTGAGTTTTATTGGTTTTGTAGTGTAGTGTATTTATTAATAACCACCCCGGCCCGGTGGTGGTGCTCCACGGATCATACTTGGCGGTGGACCGCGCATTGGTGGAGGAGCGCCGCGTCCCATATTCCCAGGCATTGCCGGCATTCCCCCGGGAATCATGCCCGGAGGCGGGGCTCCCATCATCGGTGCCCGGGGAACTCCGCGTCCCATTGGAGCCATGTGCTGTTGGGCGGGTCCGCCCACGCCTCTCACCGGTCCTTGGAGACCCGCTGGCACGGCGGACATGTTGATGGGGACTCCCCTTCCGGCCACTCGTCCGATTCCCGGGCCAGGAGCGGCTCCAGGAATGGGGACTCGGGGCAGACCCTCTTCTGGCGGCGGAGGACCCTCGACCGTGAGCGAAACTATATTCTCGCCGCGCAGCAATACGAAGCCTAAAACTCGCTTTTCCTCGCGTTCCGGCACTTTGGAATTCTTTGAGCGAATCTTGCGAAACTCCTCGCAATCGCCCAGGATCAAGTTCATGTGTTTGTCGAACGCTTTAAAGGTTCCGATGAACGTTCTCGAATCCTGGAGGACGATTCGCACCCGATAATTCAGGTGCTGAATCATTTTGTTGTTTTTCCCGATCGTCTGAAAAAGAGGAAACGAGGTATTAGTTGTGAAATGTAATCCGCGCCATCTTTTGCAAGCCATTTCGGGTCTATTTTAAATGCCGGTTTTTGTTTTAAGATTTTTTCTTGCAGATGTCTGCATAGTTATAGAGTATTGGTCGTGATAAAAATACATAAATCAAACAGATGAACATAGAAGCTTGTAGGCATTTTGCAAAACATATTGTTTTCTTCATTCGCATGCATATTTTTATGGTTGTGTGCAAAAAACAAACAATAAATAAAAATCAAGCAACTTAATGAAAGCCGCGTTATAAAAACCTAATATATACTTTACAAATCAGTTTTGACTTACCATTTCTGATGAATTCTATATAAATTAGACCGCTGGTAAATAAAATATATAGATGCCGGAACCTCAACACGGCGTTTTTCGATAGGCATAAATAAGAAATCGACTAATAAATGGGGTCTTCGGTATTTTATAGTATATTTAAATATGCCTATCGAATGAATATCGAATAAAACAAAGTAAATCAATTATTAGTAGGTTCCACTCCTTAAATTGTTTTAATATTATTTAACTGCTGTATAACATTATATGTATACAGTTTTAGTGGTCTTAGCCTATTACAATTGTTAAAATTTATGTTAAAATTCAGAGGTAGACTTTGAGAGAAAATATAGTTATGATAATAAAGATAATATTTGATAAGATTTAAGATACTAAAAGATCATGTTATATGGTTATTTGTTGCCAGACGTTTTATATCCAAGTTGATAAAAAGATAATTATAGTTAGTGATAAGTACCAAACTAATTTTTAATTTTTCTTGAATCGCATTTGTTTGGCTTTGTAATAAAATTTTTTATGGCGGAATAAAAGCTTTATCGGTATCAAAACACGAATAAGAAAATTAAAAAATAGGACAGTTGGTCAATAGTATTGGAACTGACATTTTTAAACTGTAAATTTAAGACAGCCACCTGAAAAACATTTATATATTTCATACTATTGTACCGAATACTTTTCAACCGCAGAACGAGTGCCATCCCTGGATAAAAGTAAAGTCGGAGCCGCGAGTCACTGTTCACATGCGGCCACGTCATTTGAACTCTCTTTGGTTCTCTCATTTATGCTGTGACATTCTGGTGAGAAGTTTTTGGAGGAAGCGGCAAAGCCCTCAGTTTTTTTACTCGTTGGCAAACTAGGCGAAAAAGGTAATTTGGTAACGTATGCATCTCTCGAGCCGCTGAAAACTTCCATTGTTACAGTTTATTTTCCGTATTCTATTTAGGGGTGCGTTCTAAGACGCAGCGATAAAGTCAAAGGAAAAACACCAAACAACAGACGAGTGAAGGGATCTCAGTTCAGGATGAATATTTTTCGATTTGCTGGAGATCTATCGCATGTGTTTGCTATTATAATACTGCTGCTGAAGATATGGAAGACCCGTTCGTGCGCCGGAATTTCGGGGAAGTCGCAGATTCTGTTCGCAGTGGTCTATTTGACGCGCTATCTGGATCTGTTCACCACCTATGTGAGCCTGTACAACTCGGTAATGAAGGTGCTCTTCTTGGCCACCTCGGGGGCCACCGTTTACCTGATGTACGTCAAGTTTAAGGCCACCTACGATCACAACCACGACTCTTTCCGCATCGAATTCCTCCTCGTCCCGTGCGCACTGCTCTCGCTGGTGATTAACCACGAATTTACGGTTATGGAAGTGCTCTGGACCTTCTCTATCTACCTGGAATCAGTGGCCATCCTCCCGCAGCTTTTCCTGGTCAGCAGAACCGGCGAGGCTGAGTCCATCACCAGCCATTACCTCTTCGCCCTGGGATCCTACCGTGCACTCTACCTTCTTAACTGGGTTTACCGGTACATGGTTGAGTCCCACTACGACCTCATCGCGATCTTCGCCGGAGTCGTTCAGACCGTTTTGTACTGCGACTTCTTCTACTTATACATTACCAAAGTTCTTAAGGGCAAGAAGCTACAGCTGCCGGCATAAAGTGAATAATAAGGGGCATTTGTTTATTGGTACACATCATCAATACATGTCGAAGTCGAAATCGTAAACGAAGGCATTGATAAACAAGCGAGAAATTTACACGGGCCGTTTGACAACGCGTATTTAGTTCATACATATTATACAGAAGATAAATCGAGAGGAGAGCTTAAGTTGTAATTATTTTATGAGAAATAAACCGAAAATCGGAAGTCAAACTATCTTGCAATATCGACATCGTACATTGGAAATGTAACAAATGTATTAATCTCCGTTTTTCCGAACTGCATACACTTGGCTCTCACAAATTTTGAAATCCAAAAATATTAAAACATGTACGAATTAACTTTAATTTAACCACCATAAAACATGTTTTCTCTTTTGAACGGAGGGTTAATTGATCTATTACAATATCAAAAAAAAAAGAGGTCATAGATTTCTTTGTCTAAATAGAATTAAAAATAATGATTAAATAGCTTTTAAGCCGACCGTATCCTAAAAACCCAAGTACATTTAAGTCTTATTGTGTGGCTAATAGTAAAGTTAATAATGAGCGTATCAGATATAAGTTTTTAGAATGTGTACTGAATAACAGTCGCATGATTGTAAAAACTTTAAATGCTAGACAGTTTTGCACAACTTTATTTAATTCCAAACAGATGTATTACAATTTCGTCAAACATTTTTCGTCTTGCACGCTTCCTAAACAGTTAATTCTAAAAATGTATGACCCTTTACAAAAAGAAATCAAACCTAATGTGGCATAAACAATACTTTAAAACCTTTACAGCTATATATGATAAACATAGTAAAATAAATACATTTTCTTTTATTTATGCATTTTTACAGGGTTTTTAAAATTTAAAGTTAATAAAAGGAGAAATTTTTATGTTTTGAAAAAAAATCTTCCAAAATATATTTTAGAATTTATTATTTTTAAAATTGCTAAAAAAAAACATAATTAGAGTTGGGAATGCCACTGATATTCAGTTAAACATCCAAAATTGATGAATCTGGTCACACTCTAAATTCATGTAATCAAAACAAAATGACAAGATTAATATTTTTAAATCGGATATTGATGCAAAATGCACCTGCCAGATCATTTTTTCAGTTCGGCAAGGCCAAGGGGTAATGTGGTTTTTCTTGTTTTTCAGCTAGTATAAGGGAGTTTATTTATAAGATATGTACTTACAGAGATACCGGCAAATATGAACAGATTATTTCTACCGGCCTGGTTTCGCCGGAACGAAGTGTTCCCGATGACATAAAAAAACCGAAGTATTACTTCGAAAACCTGCCGCCTGGGAACACTTTGGGGTCACCAGAGATCAAAACTCCTGATCAGATAGAAGCAATGCGTAAAAGTGGAAAATTGGCTGCTCAAATATTACGGGAATGCGGTAAACTAGCAACAGTTGGCACAACCACCGATGAGATTGATGCCTTTGCCCATGAAAAAATTATTGAAGCCAAAGCCTATCCTTCACCCCTGAGATATGCTGGTTTCCCCAAGTCCATTTGCACTTCAATCAACAACATAGCCTGCCACGGAATCCCAGATGACCGCCAATTGGCCAATGGAGATATTATAAATATTGATGTCACAGTCTTTTTAAACGGCTACCATGGCGACTGCTCTGAAACATTTCAAGTAGGTGACGTTGACGAACGGGGGAGCTTCCTTGTAGAGGCTACAAGGTCCTGTTTGGAGCAAAGCATTACGCTTTGCGGACCAGGTGTAGAATTCAATGAGATTGGAAAGTTTATAGAGAACTATTGTGATAAAAATGGACTCGAGTCAATTGCAGCTTTCATAGGACACGGAATCGGCAGCTATTTCCATGGTCCCCCGGAAATATATCACTACTGTAAATATAATCAACCGGAACCTTGAACTTAACTTAAATAGTTCCATCATTTACAGACAACGAATATCCTGGAGAGATGCAGCCTGGTATGACCTTCACAATTGAACCCATTTTATCTCTAGGAGGATCTGAAATTGCTGTTTTGGAAGACGGCTGGACTGCAATTAGTTTGGATGGTGCACGTAGTGCCCAATTTGAGCATACCATTCTGATTACCGAAACCGGAACAGAGATCCTTACAAAAGATAATTAGAGTAGTTTTATGTACATGATGAATTTTTATTCGTGATTCCCATAAACTGTTAAATGAGTTTGGATGGCAGTCTTGTGCAGTTTGTGCCGTGGTAATTGCCAACTCTGTGGTGTTAGGTGCTCTAATTGCTTAAAGAATCATCTTGCATTTAGCTACAAATAGCGTTCGACTTTTGCACCGGCTTCTGAATAGGTAGGAAGAGCTTAAACTCCGGCGGCAGCTCGTCTTCCGAATAGAGGCGATCGGAGAAATAGACTCGTCTGATTCGGCAATTTGCGTGGATCTGTACACGGAGTGTCTCCACATAATTTGTGCCGTAGGCGCGACGGGTGAAGTCGGACAAATTAAACTGAATCTGGTTCCACCCCTCGTCCAATCGCATGGGCATGGTGCAGATAAAAGGTTTGACCCGAGTTGTCGACTGGTAGTTACTGGCCCTGAACCTTCGCCGCACATTTTTGTCATCGAGAACCTTTTTAGGGGAGGAAATCAGTGAACAAGCTTTGAAAAGCTGAATAGACAGCTTACCTGGACTTCAAAGGTGAAGTATTTCTTCATGTTCTTGATGATCATCACCAGAAAGGGCAGTTTGATGCCCAGGGTCTTTTTCGGATCCGCCGGACATGTTATAAACGTGGTGCTGACGTTGGTGCCGACTATTTCCAGGACGAGACTCTGTATATCGTTGTCCGTAATTCGCTTTATGTGGCCATTGCGCACCTTCTTGTCCCACAACTGCAGAGGCTTCGAGCCAATACTGTACAGAATCGATAGGAATCCAGATTGGAAAGTGTTTTTGAACATGTCGCGTCTGCAGTGCGGTAATCGGTTTCGCCCACGAAATGAATAGTCCCTTGGAAATTTATATAGGGCCAGTAGGAAGATGGCCGATAATTTTTGCACAGCCGGAACTCGTACAAGCTACAAACATCAATACGAAACTATACTATTTTTTCATGTCAATAAATTTGTTTAGCATGGCATCCTGTTGTTGCCATAACAATAACCGGGATAGTGTTGGAAACCACTTAAATATTTGAACACTCCGTTTATGCGGGGTTTGAAATGACAAAAAGAAATACTTTTTGTTAGTATTTTCATGATTTTGATATGTGGTACAGTGAAATGAAACCTTATTTTATTAAATAATATTACAGCTAATAAACGTTATATCCTGTATTTGTGACTTCTGATTAAGAGATTAAAGCTTGTAACTTAAGTTTTTATATTGGAGTTTGTTTTGGCTACTCATTTAACAGGGACTGCCCATTCCGCTGTTGCGATTATTTAGAGTTATAAGGAAACAGTCAAGAATCTAGTCAACTGTTTTGTTATCGATGCATCGGTACAAATCACATCACTAGTTGATGTGAGTATTAAAAAAAATATACAGCTTGCAGTACAAATGGCATCGACATCTAGGTAAAAACTGGCTAGCCGAGAAATTTTCCGACTTTCCCTAATGAATTTTTGCCTGCAGATTGGACAATAACAAGGTGTGCTGCTATGCACACCCCGAATCTCCTCTAATCGAGGACTACAGGGCTGGCGACATGATTTGCTCCGAATGTGGTCTGGTGGTTGGCGACCGCGTAATTGATGTGGGCTCCGAGTGGCGAACCTTCAGCAACGAAAAGAGTGGCGTAGACCCAAGTCGTGTTGGTGGTCCCGAGAATCCTCTTCTTAGCGGCGGAGACTTGTCCACCATAATTGGTCCTGGCACGGGATCCGCCTCCTTCGACGCCTTTGGGGCACCGAAGTACCAAAACAGACGTACCATGAGCAGCTCGGATCGCTCGCTTATTTCAGCATTTAAGGAAATTTCATCCATGGCCGATCGCATCAATTTGCCGAAGACTATTGTTGATCGCGCCAACAACTTGTTCAAACAGGTGGCTTTCGATTAGAATTAAAGAAGAGCTATTGCTAATGTTGTGTGGTTTCAGGTCCACGATGGAAAGAACCTCAAAGGTCGATCCAATGATGCCAAGGCGTCCGCTTGTCTGTATATTGCTTGTCGCCAGGAAGGAGTGCCTCGCACGTTTAAGGAAATATGCGCCGTCAGCAAGATCAGCAAAAAGGAGATTGGCAGATGCTTTAAACTAACACTGAAGGCACTTGAAACCAGTGTCGATTTAATCACCACAGCAGACTTTATGTGCCGCTTTTGCGCCAACTTGGGTATGTCACTTCTAATGGTTTCTTTTATTATAGTTTATTGAAATGTTTAAATACATTTCATATTTGTAGACCTCCCGAATATGGTTCAACGCGCTGCCACGCACATTGCAAAAAAAGCCGTCGAAATGGACATTGTCCCAGGTCGTTCGCCAATTTCGGTGGCCGCAGCTGCGATTTATATGGCCTCACAAGCCTCGGAGCATAAAAGAAGTCAGAAGGAAATCGGTGATATAGCCGGTGTGGCCGATGTAACCATCCGGCAGTCCTATAAACTAATGTATCCGCATGCAGCTAAGCTCTTCCCAGAAGACTTTAAGTTTACCACTCCTATTGATCAGTTACCACAAATGTAAATCTTTTCATAGAACCGATGCTCAATACTAACGCTAACGTTAAGAAAATGAAGAAATCTTAATTTAATCACAAAGTTTACGATTTTATTAAATAAAGTTAGCATAACTAATATTCAATCCAAACTGTTGGACCAATCAGAAAATAATACATTGTTAAAAATAGCTGAGTTTAACCCATACAGTTTTTGAAATTTATTCCAATGCTTTTATTTTTTTTATACATTTTGTAGCTGGCTTATATATATCTTGGGCATAGGCGGTTATAAATAGGCTACTAACCAAAACAAAAATTGCACTCTACGTTTATTTGCCAGTTATTTGCGAAACCAAGTATTTTACCAATAATATGTTTTCTGTTTAGACATAAGCATCAACTAGTTAGTAACAGTATGAATGGTTAAAGTATTCGCAAATAAGAATAAAGGGAAAATGTAACGATCAACATTTTTAAATACAAAACAAAAATGGCGTTGAAACGTAGTAGGAGGCCAAAGTCTTTTTGGAGAGCCAAGCACTCCAATAAATATTGGAGAGAAAGCAAAATACATGTGCTAATAGTTAATGACGAATTATCAGTCGCCAACAATAATTATTGCTGAGTTTAAACAGTGTATATTTAGATAACTAGTCAATAGACAGCGAGCACTTCTCATCGTCGCTGTGGCCCACGCACTCAAGCGCAGGACGATGCTCGGAATCCCACATCCCGGGTCCACAACGCTTGCACAGGCCACTTAACGTGCAGGGGATCTTTGGCAGCTGGCGGTACTGGTGGAGCAGACCGCGCGCCTTTCTCAGGATCAGCTGCCCGTCCATGTACATGGCCAGTGAACTGAAGTGCAGGAGCATCTCGTCCGGGCGCAAGTTCTGGGCCACGACATCATCCGCATAGACGGCGATGATGGCCAGGCAAAGGAACAGGTGAAAATAGTCCGTCAGGTAATTCGACCAGCAGGCCTCCCACATCCGGATAACCACCGCCTCCGTGAACTCGCGCTTGAAGCAGAGCAGCAGCCATCGGTGGCAGAAAAGGAGCTCCATTGAGTCATTATGCTGCTCCAGGTGCTCGTAGAAGCGCGGGAGCATCACACGGATCAGTTCGCGTAGGTAGCTAAGGTTGTGGTCCACATCCCTGTCGGTGGGCGTGCACACGAAGAACGCCCGCTGCATCAGGCCCACGAAGCACCAGAAGGTCTCCGACTCGTTTTGCACCTCGCAGAGCACGGGTGCTAGCAGATCACTCATACCCTAAAATGAAAGAAAAATAATACAAAGTTTTAGAAACGGAATAACTTATAATAAAAATTGTTAAGCGTTCCTTCACCCTGCCTTGGGTATAAAGGAAAATTGTTGTCTCATGAAAGGTTTTATTTAGGTATGAGTTCTTAATTTCCAAACCTAAATTATAGTTCGCAGAAAACATCTTGGACCTTAAACATAATATAATATAACAAGGAGAAGGACTGCAAGCATATTATGGCTTGACACAAAAGATTAAAACGGGAAAGAAGCTTTACAAAAGTTATATAAATCCTCTGAAAAGGACCTACCTGAGAGTAGGACATCCCAGTGTTGTACACGGCAAAGTTGAGCAGAATGTTTTTCATAACTTCGGTGTTGGGGTTATCATCGCCGCAAAAGAAAGGGTTAGTGCGATCAGTGCGCACCACGTCCTTCTCCACCACACACTGCACGGTCTTCCAGAAGTGTATTTGCTGCTCCGGTGACATTGAGTAGAGTCGTTTTCGGGTAATTTCCTCGTATTCCTGTCGTTTAATATCCATCAGGACAGCGCGATCCTCGAATGTCGATGAGAATGAATAGCACTTCAGGAGAAATGGCCATACTGTCTTGCGCAAACTCTTTTCAAGACCGCCAAAGAAAACGCATTTCCGCAGGAGCAAATCATCCTCGATTTGACCCTTTTCATTGAGCAGTGTGCCGTAGAAGAAATTTGTAGTAATCTTCTTGACGTCCCCCTCATCCGGATGCATTTCCGATTTCTTTACCTCCGGACGACAAACCATAAAATGCCTGTAGGGTAAATCGAATTTATCCTGCCCCGTTTCCGACGTGATATTGTGCAGAAAGCAGTGCCACTGATGCAAAACTTGGGCCAGATGATCCAGTCCGCCATAGTGAAAATGCAGAATTTTGTACTGCGATTCTCTCGAAGCGATTACCAGCTGACCGGAAGTACAGTTATCATCGTTAAAGAAAAGGCGAAGTGACCTCATTTGGCTCAAATCAACGGAGAAGTGGCGGCACTTCATAACCGATTTCTGGCGATCGGCTGGTGTCGAATTACCGCTATCCGGAAACTCCAAGTTGTGCTTATAAGCCAGTAGTTCTGGAGTTGTCCATTTCGGGTTATCTGATGTTATCGCATCCGGAACCCCATTTCCACTAGCGCACTCCGCGCAATTATTTCCATCCGGTCGAATAGTAATGCAGTTAAAAGATTGCGAAATATTACTGTTTTCGATTTGCGGATTCGAAATCGTTATGTTCACCGATGTAATGGGGTTATTCTTTAGCAATGCCGTTAAATCGTCAATAGATGCGGTTTGGCCACCTAACAAGGGTTGTAGCTCGTTCTTGAGCTCCTGCATTTCCGCTGCGTTGTCGTCCTCTTCTCGGATGTCCCGTTCCTGGATCGTCTGAGGAATAGTTACGTGGCAATAGCCATTTCGGGAGTCCGGGGACTTGGTCCTCGGGTTGCACTGACCCCGACAATCTTCGGTGCTTAGGTTGGTGTATTTACATAGTGAAGAGTTAGGTATCCAAGTGAGCAGAAGTGTGGGTCTTTTAGCACTATTATACTGATCCACAAAGGTTTTAGTAGTGCACGTCAGATATCCCGGATTGTGCAATATATCCGACTCATCACGCGCGATTGTGGGTGGATGAATGCAAACGTTATTCTTGCAGAAGAGGATTTCGTTGTCTTCGTAAGAAATATCGATTTTTTTATCCAATCTTTCGTCACCTAGTATAAAGCTAGATGCCTTTTTGATAATGCTTCCAATGGGCATGTTTAAACGTATTTTTGTTGACCGGGCAAGTAAAACGCGATTTTGGATCGGATTAATCAAAACGTTTCAGAACGGGGTGGGTAGGGAACTTTTGTACTGGTTAGCTTTTGGTTTGGCTGATTTTGGATTGGTATTGTTTGGTGGCTACCATAATTTGAAGATTTTACGTGTAATGCATCGTAATGACCACTTTTTGTAACACAACGGATTAAATAAAAGATACTATTAACTTTGATGTTGGGGACCTCTCACAAGCAGGATGACATTGGAGGAAAAGAATTTAAGTAAAACTTAGCGCATGCGCATTTCCTAGTCCCTGGTTTAAAAATTGTGTTCCGATACTTAGTATTTAATATTTTCATGATTAAATTATATCATATTAAATTTAGACATAAAAACACAAATAATTAAGGTACTTTATCTAAGCAATCTGCTTTTTGTAGAAAAAAAGAAGAAAAACATATAATTAATATATCGAAACATTATCTTAATACTAAAAGTAAAGCCATTTTTAACGAAAATTTTGAATAGACAACTAACGTAAATAATAACAACCACAAAATGTACAAATAAAATATAAGTATTAATTAAAGAATTTTGGAAATGGAACAGAAAATATTAAAATCTACCGATAAATGTATTTGTACCATCCCTAACGTAAATAGAAATAGAATCAATAAACGCGTGAAAATATTTACATTGTTATTGAGTTTGTTTTAAGTTCTTATTATAATGGCAAGCAAAAGAAAGTATCCCACAGCCGAAAAAACAAAAGAGGAATCCTTTAAAAAACACACGCTTGATTCAGATGAAGAAGATTCGGATGACTACGAGAGGTAATAACTGATAGACAAAATACTAGTGTTTGTTTTGATTTCAGCATTTTGTCTTTGCAGGGAATATCTTAATGATAGCGACATTGAAGGAGGGGAAGAAGGTGTAGCAAAGGTGGAAGACGATGTGAAGTTAACACCTTTTAATATGAAAGAAGAATTGGAGGAAGGACACTTCGACAAAGATGGTCATTACCATTGGAACAAGGAAACTGAAGCCAAGGATAACTGGTTGGACAACATTGATTGGGTTAAGGTAAGGTTTTAATTTGTTTGTAAAGCGTTAAACACTTCCTTCACTTCATATTTTAGATAGGCAATCAGAAAAACGCTTTTGATCCTGCCAAAGATGACCAAAACTCCAACTCCTCTGATGAAAAAATCGAACCTGCAGGAAAGGCTTTTAACTTGTCAATGAACCTGACGAAAATGCTTGAGTTTATGAAAGCAGGAGAGACTGTAAAGATGACACTTCAAAGATTGGGTAGTCAACGTCCCGTCCTTACAACCCTTCAAAGAATTAAGCAGAAAAAAGCCGGTATTGTTGACACAAAGACGCAGGAAATTTCCCAACTCACTGAATTGGCCAACGAGATTCTTTCCAAGACCGGAAATATGGATATATATCAAGAGACTTACGAAAACATTAAGTCAAAGCTAGCCGATTTGCCGGGAACTAGCAAATCAAAGGATGTCGCTGATATTGACATGTACGCGGATGATTTCGAAACGAAGGAGTTGGAGCGCTCCAAAGCCTCAAGTGCTACTTCAAAACCAACGCTGAATACCTCGGAGGTGAGCTGGGAGTTCAAATGGTCGCAGGATGAGACTGAAATCCAAGGACCATTTAGCACCGAGAAAATGTTAAAATGGTCTCAAGAAAATTACTTCAAAAACGGGGTCTATGTTCGAAAGTGTGGCGAAAACACAAATTTTTATACTAGCAACCGCATAGATTTTGATTTATACCTGTAAATGTTAAATAACACTATTATACATAAATACACTTTTCAGTTGAATTGTTCCCTGCATTAGACTTTGTTCAATATTGACTTAAAATGTTTTACAATATGTAACCTTAAATATTTGGTTAAAGTCAAAATAAATCGTAGAAATAAGTCATTAAAAAATATTTTGATTGTAGATTTAAGAAGGTACATAGGTATATATTTTACTTTGGGTTATTAATAATTTATTTATTTGTGCAATACGGATGGAAGATTTAAAATATTTCAACCACAGTATGAAACACTCGACTACCGATAGTTCAATCGATAATTTTGCAGCTTTGATTTTGGGAGCTTTGACAACCCTCGGAAACACATCGATTAACGTAGCTGAAAATTGTTTTATGTTTAATTAAAGACAGACGAATAATAGCATAGCTGTTTGGTGTTAAAAGCGTTAAGTCGTCGGTGACATTTTGTACCCAGGACTTTGGTTGTTGTTGATTTTCTGTATCAATTACTTACTCCCTGAAAAGGAAAGGAATTTGTTAGTGCTTTTGTGCGAGAAACTCACTTTTCATCGCTGGGTGCATAGGGAAAAATAAAATTCTGGACCAGCCGCAACATTTGTCAGTATGACGACCAAACACATTTATTCCACGACCAATTTATCAGATCTGCAGTTGAAGGAGCAGGGCAATTGCCTATTTGCAGCCCGAAAATATGACGACGCAATAAATTGCTATTCAAAGGCCATCGTAAGTGTAACACACGTTTTGTACTCTTGTAATGAGTATGTTGTTTACATTGTCATGTATTATGTTCTATGTACCACATATAGATCAAAAACCCCACAAACGCCACATACTTCACAAATCGAGCTTTGTGCAACCTGAAACTAAAGCGATGGGAGCTTTGCTGCCAAGATTGCCGGCGAGCCCTGGATATCGATGCAAATTTGCTAAAGGGACACTTCTTCCTCGGCCAAGGTCTAATGGAAATAGATAGCTTTGACGAGGCCATAAAGCACCTTCAACGGGGTTAGATATTGAGGAATTTAAATGGCTTTTTATATAACATGATTAAATTTCCAGCCTATGATCTATCCAAGGAGCAAAAGCAGAACTTTGGGGATGATATTACACTACAATTGCGACTAGCTCGCAAAAAACGTTGGAACGTTTTGGAGGAGAAGCGCATTCATCAGGAAATTGAACTGCAAAGCTATTTGAACCGGTAAGAATCTCTCCTATTACCATATAGACTTTGAGTGAAAGTATTTATTGGCTTATATATAATAGAATACATATTGTATTCCATTTCTGAAAAGGCATTTCATATTCGTGCTCTAAAGCGGATGTAGCCCACATCTCTTAAAGGCCATATTTTTGGTTTATTTTTTATTTCAAGAAAAATTAAATTAGATTGATTGAGACGTGAAGGTTATTAGATTTTAGGTAAGGGTATTTCGAAATATGTACTTACATGCCGTTACCAGGGGTATTGCAATTCGTCTGCTTTATTGTCCTTTTTGACTCAAGTAGGACGTGTAAGACTTTTTCAAAACTAATTGCTAATTTTCTTTCGATTTCTGTTTGTCAAAGATATTAATTAGCGAAGTCCTATTACATTTTTTCAGGCTTATTAAAGGAGACATGGAAAACCGTTTGGCTAATTTAAAACTGAATGAAAATGTACATGAAGAACAGCTGAAGGATAAGCAACAGGAAATTGAACAAGAGTGTGTAAGTTAAACTTTTACAGCTTTTAAACCTATAGTTAGTTGTCCTATTCCCAAACAAATAATTGTTATTTCTTACTTTTTCTTAGGACGACCATATAAAGGAACTCAACAATATATTTTCTAAAGTTGATGAGCGCCGAAGGGTAAGTATTAAAAGTAATCCCACTATTTTTGGTCTTAAATGTTTGTGCTTAAATACTGGTTATTACCTATTATTAATTTTCTTCCTTTTTAAGAAACGCGATGTTCCCGATTTTCTGTGTGGCAAAATTAGTTTTGAAATATTAACCGACCCTGTGATAACTCCATCTGGAATTACCTATGAACGCAAAGATATAGAAGAGCATTTACAGCGGGTCGGACATTTTGATCCTGTGACACGCGTGAAGCTGACTCAGGATCAACTAATACCAAATTTTTCAATGAAGGAAGTGGTTGACTCTTTCATCGCAGAGAACGAATGGTCTCTAGATTATTGAGTTATGGTATTGACATTATCATTGTAATTGAATAGATGTTAGAACCCAGTTCCCATTGTCTAAAAACCAGATTAGTGATAATAAATGTGGATCTGTAACTGACTTATGATGTTATATTGTTGGTAAATCAGAAAGAGAAAATGAAGATTTAAGTTATTTTAAGGACCACAAAAGTAAGTTTTATAAACAAAAAGCTCTGGTTGGAAGATAAATTCGAAACAAAACAAAATGATACTCGACTAAAATTAACGTATTTAAAGTAAAACCATGGGCGAAGTTAAAAATGCAAACTAACATAACTGACAACTATTTCATGGGGGACAGCAATACGTGTTTGGTTTCGATATATTGTTCTCAATTTATCGTTCCAAGTACACATCTTTCGATGCTATCGTGACATCAACAATACATCGATATACAGTTGTTTACAAACAATTGTTTATATCATTTTAAAGTATTATGTCCATTCCTCTGTTTTCTGCCATAACTTTTTTGTAATATCATGGATTCGTCTCAAAGTCAATCGCGGCTACTTGAGGAAGGCTCCGCTCAAGATTCTCGGATCTTGTGCTTGCAAAATCTGATCGAGAAGAATATTGAGATAGGTGAGTAACCGGAAGGCAATATATTGTAAACAATAAAAATTGTTTTCTTTTAATGCAGAGCAACAAATTGAGGCGAAAACTTTTGACCAATCAATTGCGGCAATCGAAGAAATCCTGCGAACAGCAAACGATATAAACAAGGGTCATGAAGACCGCCGGACAAATTCGACGGAACTTGTTTTGGACACGGAGTTATTAAGACGCAATCACGAAGTTGTAGGAAAAGCTATTCAGTACAACACTAACTTTACTGACAGAATGGTGATCACGGCGATTGTAAGTGTGCACTTGAGTTAATTTATAACAAACTACACTGAAACTGATTGTATATTCAACAGAATGATTTGGTTTTCAAAGAACAAGAAGAGGATTGGGATGCTGTCTGCTCACTGGCTCTCCAATTTGGAAGACCTCTCTTCACAAACGATAGTATGCTTCCCTTCATAGATGTAACGCCAAAGGAAGTCATTCCGAAGCAGCGTGCTCAACGCAAACAGAAATCTCAGGTAACCCTTTATTAAAATTTCGGTCAGATTTTTGTGACATTCCTCCGGTGTTGTAATGTCTGTTTGTCTATAAGCAAAATTATAGTGTAAAGTTTGGTTGTTTTGCATAAAGCTGGTCAAATTTCTTTTAATTTTAATAATAACTCCTGTTTACATTTTAGGTCGAGGAAAAGCGCCCAAAGAAGAGTGATAAATTGGAAAGAAAGGATGAAGGCGCAGCCTCCGTCAGTCATATGTTGAAACAGATTAGGCAAATATATCGAGAGGGCGGTAATGAGCCTATTCCATATTTTAAATTAATTTGCAATCCAAATAATTTTATGGATACCGTACAAAATGCTTTACAACTCTCGTTTCTTGCCAAGGAGAAATACATTGCTATTGAAAATGGCGATGATGGTTTGCCTTTGGTAAATGTTGTCAATTCTAAAAGTTCCGAAGATAATGAGCCAGCCCAAGCCATTTGCTCCATCGATGTATCCTTTTGTGAGGTATGTCAAACATATGATATATTTTCAAAATGACTAATATAAGGTGTGTATTTCAGAAAATGGTTAAGCACTACAACCTTCGTGAGCCAATGTTGAAAAAACTTCAAAATGATGAAAGTTAGATATATTAATTATATTGTATTACAGTTAAAAATAATGTTAATAAAACAACCAACCAATAAAGCGTTAAATATGAGTTGATAATGTTAAAAATATATTCTTTCAGCATTTTATGTTCAAAGGTTTACCATATATAATATTAAAGACCCATGAAAACTACTTGTACTACCACTGAACGCAAGTTTGTAAAGTCATTTGTCATCTCACTTGAAACCATCCCATAAAGTATAACAAATCTGTCGGTTTTACAGTACATATGTTTTTTTGTAATGAAGTGTGTACACATATATGTATGTACTAATGTGCTTATGGCAAGGGTGGGTTCAAATGATAACAAGTGAGCTCTTCCCCCAAACACATTAAGTAATTAACCAAACATCAACACAAACTAATTAAGTGGATTTTATTACTCGCCACATTTTCTACTTTTTTAGACCGCCTACAAATTGTAAGATAGTAATGTCAAAAACATTAAAATAAGGTGCGACTCTTTTAAATCTGAAAATATTTAACATGCCATTAAAATTGATGTTAAATATAATACTGAAGAATATTAGTAGTAATTTTTCATTTCCTAATTCATTTTTCCTCGATTCTTATCTCTTTTATCTGCACAATTGCAGTACACCATTGCAATCGTGCCTGCTCCCCATTGAAAAAAATATAAATATGTAGTACCATATTAAATTACTTTTCACATTTGGGAAAATAATGGAATGCTCCATTAATTAAAAATCACTCCTAAGCTTGAAAAAGTGCATAGTGCTATTATTGAATTTCGTTAACTTAATTTCACAAAGAAGAAATTAAGATTAATTAAGATTTATTGAACAATGAAGCTTAGGGTTAATTGCATTTGTGTGGTCGACGAAGTTTAAAAGGCTTGGCGTAAAAAAAAGTTTGATAAATTATCAACGATAATAGTGCAGTGTTGTCATACCAATTTGATAAATAGTACATAAAATGAGTAGAAATACTATTGTCCGAGATTTTGAGTTCTTCATGTCGGTAAAAATAGTTGACCCAAGTATATTTAACTGGACCAATGTTTAATTATATATAAAACCAAAATGAAGATTTATTGCTCCATATCAGCATAGCAACAAACGACCTAATTAATAGACGCCCAATCTTGAAAATACAAAATTAATGATGCACAAGCGCAGTTTAAATAAGTTTGCCAAGATGGGACTTGTCTTTGAAAAACTCACTCCGAAAGTTTCGAAAACTTGTGAAAGAGCAACAGAGTAAATTAGAACGTTACAATAAATTTATAAAATGTATTTAAAAACGTAATTTAAAAAATTTGCTGTATCCTTAAAACTATTTCTTCCTTTACATAATCCTGATCAGAAATTGGTTCTAAATGTATATACAAAATTTATATTTCTTTGGAATCTAGCGTTTTTTATTTCATTGTAGAGGGCTTAATTCCAAACTGAGCTCTGCTAAATTATTTCCAATTAGGGCTCCATAAATTTCTTCGGATTACTTTCGCATTAAGCGTTTGCGTAAGGTTCGAATGTACATTAGTTCTCGCATTGATATTCCGCTGAAAGCTACATAAAGTTAAATGCATACATATGCAGAGACATCACCCACAATATTGTAACTCACCCGTGGTCGCACGTACAATTGCGGTCACAATAATGGCATCGAGTCTTTTTTTTTATAAAAAAGTTACAATATAGAGTATCTTTGTTTGCAGTACTCTGATTAAATATTTATATCTTGTATTTGGTGTTTTGCCGGCTCAAGGTCTGGATGATATTAAATCACACCTAAATCATTATTATAATAATAATAAAAAAATATTACCTAGAAACTATAATAACGAATAAAGTTAAAAGTAGTTTTAACCATAATTATGAAAACTGATTTATTAATGAATAAAAGTTAATATTTTCCTAAGCATTCTTGTTTTCTATTACTTTTTTGGGTGGCATCTTTTGTGCTATTTTTTCGGCCCGTCTTGTAAGTATGTAATATCTGTGTGTACGCACGTTTGGCTCCAGACTTTTGGGTGGCGCTGGCAATCTATGCGAGTGCTGGGCCCCACTCCTCTGGGGGAAATCGGGGAGCTCCGGGCTGGCACTCGATCGCCAGAGCTGCTTTGATGCTCGCGAAGCCCGCTGCCTCCAAACACTTTTGTTCCCAAAGCCGCTTTCCCGAAAATTCAATTCGGATTTCAGTTCGGATTTGAGTATCACGCGATGAAGACGGCGGCTTCAGTTAATCCAGAATTACGAGTGCCTTCAATCGGGGTGTTATATAATTTTTGCGAATAGTTAATCGGAAAAACTAAAAATAGTTACAATCAAAAATTTCGAAATCTTGGTGTTACTGAAACATATTCTGTTACGTGGTTTTGTGAAATATTCTTAAGATCTGATCCTTTGGAATTTTCTAAATAATTATGCGAACTTTTTTAGTACAAATTTAAAATACACCACTTTTGTTTTAATCACTTCAAAAACAAAAATACAACTTGATTAGTGATCATTAAGAAACCGAAAATAAAAAGGTATTTTGATGGATGATCGATCTTTTGAGCGATTGATCCATATCCTTTTGTGTTTTTTGTAGGCTCATTCATTGGAAACTACTTACAATTGTTATGTTTGTTAACTCTTTTGACGACGTGAAGAGCACGAAGACATTTTGAATACGGTCTTAATTGCTTTTCTGGGAAAGTGTTTAATCGATTCGGGTTTTCTTAAAAGCGTTTTGGGACAAACCAATTTACCTCACTCATATTGAACCGTTATCTCCTCGATGACAGTAATCACTCAAGTACTGAATGCATAATGAAAGAAGGCTTTGTTGGCGGAGGTTTCAATTCCCATAACTCAACATTATTTTGCACGCCTTAAATGTAGCAGCGTTATTACAGTCATTAAGTTTTAGGATTGAACGGATGGGATAATAGCACACTCGGCCGCAAAAGTAGTTGTCCAAATCAGAAAGAGAAATCAATTCGATTGGCGACAGACACTAACATTTCCACTAACATTTCCAACATTCATAATTTTTTCTCGGTTATCTTATTCGGCGAGCGATTTAAACAAATCCATCTGGACGCACACACATGTTTCAAAATGTTTTTCTCGTTTTGCTAATTGCGGAAGTTTCACATAACTTAAGCGAGTGTGAATGACGAAATACAAGAGTACGAGACTATGAGACTATGACATGTATATCAAAATATTTGGTGCCGAAGGAACGTACTTCTGTTCCTAGGGGGCGGCCGATTGAAAATTTTCTAAACACTTCACTTTAATGCAAGTTCTTCAATAATATCCGCACTCTTTCGAATTGAGTGTTTCTGAGTTCAGTGGCATGGTGAAGTGCTAATGCCATTGCAACACAAATATGGGCAAATGCAGTTTCACTGCATAGATGGGCCCAATATGGGCCTATTGACACAGATAAGTATGAAAAGTCCATTGTGACATTAGGAATTTTTATACCCGGTACTCGTACTGTCAGGGTATATTGCCTTCCTCCAAATCTGTGTCAATGGCGCAAAAAGCACTTTCAACCTCTTTGGCGGTATTATGATATTCAAAGAGAAACGAAATTGTTTATTGAATCCCTTAAATATTGCAGCTACTATCTGATAAGACACTGGATGAAGTTTAGATTTCTAGGATATAAATATTGCAGGATCTCTCAAAAACTTTTAAAATGCCTTCTAGTTTTTTTCTATTTTGGTATAAGATTTTTCCAAACTAAAAGTTTTTGACAGAATTTACTGGATGTGAGCTAACTAAATGTTAATCTCACGTCTCTATAATTACATTTATTAATTTTTTTTTTCTTGTCATAGAGAACTTATTAACCCACCTATTAACTTATTCTTATGATTTGATTTTACCCAATCTTAAAATAAACATTATCTAGCAAATATTTAAGAAAGCAAATTTAGAACATTACATGGTGTGACTTAAAAAATGGATAACCCCAAGCCAAGATATTTTGGGACCAGATTAAACGGTATTCGGTAGCTCCGTCTTGAAACGAACTGATTTACAATATTATATAACATATATTTTATGTGCGTATTTGTAGTATGCGCAATAGATATGTGCTCATACATAGCTCCAAAATGTTTGGTGGGTGTGGAGGCTTCTAATGAAATACGCCCTTCCCATTTTCGTTCACGGATGTGATGTTGTAGTGTATTTTCATGCTGCCGAAAGTACATCCAATCCAGTCAAATAGTCACGGTCGGTTTAATCGTAATCAATGAAAATAATGGAACTTGAGTTCCTCTGTGCGAGTTGCTAATACAAAGCCTGAACATGCGTATAGGCAAACATTGAAGATCGCTTAGAACGATAGCGAATTTATCCACATAATACATCGAAAAATACAGAAAAGTGTCCAAATTTATAGGCAAATGAAGCTCGTAAATTAAAAGCTTTGCGATCTGGGAATTTAACATGTCGTATATGGTAACGGATTTAGCAGTTTTTTTTTTATAATTGGTTAAACATATTTAAGTATTTTCTGATATTAGATTTTTTTGGTTACAAAATGTTAAATAAATCTTTTATTCATATTAATCAAATTAGGATTTATATATTTTTCCAGGCTTTAAAATGGCAAACCTGCTAGTAATATTCAGGTAAGAAAATAATATATTACAACAGTTTAATTCTTACCCTCTTTCAAAACCTTACTAAAAGATTTCTTCATTAAACACAAATTTGATAGCCAAAAAGAAGGCGGGGTACAAATATTGCTCAGCTGCATTTAATCAAGATTTTTGTTTACTCTCGCCGCCGAACAGTGGCTCGTTTTCACAGAAAAGTGTGTAAAAAGAACACATCTTGATACTTCAAAGAACTTTTTTTTGAAAGCAACAAAAACTATCCTTATAAACTGCCGATGCATTGCATTGATTATCAGTATACACATTCATTCAACAAATCGGAAGTGCAAAAAAGATATGATCAAATAAATGTAGAAATCAATTTCCGTTCCTTAAACCCAAATTTTGATTTTAGCACTTAAACTGAAGATAAAAATACTTATCCATTAAAACAATTTAAAACTTTTCATTAAGTATACCTTACCTTTTCTGACTTTCAGTATTTTAATAATTCTCGCGTATATACCCGATACCAATTTTGTAAAGGCGGATTTATCCACCAAAGAGCGAATAAAGGTAAGTAACTAATTTCTCGTACTTAAAATAATTCGATTGATTATACATATTTTACTTTATTACGGGTGTTATAAGTTATTATATTTTGGAAACAATTCTTGTAAAAGGCTAAAGAGCTCTGATAAACCAGTTCAAATTGTATTGATAAGCTTATAATTTTAAAATCATAAATACTAGATGACGCACTTTTTTTTAATAGCATGCGTATCATGCTTTCAAGTCGTTAATTCTTTTTAATGCCTGCATAATTACCGAATAGTTTCAAGCGAGTTTTTCGTAATGGAATTATTACAGGTCTTAAGATTATCGATCAGTTTTTCCATGAAAACTTGTCTTGCTGAAGTTTTCAATGTTCAAACATTACAAATTTTACGGAAGCTCAAAAGGAAATATTTTATATTTTCATTGATTGAATATACAATTTTTTTTTTTTTTTTTTTTAATCAACACTGATTTTAAAATAATTTATTGAACATTTTTTTACATTTAGAAACACCAAGATTGGCTGAGAGAGCACAAAAAACCCAAGGCGAAAAAGAAACATGCGAACAACTCATATTATGATTTTCCGAACTTGTGGCACACAAGAAAGGATTTATCTCTGAGGCAAAAGCCAAGTAATAAAGAGGAGTACTTGGAAAACGAGACGACTAGTAAAATACCTAACAAAACCAATGACAAAGTATTAAAGCCAACGATTATATTACTTAATAATACTAATCAAAATGTAACGACATTGAAACTTGATCTGGAAACAACAACATTAGCAACTTTAACTACTCTTAATCCAGTGGAAAATGGTGATGTTGCTACCACATCGCAAATGCCAAAAATTATGGAGGTTTTTTCTTCGCCAAATCCACCGCAAGAAACCACTACGAAAAAGTTAAAGAAAAAGGTTTATCCATATCCGCGATGGGATAAGTGGAGTGATTGGAGCGAATGTACGCGAAGTTGCGGCGGAGGGGTCAAGTATCAAATTCGAAAATGTATAAGTCGGTAAGAAAAAAATATATTATAAATATTAAATATTTTATATCAGTTCTATCTTTTTTATACCCTTGCAGAGCAAAGGGTATTATAATTTCAGTCAGAAGTTTGCAACGCAGTGAAGGAGACACCTCAGACCCCATAAAGTATATATATTCTTGATCAGCATCACGATCAGAATCCAAATATGTATGTACGTCTGTCCGTCTGTCCGTCTGTCTGTCTGTCCGTCTGTCCTCCTGTCGGTTTCTATGTAAACTAGTCTCTCAGTTTTAAAGCTATCTGGCTGAAACTTTCCCAAAAGGTGTGTAGTTGTTGCACGCAGTATATAAGTCGGAACGGGCCGGATCGGGCGACTATATAGGATAGCTCCCATACGAGAGAATGAAATTAAAAATTCTAACTCCGTTGTTTTTGATCAGATCGTCTTGATTCCTTCTAGATGGCGTTTTCTAACTGCTATTGAATTTTAGATTAAATTTTATCAAAATCGGATAACTCCATCATATAGCTGCCATAGGAGAGATCAAAAAATATATATATAAAAAATGGAAAAAAAATTATAATGTCGTTGTTTTTAATGCCACGAGCATAATTTTTGGAACATCAAGTTTTTCAAATACTCTTAAATCGAGAAAAAAATTTCATAAAAATCGGAGTACTATATCATATAGCTGCCATAGGAAAGATCGAAAAATCTATATAGAAATAACGGAAATAAAATTATTACCTCGTGGTTTTTCATCAGAGAATCATGATTTTTGGAATATAGAGTTTTCCAATGAGTCTTGAGTTAGAAATTAAATTTCATCAAAATCGGACGACTATATCATATAGCTGTCATATGAACAATATGGAAATCGTCGTAGATTCGATGCTGTTTAGCCTTTTTGTATTTTCTTAGACATATTTAATGACTGCAAGGGTATATAAGCTTCCGCTTGCCGAAGCTAGCTTCCTTTCTTGTTTTCAAGTTAAATCATGTGAATGTTTAAGCTACATTTAAACTATTAAATTTGGCTGCGTTAAATATCTATAACAATGCTAGGTGATTTTATTTTTAATTCCAGAAATCCATCGACGAATAATCTGCTTACGAGTAATGCATGCGTGGGCTATTACAAACGCTATCAGCTGTGTAATGATGTGCCCTGCGACGAGCAATCCCCAGATTTTCGAGCTTCCCAATGCACAGCTTACAACGATATTGAGTTTCATGGTCACCGATATAGGTGGGAACCTTATGTAAAGGGTAGGCATTTACCTATAACCTATGACAAAGCTTTACATAAATTACAAAACACCGAAAGAATTCAAGTTTGTTTGTCTTTGTATTTTTTGGTGTTGCTAATAAATTTGGTTTTATTTCTGATGAGAACATGTTGTTCTAATCTTTCTTCTTTACGAGTAAAGGAAGTAAAATCAAGAAAAACTTTTTGAATTTTTTATAGAGGATGCCGAATGTGAGCTGAACTGCATGCCATTTGGAATGAAATCGTTTGCCACACTCAATGAATCTGTAATTGATGGAACGCCGTGTCGACATCCAGCTGAATACTATCGGTCGCAACTTTGGGACCGAGCTGTTTGTGTGAATGGAGCTTGTAAGGTGAGTAAAAGTTATTTCTATATTTTCTACATCGGATTTTCAGGATCGTAAATAAAGATTTTGGGATCCCTTTAATTTAAAGAATTTTACTTAGATGGTTTTATAGGAATATACTTACGTGAATTTTCAAATTATGATTAAGAATGCTAGTAAAAAATACGTTTTACTCTTTACCTTAGGCTAAACAAAATGTTTAAAACAAAGAAAATTTGTTTTTATATTGGGTTTTTTTTATTATTGAAGCATTACTTATGTTAATTTTACATCGAATAATTTTTCATCCATTCCACGATCTTGAAAATCCAGTTCCATCGCGAGCAACAGAGCAGCGATCGCACATTAAAAGCACTAATTGTGCGTTCTTTACTCGATACTAAAGCTTTTTTAAGTAAAAGAATCGCACCGAATGCTTAGTATTAGTTGTACTTTGAATCATAAAGCACGCACAATTTATAGTGATCCGTGAAGTCTGTTCAAATTATAATTTAAAGTTCGATATTATATAGTGTTTTATATTAAGGCCTCGATCTTTCTTTGGTGTATACTGTTTAGTTTTCATTATTATTTCACCATTCTTATTTGTTAAACATTTAATCACGTTTAATGAAAACATAGAACTTGGAGAAATTAATACATTTTAATCGGTCAATACATAGTTAACTTGTTTGCCAATTAGATTTTCATATGTTATTTAAAAATATTTATTTTTCAACATCGCTTATAGTCCTTCTGATTTAACCGTCCTGCGCCCTAAGTGTATAATTGATTATTCTGAATTGGAATAGGTCAGCAAATCAAAGAAGAAATGATTTCGAGAAAGCAAAAACTGGAACGGGTCCAATGAGCTTAATTTCATTGAATTATTTTAGTAAACACATTGCCGCAGTTGTGCGTACGGAAAGTCCATCCAAAAGGCAATTGCTTATAGAACATATGCCCCTTAATAAGCCTGAATGTATTTTGTACTCATTTATTTTTTGTTTATCTTGTTCTCTTAATAAGTGGCCAATAAATAATGTTTTTGCAAAGCCCAAGAATTCCACTCGGATTACCCTGAACTTACTATATATAAGAAGTATTTTTAATATTCTTGTTTAGAAGCTGAACATAGTTTTCGAAGAGTGGGTCGAAATTAAGAATATTCACTATATTTATTCAAGGAGGTATTAAGTTTACACGATTGTAACACAATTTATATTTTTTGCATAACGAAGAGCTAATGTTGAACAGATTAAAATAACAAAATAAAATTGAAAAGAAATGAAAACATTAATAGCACTGCTATTATTGGTAAGTAAATTTTAAAACTATTTTACAATTTGCTGGAGCAAAATACTTTCATAAAACTGATTTCACATTATTGTTTAATAAAATTGTAATAATTTTAAGGCCATCCACGCCAATGGAGATATTGATGGATTGTATGCACACAGTGGATCTGTAAGTTGTGGCGGATTATTGTGTCGTCCTGTCACGGGGATCTTCACCCGAGATCCTTTGCCGGAACATGCCTATATACACGTTACCACCTTACCAGTTGGAGCCTCCAATATTTCGATAACTGAACTTAAGAACAGCATTAACTTGTTGGGTAAGACTTTTGCTCATATTGCATAATATATCCAATACCTTAGGTTATTTTGTTCTCTAGTTTTGCAAACATCGAAAGAGGTTTACATTTTTAATGGTGAGAATACTGTTTCCGAAAGTGGATCCTACGAGGCGGTGGGAGCCACCTTCGATTATCATCGCATCGATGGAGCACAGGACAGCAATGGAGTGACCGAATGGATCACAAGTATTGGACCCATCAGGGACTCATTGCAACTAATGGTATGACAATAAAAATAATTCTTTTTTCTATGAAATATAATATAATATTATGAAATTATATGTATACCTACCCTAAAGAGTCTGTAGAGTCAGTTGTTCATTGTATCGAACTCAAAATGTTTTATTTTATTTATATAAATTAATATGTCTGGTTCTTTAGGTTTATACCAAGACACCAAATAATACTGGTGTTAAGTACGAGTACATGCTGCCGATTGTATCCGAATCGGAGGAGAACGAGATGTCCTTGGAGAGCAGCGATGGCCTGTTGAAATCCGGACTGGAGGACACCAGTTCGTCGAGCAGCTCGTCTCGGCGAAAGCGTATTTTTAATTGGAAGGTAATTGGCTTCAGCGGCTGCACGAAATCCTGTGGCGGCGGCACTCAGACACCAATTATCCGCTGCATTCGGAAGAACACGGTGCGTCATTACTCGCAACGCCGTTGCCTGCACTCCGTGAAACCAGTTCTCAATGAGAACCTCCTGCATTGCAACACGCAACCTTGTCCGGCGTATTGGCGATTCGACGAGTGGGGCGAGTGCCGCTGTTCGAACAACTTGGCCTTCCGGCGGAGAGAGGTCAGCTGTGTCCAGGAACTGGCCTCCGGCCTGGTGATCCATGTGGACAAGGCCGCCTGCATGGAGGATCAGCCACCTACCCAGAAGCAGTGTGAATGCCCCAAGAACCGCAGACGCAACTTGGCCAGATATCGTCTGCCCGATTATTCCAATAGCACCCAGGTGAAGCGCAGCAATATCGATGGCACCGAGGTCACTGCCATCTGGCTGAAGTCCGAGTGGAATCAGTACTGCTCGGTGTCCTGTGGCTCGGGCGTTGAGCATCGCACAGTGTTCTGCGATCGATCGAAGGCCGGGGAACAGCGTTGTGATCCCAGCACAACTCCCGAGAGTCGTCGTCCTTGCGAGAAACCCAGTTGCGAGGTGGGCGACTGGTTCGCCGGTCCTTGGTCCTCGTGCAACGGCGACTGCTTCGACCTGACCCGCAGCCGGGAAGTCCTGTGCATCCAGAACCAGCTGATCACCGAGGACAAGGACTGCAAGTCGGAGCTGAAGCCGCAGTCCGTGGAGAAATGCTCCCACGAGGAGGTGGAGTACTGCGCTGCCCGTTGGCATTACTCGGATTGGTCGGAGGTAATTGATTTTTATGGGTTTATAATTAGGTTTTATTTAAATATTCAGTTTACACAAGTTTCTTTAAATTTATGTAGAATGTTTAAAGTGAAGGGTGCTACAGAAATTTATTATTAAGTTCACACTGATCTCTATTATTTTAATGGCAAGCCGAAACTACAACTCCAAGAACCTTTTCTACATTCAAATCAAAAGACAGAAGCTCAATTTAACACTATTTATTGTTTTTTTTTTAAATTTTTCTAATTCCAACTTTTTTTTTTACAGTGCACCAAGCCCTGTGGAGGTGGAACCCAGCGACGCAGTGTAAAATGTTTGGAATACGACGTTAAATTTAACTCCCTGCGAGAATCAACGAAATGTCGTTACACAACCAGAGATACAATTTACCGAAGCTGCAATGTGCAAAAGTGTGATGGTGGGTTTTTAAGTTATTTTATTTTTTATATTATATTTATATTATTTTTTAGATGAGCCCAAGATTGATGCTGCTCCGACTTGCACCGATAAGTTCGCCAATTGTCAATGGGCTTCGCAAGCAAAGTTGTGTAGCTACGATTATTATCGCGAAAATTGTTGTACTTCTTGCACTGGTGGTAAATAAATCAACTTCGAAAAATTTATAAAAGAGATTTATATACTATAAGTAGCTCTTGAGAATCATACGTAACTTATAAACTGACTCCATAACCGTCTTGCAGAACATCTACGAAATACTATTAAGATTTACCCAAAAATACGAGATACATTTTGTTAACCTCAACATTATTATAATATTTCTGACACTAAAGCTCAACATTAAGCTTGCAGGGAATTGCAAAACTAAATATTCGGTCGAGAAAAACGTATTAACGCAATTAAATAAAGTGTACTAAAATAAAATAGCTGAAGACTAAACCATATAACTAAGTAAAAAATACATAATCCCTAAATTAACATTAAGAAACGAAAAGTGATGTTGTAACACATACAACTATATAAATATAAATAATCCAGAGATTAATAAAAGCCTTTCGAATTTCTTTTATTAGAACAAATAAATCATTTTATTAAATTTGAAAGTGTATTTGAGTTTTTAAGATAGCTATGAGTTTATATTTATAAGCGATGAGTATTATATTAAAAAAATTATTCCCGTGTATTGTTTTAAAGCTTGTAACCTAGTATTTGCCAGAATAACCTCATTGTAAAAAAGTATAGAATTTCAACAAATCCCAAAACACTGAATCCGAGAAAAAGTCCGGCTGTTCCGCCAATTGAAACTACAAATAATTATGAACACTCTAAAGTTCATTGTAAGATTACAAAAATAAGAACATTTACCTAACAGATCGGTCATTGAAAATATAACTTGACGTTTGAGCCGACTTTTTGGCCAAGATCTCACTTGTACAGATGTTCCGACTCCACCAAGTAATTGTTTCGATCCTGACATTTGCTGTAGAATTCGGAAAATGTTGTCAAGTTAATCATCGTAGTTAGAAATGAGAAAATCTAAGACATACATGGGCACTTCTTATTGTAACAACTGAATCGCGACAGTTCTGTTCACAATAGCATGGAAATTGACTCTCTTCTTTTCTATCACTCTCGTATAGTTGAAGAAAATAACCTGATAATTACATAAGAAATTATATTTTGCTCTTTGAAATTTAAAGAAAAAACACTTACTTTCATGACGAGGAAAGCAGGATCTTAAAGTTTTATAATCGCACACTCGCTTGGGATTTGAAACTGAAACAAAATTGTTATTTTCCTTTGGCAAATATGTTGATTTTAACTTACTGCGATTGGGATAAAAATGGGGAATACATTTACATATTTTGTAGGCCAAATTAATTCGGCATTCTTGCAGACAAATATTTCTGGTATAAAACGGGAAATGAGTTAAATTGGTTTCGTGGTAAAACCTGCATTTTCTCATGGTGACTGTGGTTTCGCTGCAGAAAGTTGGAATATTTTAGAAATAATACTAGCATTTGTAACACTTGTAACTTGCTTTTCCAGATTTTCCTCAGAAATGACCTCCCTGCTAGTTAGTTCGTAGGTAACTCCTTCTGTGGCGTAACCGAAACTGGCATCCACCTTCATCACATCAAAGGCAGAGTGTGCAAAGGACTTGAAAGGTTTAAGATATAAATTAGCAGACCTCTTGCGATATCACTGATATTTAATAACTCACAAATATCGCATCGCTCGAAAATCCCAGAAACGTGTACTGCATGTCCATTGAAAAATACGTACCGAACATGAAGTCCACTGTGTTACTCGCCAGCTCAAATGTGTTTGGCTCGGGATACTTCCCAAAAATAAAGTACCGAGCACTATAATCCTTACCAAGTTCCGAGTTGGTCAAGTAGCACAATCCCCATTCGGTTAAAACCTGTCTGGCATGAATTTTTGTCGCACCATCAAAACAGCGAGTGCGTTGGCGTTCATTTGGATCGTAGGTTCTATCGTAGGTTAGATTGTATATTAACTCCATATATTGTTTCGGTTTTAAGTCTATTTCCTTGATTATTTCATCGATCTCAGCGTTTTCGGGAATGTTTTGGAAGTTCGTGTAAGTGGAATTGGCCAAGTTCTCCAAAAAATCCCAAAGAGTATCCTTCTTCGATCCCTTAATGCCCATTTGCCTAAAAACGTTTTGTGACTTGCAAATATCAACTAAGAAAATGATTTTGTAATATACATAAATATATTATACTTACCGACAATAATCAGCGAAATACGTAACATTAAGTCGGGTCGCTGGACAAACGGTCAAACTTGGTATCGTTGTGTTCCAAAAATGATAATTTCGCTGCGTTACAAAACCAAAAAGTTCATAATAATACATCGATTTAATTAAAGAATATCACAGTACCTCCACTCCAATATGTGTGCTTTTCGTATAGTAGCGATCAACTGATGAAAGGCATACAACTATACAGAAATATATTGAGACAACTAGAAGGACAAGCCACAAAAATCTGAAAAGTTAACATAGTTATATACAAAAAAAAAAATTGTTGGTTACACAGAAATTTTTAGAAAATCGAAAAACCTCAAGAAGGTTCATAAAAGAATAATACAATATGTTTCTAGAAATTTCTGTTGGATTTCTGATAATATGTAAACTTATGTACCTCTCAAACAAAAGAAGCATTGTTTCAACAACAAATCGGAATCCATGAACGCAACAATTGTTAAAATATAAAACAATAAAATTAATAACATTTTTTGACCATTTCCGATAGTTTGGGCGCTGGGACACCATACTGTTTTAGATTGTTTTAAGGGATTAGAACGACGTTATTTACATGACTAAAGAAAGTCTTTCAAAACCAAATTAATTTATATTTACGCCGACCCTTCGAGAGAACTAAAATCGTTAGCGTGACTTAACTCAGTTTTAAATGGCTTTAAGCTCTATTACTTTATGCAAGATTTATAGATATAGCACTTTGCGTGTTTTTCTGACAGGAGTTAAATCCATATTACACAATATACCAAGCGTTACTTTATTCTTGCTGTAAGTTGTAATTATAAATTTTTGTGTAGACAGAATGAATAAAGTCCTGCTAATGTGAACATTGAATATTATACCGGGCTTAATTTAATGGAATAAATAGTTTATTTTTAGAAAAAGTTGTGTGAGAATTTAAATATAAGTTATTTTGTGTGGTTTTGAAAATTATATGGTGTACCCTAGTATTTGCCAAAATAATCTTAAAGTGAAAAAGTAAACAAACTCCACCAATCCCAAAAAACTAAAACCAAGAAAAAATCCAGCAGTTCCACCGATTGACACTGAAATAAAGACAAACTATTATTATGCCAAATATTGCAATTAAAGCTTAAATATGAAACTGAGAATAGGTACCCAATAGATCGGTCATTGAAAATATAACTTGTCGTTTGAGTCGTCTCTGTGGCCAAGATTTCACTTGTACATGTCCTCCAATACTTCCAAGCAAATTTTTTGATCCCGATAAGGACTAAAAGAGTTATATAGTTTCACTAGTTTTTACACAATTAATTATTTAAAATGAAGCTACGATATTTACATTGGTAGCCTTTGTTGTTACGGATGCATCGTAACAGTTTTGTTCACAATAACAAGGAAAAGGCTTCTTAAGTTGGTCATCTTTATCGTACAATTTAAGAAATAGATCTACGAAATATATACATAGGAAATTATAATTATGTATGTTTTTTGTACATATAAAACTATTTGTAAACATTTGTGAAAAACATACTTGAATAACGAGGAAAGCACGATCTTAAAGTTTTATAATCGCACACGGGCTTAGGTTTTGCGACTAAAAAGGAATATTTATCGTTTTGTAGTGGTTTTAAAATTAATATAAACTTACTGAGATTTGGGTAAAAATGTGGAATACATTTACACCTTTCATAAGCCAAATTAATTCGGCACTCTTGCAGGCAAATATTTTTGGTGTAAAACGGAAAATGAGTTAAATTGGATTCGTGGTGAAACCTACATTTTCTCATTGCTATTGTAGTTTCACTAAAGTAAATTAAATTTATTTTATAAATTTATCAGTATGTTTAGGATTTGTATAACTTGCGTTTTCAGGTTTTCCTCTGAAATTATTTCTTCGCTGAAAACGTCGTAAAAAATACCCTCTTTTGCATACTCGGAACCAGTGTCCACCTTCATTACATCAAAGGCAGAATGTACGAAAGACTTAAAGGGTTTAGGAATCAAAAGATAAAGAATTTAAACTTGTATTTGATTAAATAAACTTACGAAAACCGCACTGCTTGTGAAGCCCAGTAAAGTGTATTGAACATTGTCATCGAAAAATCCCCCCACCATGTACTTTAAAATTTCTGGCGATTGTTGGTACTTGTTGTACTTGGGGTATTCACCAAATATCAAATAACGGGAACTGTACTCTTGGCCAAGATCCGAGCTTCCCAAGTAGCACAGTCCCCACTCGGTTAAAACCTGGCGAACTTGAATTTTAGTCGGACCATCGTAACAGCGAATTCTAAGGCGTTCAGATGCCTCGAAAGTTCCATCAAAGGTAAGATTATAAATTAATTCCATGTAGTGTTTCGGTTTAAGGCCTAGTTTCTTGATCACTTTATCGACCTCATCATCGCCAGGAATGTTTTGAAAATTCATGTACGTGGAATTGGCCAAGTTTTCTATAAAGTCCCAAAAAGCTTCCTTTTCTGACCCCTCGATGTCTTTTTGCCTTAAATTAAATAATAATCTGTAATCAAGAGCTATAAAAAATGATGTAATGTACTTATACCGACAATAGTCGTCGAAAAGTGTTATGTCAAGTCGATCCGAAGGGCAAACAGTTAAACTTGGCACTGCGGTGTTCCAAAAAAGATAATTTTTCTACAAAAAATTTTGGAAAATTAAAGGCTATGAAATATTTTTTGGATTTCACAATACTTCCACTCCGATATGTGTACTTTTGGTTAAATACCGATCAACTGATGAGAAGCAGACTATAAAGCAGAAATATATAGAGACCGCCACCAATGAAAACCAAAGAACTCTAAAAAAATAAACTATTGTATTTTACTTTCCTATTTAATGAAAAGTTTAACTTTAAACTCACCTCTCAAAGAACATAAGCTTTTGTTTAACGACATAGTTAAACCCATGAATGCAACAATTGTTGAAGTATAAAATAATAAATTTGGTACACATTTTTGCCCATCTTTTAATTTTAAAGAGCTTGTTCTAAATTGGGATTTTTTTTATATAATTAGATGAAACAAACATTTTATTTTAACATTCTTACTTTATTTGATTTTCGCTTCATTTGAGGACCTTTCTTGTACGAGTACTTTATGGAGTTTAAATGAAAATCATTCTTCTTTGAAATTATTAAATTTGTTGGCGTGACTGAACTCTGTTTTAAGTGGATTATGCTTTATCACCTATGCAAGATTATTAGATATCGCACTTTGCGTGCTTGCTAATAAAAGAGTTCGATTCATATAACACCATATGAGCTCATACTTTATTACTTGATTAAAGTAAAGTTGTGTTTCCTTTAAAATCCCATTCTATTATTTAACTTCTGATTTAAACAAATAAAATACTTTAAAAAAGCTTTTTGTTTTATTGGCAAGGTACTTTATATATTATTCATGCGTTAGTTTTTATAGAACTTAATTTCTTTGCTGGATTATGAACGTACGAATTTGCATTGGCACCAAAGTGACAACAAAATCGGAAGCGGTCATCGTGGAATCGGCTGACAACGGAGTATGCGGGGCATAATAATATTCAACGGAAGAAGGAATACTGCCGGATGAGTCCTGGTTAAACTTGAATCTCTTCATGTCGTCCAACTTCATGTTTCCGTCCAAAGTTGTTTCCCAAATCTGATCTCCATTCAAGGAGCTAAAAAGAGGGTAAATGTTAAAGCTCACTACATTTCCATATGTGTTAAAGTTCTCCACTCTTATTAAAATTTGATCCTTTGAATATTGTTCAAAGGAGAGAAGTTCTACCGATTTTGGAAAATCTGAAAAGTCGGGAATCAACTGGCGGTTTACAGAAGCAATACCATTGGATTTGCTGAAAAACTTCCAAAAGTGAAGATCCAACTCGTGTTGCAAAAGTCGTTCGGCGTGTTTTGGTTTCTCAGTTGCAGAATCGAGAATTAGGGAAATCTTTCCTCTTGCGATCAAACCAGTTCCAAACTGAGTCTCATTGAGGGCTTCTCCGACGCCGAATGCATCATCATTTAACAATCGACGATGCAACATTAGCTCCAATTCCCCATCCTTTAAACTGGATCCTCCTTGAGCTCGATCATTCAGCAAAGTGATTCGCTTTTCGTCGTCTTGCAGGGAAATCTGTCCAGTTACTGGATAATAATTTCCACTCACTGCCTCTGACATGTCGGGATCGAAGTTTTCTCGCTGATTTCTTACACGTTCCAGCATTTCCCGACCATTCGAGTCGGTATAGAATTTTCCTTTGGAGGATATATTGCTCGAGAAGCGAGTGATTATCTCTTTTCCGATATCATCTTCTATTGGAATTGGACCAACTAACCACTCGAATTCCACACGATTTTCCTCATCGTAAATGCGGATTACCTGGGAAATCCAATCGTTAAAATGCTGATGGACTTCCTTAACTCGGGTTCCATTATAAAAAGAAAGCTGCACTTTGTCATTGAGTATTTCAATATCTCCATCTGGACGGAAAACGTAGGCTCCCGAAGATCGGTTGTTGGATTCACCATTATTGCCTTGATATCCCTTGTATATTCCAAAATGCTGCTCAATATTTTCGGTTACGCCATTCATTTGAATGGTTTTCAAGCCACCTGAACTTTTATCAAAAGTGAGTTTAACAAGCTGAAATAGGAGTTTCAGACAACTAAAAATAAATCTCAATATTTTACCATTTACTTACCGAATTCTCCACTATTAAATCATCGGAATCATCCTGGATTTTCTCTAGGGGGAAATATTCATTTTCCTGTGCAAGATTTTTTGGATTTGGTAAAACGCGTATTAAAAAGTTTGATATTTTATCAACAGTGGCTTTGAAAACCAATTCGTGTTGAGTGTCATTCGGTCGATGTTCTAAGGATAGAACTTGCCAAGGAACGGGGATTACTTCAGAGGTAACTTTACGACCTGTAAAAAATATTATAAATATTAATAATACGGTATAACTAAAAATAATACCATAAAACTTAAACACAAACTACGAACAAATATAATGATTACAACAATAGGAATTGTAGGAACCTGTTTTTTCCAATGCTTTGATGATCTGTATTATAAAATACTTTAAACTACTTTTTAACATTAGCAAAATGAGCAATATACATATAACTCTTTCAGTTATTATCACTCCTCTTATATTTTCTCAACTATCTTCCAAATTATTATATAATTTCATAACTCACCTTTTTCATCGGTGACCAAATAGTTCTCGTTCTTCGCCGGAACCCGCACATATTGCGTTGCAGTATGGGCCAGTGGATTTACTAGAGTCACAATTACATTGTTGGCAGTATTTTGGGTGAAGGCACAAACACTGATATTCAGTTGCAGGCAACTTTCGAATTCCCCAGACTTCAAACTGGTCAGAGATCGAAGGGCATCGCGAGCATTATTTTCCGCACCAACAATCGCCTTGAATAACATTCGATCGTAGTCCTGGGCAACTGCCTGTTTTTCAGTGCCTGTAACTGCATCATGATGCTGCATTATTCCCATGGCCTCACTTAGATTTTCTATGTTTTCCAAGTGCTGAGTGCTCGTCAAGTTGGCCAAGACACTCAGTTGCTTTACGACCTGAAAGAAATGATTTCCATCCCGATGGAAACGCTTTTGCGTGGGTCGCGAAGTGAAATATCCCGTCCAATACGAGTGGGAGTCACTCGAATATGGAAAGAAATCCTCGGTTTTGTTTGGCCAAGTTTGCTGCAATTGATGCAATTCGTAGAGATAACACGAGGGTGTCGAGTAGAAAACGTTGATTCGCGAACCCTCCAATTGCCGATCGTTCACATACCTTATAAAAAAATTTAAAAAAAGAATTACTGATAAGAAAATTAATCAAAGTACTATGAATGGGTTCACCTACTTTATCAGTTTGTCCATGTTTTTGAAGTTCACTGCGGCCTCTTCGTACTGAAAATCGTCTCCCATGGGAACCATTATGTGAGTGGATCGATAATACTTAGACATTGTCTTAATGTATTCGATAAAGTCAGTGATTCTCTGATCAACGTTGTTATCGAAGCTCTCGCCATCGATTATTGGAGCATCCTGGCAGTTGATATCGAAGCAGAATCCTGGAGGAGCGGAGTAGTGATTGTATAGCATTCCGGTGAATATGTTGGAACTCTTCAGGAATTCGCTTGATTGCCAAACCATCTCCATTTCCAGATCCTCCTTACGCTTCTTTTTATCAACGTAATCCATGCGTGCGAAAAACTCGCCATTAAAACCCATTTGTGCAAATATAGACGCCATTTCTCTGGAGTGACCAAATGGATCGATCTGCCAACCGATTGTTGGACGTCCACAATCCCCAAAGTTGTCTTTTAGGTATCTGTAATAAGATATTTGTATATAAATACTTGTGTATTGAAAATATATATTTGTTTACTCACTTTAAACCCAAATTAAATTGATCGATCACACTTTGGTAGTGAACTGTGGCCTCATCATTCATACTCCAAGCTCCTCCAGTGAATTCCAAACGACCTTCTGCCACCAATTTTTGCACAGCTCTCTGAACAATTTCCGTTTGTTCGGAGTACCATTTCGCAAAGAAAAACGTTTCTACTTGTATGAAACGCCTTTTCGAATCCTTGAGGAGTTCTTCAACAACCGTATCCAAAATGTATTGAACACCAGCGTGCTGAATTCGGTTTTGACTTCCATAGTAATACTGATCCACTGTTTTTAGCCAACCGACATCGTCGTGCGAATGGGGTACTAAATGAACATTTATCATATTTATTTTCGTAGCGGGACATGACTGAAATGAAAGTATATTATAGTATCAAATTAAAACCACTGATATATTAAATTTAAGTAAATAACTTAATGTTTGAAAACAACAATACCACATGTTGTATTTCAAACCAATTGAAATTAGTTACCTCAAATCCACAGGTAGCTCCGGATACCGCAGTATTCACTGAAAAGAGCGTGATAAAAAGCGCTACACAACTGAAATATTCCATTTCAGGGACAGAATACTAAGCTCCACGGAGGGTCTTATCGGGCCAGTTGAGTCGAGTAAAATGAAACGAGGAATGAGGCAACTCCTTAGACCCCAGCAATGTGCCACTTGAAGCGATAAACCTTGTACTGCAATCGCATTAGCTTGAGTGGGATTATCAAATTAAAATCCATTTAGGAGCATGGCGATAACAATTTACACCCCAAATAGAAGGGAAATACAAAGTTAGGCGTTTCTGTCATCGTTTCGCTAAAAAAAAGTGATATACTATATACACTTCTCAATACAAACGCAATGAACTTAAGATTTGGGGCTTATCAACATTCAAAACAATCATACATATTCGCATTTGTTTATGTTTGAGTACTAGTCATTGACTTCTGTATTTTGCATTAATACACTCTTATCTTCGCTGCAATCATTTCAAGTAATTAATTATTCAGATTACGAAAGGAACTCGTACCATTTTATGAATTTGTACCTAACTAAGTGGTATATAAAGAGCTGGTCTTGTAAACAAGAAACTTTTCATTATTTTTATTAGATGCTCTTGAAACCCACATGTGTATTAAGACCTTTCATCGCTATAATTTTTTTTTATCACTTCTGCAAATGCGATTTTACCAGCGGAAGCTTTTATTTTCAAACCTTGACTTTTAAAGAGTTAAAAGATTTATTGGGGTAGTCTCTCTGCAATACCTATAAGAAGGAAATCTGTTTAGTTTTGCTTGCAGAATGTTTATGGATGCAAGAATGTGTCGACACACAAGTTGTAATTTGTAAATATTTTTTTGTAGTAAAACACAGCTAAGCAAAGTAGCTCCTATTTAATTAAATTAAATGTTAAGAATAAGTAAACGATTAGAATAATTACTATATAAAGCTCAGATAAATATTTTTTGAATGTATAATAAATAAAAAAAATATCACACAATTGCCGCTTCCGCTTTCTTTCGAAATTTTCCACACAAATATTATTTTTAGTGCTATTATTCAAAGTGTTGATAGTTAATAAGTATCGCTTGGGTTGCCAGGGAAAACCTATAATACACTTAATTTCTTTAGTAGGGCTAATCAGGAAAATAAACCTTTCAATTTAAAAGTACTTTATAACGATTTCCTTTCCTTTTTAGATAGAAGTTCTGTTTGCCTTGAGCTTTAAAATTAAAGAGGTTTTGCAAAGACGTTTTACGATAGGTATTATAATAGATAATTGAGATTTTAAAGCAAGATATATACATAGCTTACATAAGGAAACCTTAAAAAACTTTTGATTCTGTAATCTTAATTATGAATTTAAATTGCAGATTAAGCGTTAAACCACTTTCTTTGGTCCGTGTAACAATAATTCCATGCATCATAAATTCTTCTCCGATCTTTTGGTTTCAAAATTTTTTATAGGAATAGGTTAAATCCTATGTGTATTTTATAAAAATCTAACCCCTATTCATTTTAGTAGTACCTCTAGTTCGAAAAAATAAAGTCCATTGATAAAACCGACTGTTTCTGAAGTGTACCACTCAGACCCTTTTCGAGTCTCCGATAGTAACGTGAATTAATTCACGGCTATCATAAATGCAATTGTGTGTGATCGGCTCTTAGAAACCAATTAACCACTTGACCAGTTTATTGCGTTGAAATGATTAAACGGATTAAGCTAAAGCAACTCTAACAATCTTTGGGGTAACACTTTAAAACGCGCATGTACAAAATTTTTTTAAGCCCTATCAGTATTTTTCAGGCGAATTACCCGGCGAATTCATACATTTATCTGCGCTCCCAAGTACAAACATATGTATGTAGGAATACTTGCTCGCTTTCTCGATTTTCATATATATGTACATACATATATGTACGGGGAGCAATAAAGAATGATTCTCAAGTACATGGTAGAATTATACAAGGTAGTCTCGTCGGCTGCAAAATCGTTCGGGTTTTTCCCCTATCGACCCGAACCCATAGGAAAACACTCTCTCTCGCTCTAATTGTAGTGTCAATAGGGGGAAAAAAGCCGACGAGACTACCTTGTACTTATTATGCCATGCTCAAGTAGGTCTCGAGCTGAGTTTACGTTTTCTGGTCGAACAGTTCGCATTGAGAAGCCGATGCGATCGGTTGAGTCGGTCTCCTTTACAAGTAGTTTCTTTTTTCAAAGTCTGTGTGTGTATATCACCGAATATCGGCGAAGTGTACTTTGTGTAAATAATAATAATTGGATGCAAATTCCACAAACGTAAATAAAGAAACTAAATTGCAATGCCGGCAAAGACTTCTGTGTGGCTTGCATTCTTTTGCGCCCTTGCATTTCTAATCCACGATGCCGATTTGCGGAGTATTCAACAAAAGGCCTCTCAGTGCGGCTATCAGGTAAGAAAATATTCCTGTTCTGGGAAAAACTAAAGAAAAAGAATAGCGAAACATGTTGCAGAGGCAACAAGTTGTTTGTAATTTGCCCTAGCAAATAAAAAACCTTTGAGGCTCAGTTTGTAGAGAGAGAATGGAAACTGATTAGGGGTTTATAATAGGTATGTACATTTAGAAATATCTGTATGTACATTTTGCCGGTGATTTTTGCTTTTCTTTTTAAACAACTTAATGTTCATGTAGTTTTGTTTTTAAATACAGAGGTCAGACCATTTTGATAAGTGTTTATAAATTATTTAAGTGACAGAAATTATTTTGCATGCCTTAAAAATATTCATTTTATGTTACTTATTAGAAAAGGAATAGGTGGTTTTTATGGGCAATCAAAAAACCAAATAAAACTGGGAGGCGAAAAAATTCCAGAAAGTCAGAGAACATAAACGAAAATTATTATTTAAGTTTCTATTAAATCCAAATCATAATGTTACGCAGTTGTTAAAAAAAAAGAAATATATTGTTTGTAAGATTTCAACTTTCGGAAGAGTATTAAAATTAATTGAAAACTCTCTCAAAATAGAAGTGGTGTGCTTTAATTTTTTTTAAGCCAGAAAAAATTATATTAAATGTGAGAAAACTTTATTTTTCATTCAACCTTAAGAACTATCTATAAATGAATTCCCATTTACTTTCAGAGCTGTCATCCCACGAAACCGAATATGCTGAATGTGCATCTTGTGGCACACACTCATGATGACGTCGGTTGGCTGAAGACCGTCGACCAATATTATTATGGCAGTGAGACTAGGATCCAAAAGGCTGGCGTGCAATATATTATCGATTCGGTTGTGGAGGCTCTTCTGAGAGATCCCGAGAAGCGATTTATCTACGTGGAGTCCGCCTTTTTCTTCAAGTGGTGGAAGGAACAGACCACCAAAGTCCAGGATGCAGTTAAAATGCTGGTGGAGCAAGGCAGACTTGAATTTATTGGCGGTGCTTGGAGCATGAATGATGAGGCCACAACGCACTACCAAAGTGTGATTGATCAGTTTTCTTGGGGATTGAGGTATATCTAAATCTGAATCTAATTTGGGAAAAAACTCAGTAAATTGAGTAATATAATTTCAGGCTTTTGAACGACACCTTTGGAGAATGTGGACGTCCTCGAGTTGGTTGGCAAATCGATCCCTTCGGACATTCCAGGGAAATGGCTTCCATGTTTGCCCAAATGGGTTTCGATGGCATGTTCTTCGGTAGATTGGATTACCAAGATAAGGACGAACGTCTCATGACCAAAAATGCGGAAATGATTTGGCACGGATCAGCTAATCTGGGTAATTAGCTTTGGGGTTTTATAATATCTACCTTAAGTATAATAATACTTGTTATTTTTTTAGGAGAGGAAGCGGATTTGTTCAGCGGTGCTCTTTATAACAATTACCAGGCTCCGGATGGTTTTTGCTTTGATATTCTTTGTAGCGATGCTCCCATCATCGATGGCAAACACAGTCCCGACAATAACGTTAAGGAAAAGGTAAGAGTTTGTGCTATTTTTTAAACATACCTTAACAGCTTTTAGTGTTATGCTTTTGGCATTTGTTGAACATTTGTCTGTCTTGTTTCTGTCCTCCCATCAAATCAGATCGATTCGTTTTTGGATTTCGCCAAGACCCAATCCCAATACTACCGCACCAACAATATCATTATCACAATGGGCGGGGATTTCACATACCAGGCTGCCCAAGTCTATTATAAGAACCTCGACAAGTTGATACGGTAATTGCATATTGTGTTGTCCTCGCAAAACTCACTGTTAAAGAAAGCCCCTAAATTCTAAATTGTACTGTCCAAAATGTGTCGTCTCCACACTCTGAAAAAGAAATATAGACTATTTTTCAAATTTAAGAAAGAAGTTTAAGGAATAATTGTAAAAAAGAGAGAAAGCCTTTCAGCAAAAATGTATTACAATTATGAGAAATTATTGTTTAGATACAATATTTGAAAAAATAGGGAAAAAATGCATGCTGTTTATATAAAAAACTTTCTTAAATGAGGAAAATAGTCTCTGTTTTTTATTGAGTGTACTATAGAAACCAAGTTAATTGAGAGCCAATCTTGTGCCAAACAGGTTGATGCCTTCTTGGAATATGTAACCAAAATGGCCACTCAATATCGCACTCCCAACGTGATCCTAACGATGGGTGAGGATTTCCATTACCAAAACGCCGATATGTGGTACAAGAATCTGGACAAATTGATTAAGTAAGTGGGGGCTTTCCTTAAGAGAGTTTAGCGGAGGAGGAAAGCAGGTCTTACTATATAGATTCTATTGACTCACAGATATGCGAATGAGCGTCAGGCGAATGGTTCGAATATAAACCTGATCTACTCGACTCCGTCGTGTTATCTGAAATCCCTTCATGATGCCGGAATCACTTGGCCCACCAAGAGCGATGACTTCTTCCCATATGCATCCGATCCTCATGCCTACTGGACGGGATATTTCACTTCGCGACCGACTTTGAAGCGATTTGAACGGGATGGTAATCACTTCCTGCAAGTTTGCAAGCAATTGAGTGCTTTGGCTCCCCAGAAACCCGAGGAATTCGATCCTCACTTGACTTTCATGCGGGAAACTCTGGGAATTATGCAGCATCACGATGCCATAACTGGAACGGAGAAGGAGAAGGTTGCCCTGGATTATGCCAAGCGAATGAGTGTTGCATTCAGAGCCTGTGGTGCCACCACTCGAAATGTCCTGAATCAACTCTCTGTGCAATCAAAGGATAATGTGAAGGATAAAACCGCCAAATATGTGTTTGACTTCAAAACATGTGCCCTGTTGAACATCACTTCGTGTCCAGTTTCAGAGGAGAACGAAAGATTTGCTTTAACTCTTTACAATCCTCTAGCTCATACAGTTAGTGAATATATTAGGATACCCGTTCCAGGTGTTAGTTACAATATCATCGATAATAAGGGTAAGTAAAATATAACTAACTAGCAAAGCTATGCTCATAGTAAAATTATTATTTATTAATCTATTTTAGGAGTGACATTGGAATCCCAAGCTGTGCCAATTCCTCAACCAGTTATTGATATCAAGCACAGGAACTCTACTGCCAAATACGAACTTGTTTTCTTGGCCACCAATATTCCGCCTTTGGGATATCGTACATATTATGTTGAAAAACTGGAGGGCACTGAAGCCAACAAAAAGATTAATCCATTGCCAAAGGCCACATCCAGTGTGACAGTGATTGGAAATAGTGTAAGTACAATTGAAAAGGGAAATTCAGAGGTTAACACAAATCTCCAAAGGTTTTTTAATCATTTTACTTTCTAAAAGTATGAAACTATTTTTCCATGAACTAAGAAGTGCAACTATTTTTTTGTAGCATACCTTGTTGCACTTTTTAAAGTAGTTTAAAACCTCTAGATTTCTGCAGAATTTTCGTTTACAATATAATTATAAATTTTTTATTTTTTAGCATATTAAACTGGGCTTTGACACCAATGGCTTCCTCTCGGAAGTAAAAGCTGATGGCCTTACCCGATTGGTTAGCCAAGAGTTCTTGTTCTACGAGGGTGCTGTGGGAAATAATGCAGAGTTCCTCAACCGATCATCGGGAGCCTATATCTTCCGACCCAACGAAAACAAGATTCACTTCTCCACCGATCAAGTGGAAATCGAGGTCTACAAGGGCGATTTGGTCCAAGAGGTTCATCAGAAGTTCAACGACTGGATTAGCCAGGTGGTGCGAATCTACAACAAGGATTCTTTCGCGGAGTTCGAGTGGCTGGTTGGACCCATTCCAATTGAAGATGGCATCGGCAAGGAAGTTATCACCCGCTTCAACTCCGATATTGAGTCGAATGGCATTTTCCACACCGATTCAAATGGTAATTATTTCCTAAACATACTACAAAACCGATAGAGTTGGATAATTAAAATATATTGATTTTGTTTGTTTAAGGATATTAGAAATATTTCCTTTTACTTTTCCAAACTTTTAGTTAATGATTCTTAAATAGGTATCTTACATTCTCTAAACATTTTTATTATTTCCTAAACAGGTCGTGAAATGATTGAACGGAAACTCAACCACCGTGATACCTGGAGTGTAAAAATCAACGAAGAAGTGGCCGGCAACTACTATCCCATTACCACTAAAATAGATCTGGAGGACGAAACAGCTCGATTGGCGATCCTTACGGACAGAGCTCAGGGAGGTAGCTCCTTGAAGGATGGATCCTTGGAACTGATGGTCCATCGTCGCCTTTTAAAGGACGATGCCTTCGGAGTCGGCGAGGCTCTCAATGAAACTGAATTTGGAGAGGGACTGATTGCCAGGGGAAAGCACCATCTCTTCTTTGGAAAGTCCACAGATCGTGAAGGAGTTTCCCTCAAGGGAATCGAGCGATTGGTTCAGTTGGAAAAGCTTCTGCCCACATGGAAATTCTTCAGCAACATGGAGGATTATACAGCCGAAGAATGGCAAACATCCTTTACAAATATTGTAAGTAAAATACCACTTTAAATTCTTTTTTTTTTGTTTTATTTTAATTTAATCAAATTTTATTTTTAGTTTACTGGCATTTCATTGGTTCTTCCCAAACCGGTTCATCTTCTTACTTTGGAACCCTGGCACGAAAACCAACTTCTTGTTCGATTCGAGCACATTTTGGAGAACGGAGAGGATACTTCGTACTCGCAACCCGTTCAGTTCAATGTTAAGAATGTTCTGAGTGCCTTTGACATCGAAGGAATCCGTGAAACAACTCTGGATGGAAATGCCTGGTTGGATGAAAGCCGTCGCCTGCAATTTGCTCCAGATCCCGAGGCAGCGGCATTCAACACTTACGGAACCTTTTCCCGATCTTTGGAATCCGGATCTGTTCACCTGTTAAGTGCCGAGAAACCCATGTTGGAAGTCAAGTACGCAGAGGAATCTCTGCCAGAAGGACAATTGGGTGCCCAGAGCAACCGAATTAAAAGGGATGTGAACTTAAATGAAATTAGGAATGAGCCAAGGACTTTCAAGGTGACCGAGGGTCCCTACAACTCCTTCAAGGCAGACAGTGACAACCAGGATTATATAATCGAACTGAGTCCAATGGAGATCCGTACTTTCATTGTCTACTTGACAAAAGCATAGGAATCCTATTTATGTATAAAGAAATGTGCCTAATAAAATTTAATAATGTTTAAATGTCTGCATTATTCAAGAAAACATTTTTATTTAAATAGTAAGTATGTGTACATTTTATGATTTAATCCATTGTTTTCTAAAAAAAAAGGGTAAATATGTGTATTCTTTATGTGATAGATAAAGTATAAATAAAATGAGACAAGGCCTTCATACTTTCATATACCAATCCCCAAACAATGTCATTTCCAAGCTAAGAAAATCTTTTGTTCTCTTGGGATGAGGACAAGTTGCACACACTTGATTTATTTATTTCAGTTTTCTTAAGTCCGCAGGCTGAGATTGCGGTCAGGCAGTATTTTATATGATGAGTGACCGTCCCCAAAAACAAATATTTACCACTCTTTAATTTTAAACAGCACCAGGAATTTAAGTAAGAGCTTATATATTCAAATGAAAAAAAAGAGAGAGAGTTTTTGGTTCTGCAAGGAATTGCAATGCGGATGTTTTAATATTTAGCAGGCATTCATATTTAATTGGGCTCACCGCAAATGAAATTTTACGGGTTATTAAATTTAGAAAAGATGGGGGACATACTTACTTAATTAAATGTGCACATGTGGAGCATGGACTGCAGTCATCGTCGACTGACTTAATAGTAGAGTAATGTTGAATAACATAACTCGAATGTGAGGTACCCACTCTATTTAAGCCTTTCGCCTGAAAGTTGTTTCCTTTATACCCACTAAGTCAGGGGTAACAAAAGTTCAGTTAGTATATATATTAGGTCCAGACCCTTGCTTGTATGTTTACCCTCTTTAATATAAAATTCAACTAATAGTTTTGAAGTAGGAAGAAGTGGTAGAATGTGAAAGCGTTTTTTTAATGAAAAAAGTTGGCTACTTGCATGGCAAAGGGTTAAGTCCTTTGGTTTCATTTGCTCTTATTCTAGCTTAATATGGGGCTAGATTTCTCATTCGCAGTGGCTTCAGGGACTTTAGATATTCATTTAACTATGCTATAAGTTTAAAGACACCATACAAACTAGAACCAGTAAATAAAAAAATATTATATTAAAGTTTCCAATCATTGTAATAATAATAATAATTCAAATGATTTATTTTCTAAGAAACATTTGTAAAATTTTATTTATTTTCTTTTTTGCGTATACGATTTCGCTTTACATTCATATAAACTAATTTCTATAAAGTTGTCTAATCCGATTATAATATAATATATTGCCTTTCACATATCGTTTATTCAGATAAGTGCATGTCTTGTATACAAATAAATATACCTATTATTTTGTAATAAAAGCTTCGAATTTATTTGCACGTCTTTTCAGCTCTTGTATTAGCCTATTTGTGGTTGATTGTGAACTTTATAGGATTCTAGAATGCGCGTATATAGTTTTACAATCGATCTAAACGCATTATCTACGCCTTTGTGTACATAAATATTATTGTTTATAACGCATTAATCGAAGCGTACGCATGCTAACCAATTTTAAAGGCACATCTTTCATGTATGATATATAGAATTTTGTTGATTTTGGTCTGTTTGGTTTCTAATTTAGTATTGTGTACTCATGCCGAGTCTAATTGGTCCCAGTCGTTGCGGGCCCAATTCGGTAACTCCGTTTCATACTCCCAGCCAGGGCCCTAAAAATATAATATAAATTATATTATTTTATTTATTACTATAATAGTTTACATACCTTGTACTTCCATGCGTGCAGATACATTATAAGGTCCTTGGATTTGGGATCCCGATAGTGCACTTTGCACTCGTAGCAATGTTCGTCTATGGTGACCTTGTTAGCATTGCATCCACCTCCACTCAAAGGAATCTCCATTGAATCCAGAAGAGCTGGGGATATTTCCGAGGAAGACTTTTGTGCAGTAATTGGATATTCCTTGACTACATTTGGGCGTTCTACGTTTTTAACAGCAACTTCCGGCTGTTGGTTTTCAGTACAAGGAGGTGTGGTTTCCCGTGAATTAACCCCACCATCATCGTCGCTGTGATGAACAACTAAAATAAGAAAAAAACTTAATGAAATATATATTTTTATATTTAAAATATTGTAGTTTACCCACCCGAAGTGTGCTCACTGCTGAGACTTTCGCGATCTGTCTCGTCCTTGGTGTTCTTAAACATGGATATGTCTGAATCACAATCTATGCCCAGCCAATTCTCAGCATTGTGTATATTTATGAGATCTCTGATAAGCTCATCGTCCGACTTTCCACCGATATCGCCGGATCGTCCTTTTAGCGGACCGAAGACTTCGTGATTGTAAAGTGGATCGTTCAGAATGGGATAACCTTTAAGGAAATCAATATTATTTATAATGATTTTTAAGTTTATCTATACTATCTATACTAATATTATAAAGAGGTAAAATTTGTTTGTTTGTTTGTTTGTTTGTTTGTTTGTTTGTTTGTTTGTTTGCAGCGATTTGGCTCCGGAACTACTGGTCCGATTTAAAAAATTCTTTCACCGATAGAAAGCTATATTATCGTGGAGTTAAATAGGCTATAATTTATTTTGAAAAAAATTAGGGATCCGTAAGAAAATTGCAATATTGTCGCATATAAAGTGAGTTGCTACCTCATCACACTGACAAACACGCTCCCATAGCATTTTAACTCAATTTTTGTGTTCACTGTGAAATTGTGAAAAAAAAGAATTTTTATTCAATGTAAGTTGAACTGTGAAAATTATGTGGATCGTGCATTTGAGGATTAATTCAAGACTCTGTCCATAGTCCAAAATGCTTAGAGGACGACGTGCAAACATTGGCCGCAGACATCCAAGCCAGCAACAAGTATATTCACAAAACTTAAGCGAAGAAAGACAAATGAGCACATGGAGATCATTGGCATCATTCAATCGCTTGGCATTCCAATAAGACCCCACTGGGGATAATGAAAATTTAGATATTGGACCAATGGCGACTATATACCGATATTGCAGTGCGTTAAAGTTTAAAAGAGAAACGGCTGGATTGTGCTGCGCAAGTGGAAAAGTCAAACTGGAAAAGTGTTAAATCACCATCTTTCTATACTTCCACATATTTGAAAAATGTTGCAACATTGACTTTTATGTTGTTAAATTGTGTTGACCAGCGAAGCGGACACAGGACCTCTAGTATATTATATTTCAAGATCTTCTTACCTAAGTATTGCAAGTGTACTCTTATCTGATGCATTCTGCCTGTGAGTGGCTTGCAGAGTACCACACTAGTTGTTCCATTTTGGGAGAGCTTTTGGAAAGTCGTCGTGCAATCTTTTCCCTTTGGAGACACTTTGCACACGCCAATCTTGTAGCTAACTACTTCAATGGGCTCCTTACACTCCACAATGCCACTGAAAATTAATTATTTATAAGATTTTTATTGTTCATATACATAAGTATTTAACTTACTCTGGAAATACTCCCTCCACCCGGCAGATATATTCCTTTTCGACCTGCCTGTTGCGAATTTGCTGCTCCATTTGTCGCGCTTTTTTGGGACTGCGTCCAAATAACAAAAGTCCCGAAGTCAACCGATCCAGTCGGTGAATAGTCCTTAGATTCTTGAGATTAAACTCCTTAGCCAGAATGAAGACTACAGTATTGTGTCTATAACGTCCACAGGGATGAACCTGTAAAAGTGTTGGTAGAATTAAATATGAAGAAACGTGAGTTTAAGTTAGTTTTTAATTGGACGTATACAGATGTTCAGGAAGTAGATTTTTGACAGTGATAATATTAATAAACAGATTGAAGTAAAAGTATTCAACTATTTCTGTATAGAATGTGTAACATGGCGGTCATTTAAGCCACTTACAGGAATCGATGCTGGCTTATTTACAACTACAATGTCCTCATCCATATGCACAATTTTAATTGGTTGACAAGTCACGGGAACTTCGTGTCTGTAAAGATAGCCATGAAACTCGGGTTAGTTTGATATTTCATCTCCGTCGGTTGTTTCATTAGAGATCGGGGAGCTTATAAACCTGCTAACCTTTTTTTTTTGACTGGGTAAAGCCAAACCCTAACCAGTAATTGTAATAATGAAATTGCAAAAAGTTTATTTGTTTCTATATTTAAATAGAAGATGATTCAGCAGAGAAAAGCAGTCATGGTTCTCTTATTATGATATTTAATGTTTACTTTTTAATCTGTAATGATGTTAGCTTTGTTTTAATAGTTGAGCTTTATTTTTAAAAATAAAAAAATTGGAAAACTTATCTGTGTAAATTTATATATCATCAATGCAGATATTTTATGGATTATTTTCTATGCATTGTCTTTGGTTATTGATGGTATTGGTACAATGCAATTACAAAGTAAATTTTTGTTGGCAGTAAGGCCACAATATATTTTGTCTTGCGATGCACTGGCATGCTGCGAGCGTTATTTGTTTTTCATGGGTGGAAAACACATTTATAATAAGCAAAATATGAACAAATTGCACGGAACACAATTGCAGTCATTCGAATCATTTTGTGTGCTTTTTACAGGGCCATTAGCATATAGTTTTAATTACCTGTGAACTATATTAGCCAGCAGATCGTTATGTTTTAGCCGGTAGTCAATGGGCACTTTCTCGAAGTTTACTGTCAACGTGCCTGTCTGAATGCAACGCTCGTATTCCTCGGCAGGATGTGCCCGGAATTCCCGCGAAAATATATCCAATATCTTCTCGCCCACCCAACGGCCCTTCGTGAATGTTGTGAATGTGAAGTAGTATGGGTACACCTTGCGAAGACCTAATCATAAAATAGTTCTTAACCACGTTTCTAATTCGTTTTCTCTGTGAATATTACCATTTTCCATGTAGTAGGACGTTTCCTGGTATCTTTCATCCGTGAATCCCGGCCGCTTTGCCTTTAAAGCTTTGGTTTCTAGCTTTGCCTTAAAGAAAATTATAATATGTATTTAAAAGTTTATCAATAAGAATATCTTCTTTGGAGAAAAATTTAACTTTTTGCAAAATAATATTTTAAAAGGAAAATCATTGTTTAGAAATATAGCGTAATTCTTAAAAGAAAAATGCTTGAGGTTTGTAAAGTTTTTAACGTTTTAAGATTTTAATACAAACACTATATTACTTGAATATTATACAACCTTCTTTATTACTGTAGGGTATTATTTTTTTTGGTTTTATAAAAACCAATCCAAATATTATTCCTAGTATTATGACAAACTTATAAAAAAAATAGAAAATAATAATGTTACTTTCACTTACTTTTTTGAGTTCCTTTATTTGATCATTATCATCAGTTTTCCGCTTTTCGGGTATCTTAATTTTAAGATTATCGGAGTCCCTTGGAGAAGTAGTCTGTCGAATAAAACCAGAAATAAAACCAAAATTTATTATATTCAATTTAAATACCTTAAGTAAAGGTAAAAAACAATAAACATTAACTGGCTAAGTAGCTCGTAGAAAAGTGAAAGAAAATCTCAATACTTAATCTGATTAACCGCAATTTGTACCAAAATCTATTTACACATTCCCCTCTTTTTTTCAGGTATTATTTTGTTTATTCTTCCTCCATTAATCTTGGGCATTCCCACTCCATTTGGGTCAAAATAAGATGCTCTTGGCGGCCAAGCCATCTAGACTTGTGTTACATTGTGTTTTAAGTTACGTAAGTTCACAGAGATACCTAAATATTGTTCTAGGAACACACATATATTTATAAACAGTTCGGGATGGGAATATGTACTTGGCTTCGACGCTTATATGTCTGGTGCCTTCACAGAGCTACTATTGGCTGACGTTTGTCTCTTCTGCGCGGTACTCGAAGGTGAAAGAGCATATTGAATTATTTCGGATTGGGGAGCATAGCCGACCTTCGTATATAATTAGTTCCTCAACAACATACAATTTGGATATCAAGCAAATAACGAGCTCATTAATCTTTCAGCTTGGTCTCAATTAAATTTTAGTATCTGTGGCTAAGAATTTGATGATTAAAATAAACCAGAGTGAATAATATTCGATAGGACAAACTGAAAGCAATGTTTATCTTTAGGAGAAATATCTACATATTTGCCCTTTAAAATGTTAAAGAACATTTTATATTAATATAGTATAATTTAAAATACCGCTGAGTTCTTGTAAACATGCTTTAGAATCTTATGAAAATATAATTTGAGATTACTTGAAGTACTCCAAAGAACTAATGTTTTTCTGGGGATCAATAAAAATCTAATTAAAAACACCCTAGTTATTTGTACTGATTTTTTGAAATTCCAATTGAATTTAAATGGTTCTCAAGTACCCGGTATCCCCTAGTCGTGTTACTCCATTATGGCGTTCCTTGCTTGTTGCTTTCGTTGGCAGTGCGCCCAACGGGTGATGGAAACATGTTGCATGCCCAAAAAGTCGCGCGGGAGAGCCACGGACCACGGGAGATAATATCATAAGATCTCATCCGTCCGGCATTTCTTCGATTCTCGGCCAAATACCCCCTGTTACAATGGGTCTAAAGCGCGTGGATACACATATGCATGACCATGTACATATTTTCAAAACAAAAAAAACTAAACAAAAACAGTCCCAACCTAGAACAATGCACAGAAGATACACTCGAAATATATGAATACGTTTTAAATTTAGATCGTTATGAACAGCCGAATATATACTAGCGCTGCTCTGTACTAACCCAAAATCCACCTCAAACCATCGTGAAAACTAACTGCATGTATTTTTGGTTTTGTTTATGATACCCAATATACGGTGGTTTATTTTGAAATTTTTTGGAATCATCACACGTCAAAAGGTTGATCTCGACCAGATTGATTTTCAGTGCACCAGAAAATAAAAAACCATCAGTTTCATATCGTATTTCTAATTTATTAACGGAAGTAATTTGTATATTCTAAACAATCAGAAACTATTTCTTCAATTTGTTATTATTAGAAGAGATTACGAACTGATTTCTTGTACGTCATCTCAATGCAGTTTGTCTTGGATTCCGGTTTAGATAAAGTATTTAACTTACGACTCAGATCCGCAAAATCCAGTCTTAATGGTTCGCTCGCGCCATGTAATTGCTACTTTTAATTCAACGGATGGAAAAAATCAACTTTAGGTGAGACTAGCAGATAGTTGTTTATTTTTGTTTTATTTCTGCAGCAAACACCTGCTAGCAACGAGTTTGAGTTTAAACAAGGCAACCAAAGTGATACATAAACACGCCAGCAGTAAATATTTGTTAAGACTACATTAGTGCATGTCCTCCACTAAAAATAAATCTGTTGTGATTGACATGAAATTTAAAACACATCAACTAATGAGAATTACATTCTGGGTGTCAACGTTTAAAGTCGACATACTATATTCCCCATTTTGTTTTTCAGATTAGCAGAGAAACCCACAAAATTCCGAGTCCCAAAAATTAGTTCCGTCAGATTTTATCGGGCAGAAAAAAATGGCGTTCGTATTGCCCAATTACCGGTGATGATTTCCATTGAACACAAATGAATGAAGACCTCCTACACGCTTTTTACGTCTACTCATCCATGAGAGCTGAGTATAAACGAAGATGATCAATTAATTGAATCATTCAACAGCGGCGACCTGTTGCCAGCGGTCTTGGCGTCCGGCGGCCCCATCCAATCGTATTTTAATGTATTAAAAGTTCTATATATACACGGAGGTAGACATCTGCATATATTCATAAGCATATATCTGTATGTGCATAATGCATATCCAATTATACCCGATCGTACGGGGCACCGAGTATATTGGTTTTCCCGAAACGAAAATCGCTTCTCTAAAATTTGATTCGTTTTTTAGAAATCGGTTAAGAAATGCTTGCGAAAACCGCAGATTCCGGTGAAGATTGGCTGTTTTTCCAAGGTGACTCCGAGGTATTTCCTTTGTCGGGAAATTTATGCGAAATAGTTTTTTGTTTCATTTTTTTTATATAATTTCGAAGCGAATGCCAGGCGATGCCGGGTGCTAGAAAATAGTGTCTCGTTCCGTGGCACCCGGAAAATATTTATGAGCCGCCCACCACAAGGCTGTTCATGGAGAAGCTGCCAGGGGCGAAGTACAAATCGCGGTCGGCACGCTTTTATCGCCTGCACACTAAAATGTTGCGCAAGGTGCGGAAAAGCAGAAAAGCGGCGAATGTCAGCCGGTCTGGAAAACTACACGTGACCACTGCCCACGGCTTTATTAATTATCAATTTTCAAGAGCGCTCTCTAGATGGCTAGTTTCGCCCATTGTTTTGTATCGCTGCTCTGCATTGGTAGCCTTTGTTTATAATACATTTTCATTGGGGTTTTACGCAATTGGTTTTTTGATTTATGTAAAAAATACAAGCATACGTATTTTTTGTAAGCTCTTTTTTACATCATTTATTGAAGAATGAGTTTTAACACAAACTTTTTGGGAAATAAACAATTAAATTTTTTAATAAAATAAATATTTTACTGATATATAAACAACTCATTGGCAGGGAAGGGTATCAGCCAGTCTTCACGTGAACACTGTTTACGGGAATCCTTATATATAATTAATTTTCAGTGGGGTATTACGTTATTAGATTCCTCATGTATATAGTATGGTTGGTTTTTCTAAAACATTTTTTTTTAATTTAAAACCTACGTCACTAATAAAAAAATGTTTGTTTTAGAAGTAGATTTTTCTTTAAAAGTGATACGTATACATGATTTGATTGATACAAAAGAATATCAGCCAGTCAGAACGTGATCAGTACCTATTGCTCTACTAATTATCTACTTTTAAGGGCACTCTGAAATAGATTTTTAGGTTTGACTATTAAGAAGAATCCCTATTTAATGGATCAAAAATGTTCATGCTTCCATGAGTTTCCTAATCTTACTTGAGATAAATTCTTCTACTATCGAAGAATTGTGACGATGTAAGTGTGTACTTTTGCTCGCAATTAAAATATCTAAGCCATTTGTATCGGCGGCTTCAACTGTATACACTTAAGCCAGTTTTTGATTGAGAAAACTAGATTGTAGTAAGTAGGTTCATTCCAAATACGGCAAGCGGTTGACAAATGCATTTAACCGGACAAGTGGAAGATTTTAGACGAGACTAGGTTGCAGGAATGGTCCAGTGACATTCTACTCAAGTTTTCCCATAACGGTGCCTTCTGCCTACTTAGCCATAAGTGATGCGATTTTCCAGTTCCTTGCAGTTGTGAAAAGATTTCCACAGAACCAAGATCACAAGCTGAAATTCTATACGTCTTGCATCCGCATCAGGGGCTAACTTACAGTATTTTAGGGGGTAATTAGCTAGGTCTTTAGTTGAATTATAACAATATTTTATAAGAACATTATGATACCCAAATAAATATAATTTGTAACTCATATACATATGACTCATGTGCTAGAATTTACAAGATCAACAAGGATTGCATATTTTGTGTTCAATTGAAATTTTAATGTTATTTATAAATATTCAGATCCGATTATGAATAGAAATTTCTAAGGCAATATTATTTTGTTGATATTTTCCTTAGTAATTGGGGAATGTCACCTTTTTAGCCGGGATTAAAATATTAATGCCATTTAGATCTGCTTACAGCCAAATGAAGGATTGGAAACGTTAAGATCTTAGAAGATTAAAGATGTCTTTAGGCGGATCTTAGTCGGATTAATCCGACAGCTTTTAGCTAAAGTAATGGGAATGCAGATCGTGTACCTCATAAGTGTACAAAATCAGCGAGGTAGCTATATCAAATGATTCGGTGTCATTTTAACCCCTTGAACCCCCTGGGACTCAACTGCTTATAAACGTGAGTAGATGCAACTTAGTTGATTTTCATGGTCACAAGCTTGCAAGTGTAAAGTTATAGACGTTGCCATGTGTGAATTACCCATGTGCATTAAACAATGGAAAACATCTCGGAGTAGGCAGCTTGTAGCATGTTTGGAGTAGTAAGGCTACGACTAAAACCTTGACCAACTCGGCCAAGTCGGCTGCCCGCTCACCGTCTGGCTTATGAAATCATCATCGGGTTTCAAAAGATAGCCACTGCGGCAATGCAAACGGCGGCTAAGTAGTTTATAATAAAGCAGCTTTAGCGATGCGGAAAATCTGAAAGCCAAAGCTTTATTTTCATGTCGAAAAATGTAACTACCACCCCAAATTAAAAAACCTACCGATTGAGAAGATTTTATTGTAAAATAATGCACACCGCTAAGCAAGTGTTAAGTAAACCACTCGACAAGAAACTTTCAAATGTGAAATAATTTGTTATTAATTTTGACATCACCGTCGGCATAAATTGAGCAACACCTTGTTGTGGAGTAACATCAAACACTTGAAGACCAATTAGTGGTTGTTGGTTTTTTATTTGTTGGCTGGCGGTATTACATATAATGGCTAATTAAAGAATTGAAATCGATTGTACTTTTGGTATTAATTGCAAAACCGTAAACCACTAGGTACTTTGTATTTAAATTAAATAATTGAAAGACATTATTGCTCCACCCAATGATTAAGGTTTTCTATTAAATAATAACTATAAATTAAACACAAAATAATGATTTTAACCAGAAAAGAAAGAAAAGGTGAATTCGAATTCCTATTGGCATTTCCTTAGGTAAAAAAATTTAATCATATAAGTTCATTACACTTTTAAAATTCTTCAGTTATAATAAAAAATGGATCCTACAATGGAATGCCAAATAAGTATCAATGATCGCGTGCTTACCACGCTTTCGAAATTTAAATATTTGTTTTTGATAATTATAGTACTGCAGCTATTTTAATCACGTAATAACAATCATTTGCTTAAACCAGAATTAATGTCTGGATAAAGGGGAGACTTCCTTTTCTTTCTTTGTGTGATTAAATACCGTTTTATGAACCCAACAAAATAATTGTGTTCCAGAATGATTTGGTAGATGAGAAAATAATGACCTACATTTACACCTAAATTTCTTCGAACATACGAGAATTAGAAACACAGCTTTAACGACTTACTATATATAGTGTGTTATATTGTAAAAATTCTACAAATTGCTATATAAAACAAGTAAAAAGTTTAAGTTTAAGAAACAAATTGTTTTTCTGATAAACTGTGTTACAATATTTGCCCCCTTTCCAATTAAGAGAGAGTTAAGAAAGTGAAGTTATGAAAAACTGAGTCGCAATAAAATCATCTTAAGCTTCAGAAAAATGTTTCAGACCTTTCTAAATATCATATCAAACTATTTCCTCTCAATTTTTTTTCAGGTAATCACAATACTTATGGCACCACTTGAGATTATAGTTTAACTTGTAGTTTCACAATAGTAGTTTCTTCCCAGTGTATCTGTAGACGACAACTAAGTGCTAGCCTCGGTTCAAGTGCAAATACTTAGTTCTATCATTACGAGTACTGGGCAAACTGCAGCTCACCTTTTTATTGATCGGCACCTCGGCAGTTGGCAAGACCTGGATGGTTGGAAGCGCGGATCCGGGATTCCTCAGCCCGACGACGCCACTCAGGTTGAGATTGATGGACGACAGGTGGTTCAGTTCCTGGTGGGGCAGGCAGTTCAGTGGCTGGACCATGGATGGAGTGGCTCTGGGGTTCATCGGCACGGGCATTTGCACGGGCACCTGGGCGGGAGTTGGCTGGCTGCCCAGATGGCCAGGTGCTCCTCCAGGTCCACCGGCTCCCGTGGCCGCCATCAGGGATTGCTGGGCTGCCGAGGCTGTCAAGGGAACTCCTCCAAACGGCGAGTGTGATCCTCCGGCCGCGGGTGCATAGTAAGCTCCCAGTGGCAGGGATGAAAACATCGCGGAGTGCATCAGATGGGATTGGGAGGCCAGTGCGTTCTGGTTTAGCTGGCCGGCATTGAGGAGCTGCGGAGCCAGGTGATTATACGGCGACGCCATGTGGAAGTGGGCACCCGGAGCGGCACTCGGATGCAAAGTGGGTTGCTGGTAATTCGCCGGCGGAGCTGCCGCCGTATTTGGCGACAGTTGCTGTTGCATTTGCGGCTGTCCGGCGAAGATCCCGCCCACCGATGGGGCACCCATCTTGTCCAGAAACGGCGACTGCATCTGGAGCATCTTCTGCTGGTGCTGCTGGGCCGCCAAGGACCATGGTAAATACCAGGCACACGGCGCCGGTGAGTTCTGCATTCTGTTTGGGGGGCTCTCCTTTTACTTTTTCACTTTCTAAGACGAAACTGCAGATTGGTTTTCCGGGAAATTACATAAAAGAAATTACGATTACACACAGATTTCATTCCCGACTTCAACGATTATTTGTTTACTTTCATTGCGCAGTATATTTTTAAAGCTTTTAAAGTCAATTACAAATCTATGTGTTCGTGTTTACAAATTGTCTTAGCTATAGATTTCAGCCTCGACTGTTTTATTTGAAAATCCAAACCGATTTTAAGGTTGTATAATGCGAATTAAAAATCTAAACAAAGCGATTATTTATTTTTTTTAGTGTCCATGCACACCTATACCTTGGGGCTTGATATTAGCTCCGGCACATGCGTTAATTTGTGGTTTCTATTAGCAGATTGCCGTTAACGAATTCTCCATCGCACACGAAAAAAGTCGGAGCAATATGTTGATTGGTTTTCTAATGCATTAACTCTATCTATAGGCCGCAATACATCTTTAAGTACAATATTTGTATTATCTTAGGGGGTAAATTATCTCTAGATAAGAGCCATTTTCCATTAAGAGTCCATCAGTTGGATGCCAAAATCTGTGGTAACCCAGTGATTTCTGGAACATTGAAAACACATTTAGACTACATGCTGGGGCCATCTGCTCTCCGCGACTCTAATTGCACGAGACAAAGTTATGTGGGTCTAATATATCCTCTAAAATACGTATAAACCTATATTCAGACGTGTGTACATGCGTACGTCAGACTTTTTTTCTGCCAAGAAGAAACGCGTATGCGTGTCTATATACGAGTATCGGGCTAGAAGAATGTGTAATGGAATAATACGTATACGACACAACGCATTAGGATATCGGCTGGCGATATAACATTTTAGAAGGCATCAGAATAAGGTATACTATATACACCCAGACTGGCCAAATGTGCTCTACCACCTACTGAGACAAATGGCACAAATGGGCACGTGTAAACATTTTTATTTACGCTAGGGGCTTGTGCTAAAATAAGTTCTGTATATTACTGGGTCTGCTCGGTTTTTCGAAAAAAAAAAAAAAATATACCAGAAATTTTTTTTTAAATTTTCACTTCAGTTCCTAAATACGTAAGAATGTACATAAATACACAGATATAGCCACACTCATTTTTGTCATCACTCGTCTTTTGTCTTAGTTCCATTTTATCAACCACAATTGTGTATCTTTCGAGTGGTTTTAGTACACTTCCCCGAACGAAATTCTTGCATAACTATATTATGTAGACAATGGGTGAATATAATTTTTTTTTTTAAATAAAATGGACATATATACACGCGTCGGAACGTTCATGTGTAAGTCCCCAGATCTCAAAATCAGCGGGATGACAATAGATCATGGGCTTAAAAGCAAGAACAACATTTAGTGAGAGCTACCTTCTATATTTATATGAAAATATATATGCCAACTTGTGCGCCAGCAGAAGGTGTCGGTCGGGCCAAAGTAAATTCAATTTTGTACTGTTGGTAAAAAAAAATATTAAAGCGACTCAACAAATTTTCATGGACCAAAACACAATATTATTATTAATGGACCGTTTTGTGCGTCGATGGAGAATATTATTATTAGTTCTGGTATTCCAAAGACTAAGCGCATAATTCTCTGTCTGTGTAGAGATCAATGTTTTCGAAAGAGCCAATTAGTTAACATATTTTAAACTGCCTAAACGATAATGTCATGGGGAAATTGTATAATTCCAGCCGCAATATTCTTTCGATGAAACATTATTAAATTGAATAGCGCGTTTATGACAAATTAGCGTTCCGATTATGTGAATGTTTAGTCATCTGCACATTTTAGACTATAAAATGTCGGCGCCTTTGATCGTTCCACAACACACTGTCTGATACAAAAATAATATTGTTTCATTTTTGAAATTTTTAGTTAACTTTGTGTTTAGGTACGCATATATTGGTTTTTGGAAAATATTCACTATCACATAGACTTGTTATGCTTTTTTTTTATTGTTTTCGATATTTTCATTACAGTTTTTCGAAGGCAATTTCGTTGTTCTTTGATGTGGAAGCACTAATTAAAAGCTTAGGGGAATCACACGCGAATGTGTTCGCAAATGTTTACCGTGCACGTTTTAATACCTTTCCGACGATGGCATTCACGCGGCAGCATCTAAACTGGCCAAATCCAAAAAACCGAATGAAAACTTGACGCCAACGAAAACAAACCTAAGTTGCCGTTCGCAGCTGTGGTGAATTTCTCTACCGCACAGTGGTCCTGAACATTGAATTTTCCATAAACCACATTTGGCATTTTTCAGAGTTAAGAAAATTAAATTCGTTTTGCAGAAAAGTTTATTAAAACAGTTGTTTTTTTTTACTTTTCTACAATATTCAATAAGAATTTTTAAATGGAACGAAAGAACTAACTAGGTACCAAATCTAAAGCTACTGCGTAAAGCAGTTAATAACATATGTATATATAATAAAAGTCTTAAAATGACAAATATTAAACAATAGTTTTCTCTAAATTATTATTATCTTTTTTTTTAATTTAAAAAACAAAACAAGAATTAAATACGTAATTTGGCTTCTAGAGAAAAGAAAATAAGGAAATAAAATTTTTTCCTGGTGCAGTTATAGTAAAATGCTGTTCATTATAACCTAATGAAAGGTACTTAATTCTGTCATTATTATTAACAAATTAGTTTTTTTATATCTTGTTTTTGAAACGTTTTAAAACCAAAAACTCACCACTCATACGCAACATGATTGCATCGAACCAGGACTCAACGTATTGAGTTGTTTTAATCTGAAAAACTGAGGTAAAACGCACGAATGCATTCCGAGATGTTTGAACTAGCTTTTCTTTCTGATATAAGTAACATGTTTGTATTGCAACAACGCATTACCAATTCCCAAGATAATTCTATGATTCATTATTAGAATCAAGCACAACTTTAAAAAAATTGTCGAGGCATAAACAATGTTTAAAATTTTGTTTTATAATGTAGTTCGATTGAGATTTTCGAAAAGGATACTGATTTGGTAATTGTTAATTGAATTGCGTAGGTCGCGCTTGAATTGGGATATCAATATACTGATGTGCATGCAAAACCACAGGGACCATTTGACACATTTTCTGCTAACAAATGGGAAACACACCCACATTTACTGACATAAAACCGACTAAATTACTGGTGGTTTAAATCAAGCTTTCAGTCTTGCAATCACAATCTTTTAATATCCGTTGTACCTCTTTAACTACAAACACAAAAGCATTCATGAAATACATTCCAACATGTAGGTTTGGAAAACAATAAGTTCGCCTTTTCTGATTGACACCTTTAAAGAGAATAAAAAAACATTGACATTTGTCATACGGATACAGGCTTCCAACTTGAGACAAAAAGATAAGTGTTTCGATTCACCAAAAAGAGAAATTAGTAATATTATATTAAAGAGGGCTATTTATATGTATGTATAACTTTCAGGCTATAAACAACAATAACCATGCAATATAAAAGCAAAGATGTTTTCAGTTTGTATTGAACAATGTTGGAACAATGGAAACTAACTTTCTTAATTCGTCATTAAACGGTTATAAATAAATTCTAGCTTGAAAAGTATACCCCGAAAGTTTTTCATGCATGTCCTGCAAGTTTTTTATTCCTAAAGAAGATGTCTTATAAAACTTTAGATTTTGTGAATCACTAGTAAGTGACTTTAGAGGAATAGGAAACAGAATGAATTACAATTACAAAAGGGTCTTAATTGTTCAAAGCAAAGAAGTAGGCAATGACTTAACGCCCAAGGAAACGAGGGAAATTGTTTGTCCATCTTTCAGTTCGAAAAGGTTTATTTACTTATTGTCCGATCCTTCCGAAAAGTCACAGGGTCGTAAACTTTCTCGCAACCGCCAAGATAACTGTAAACCATGATAGTGACATTAATTTTTGTAATTTTACCAATTAGCGCAGGCCGCAGCTTTTTGCGTTTTTAGTGCTAAAACTGAAAGCATTATGTTGATAAAATTTGGGCTGAGGCTCCTGGAATTGCGTGTTTGACTGCGTGACTTTTTTTTTAGTAGCTCACCCACTTTCACACGAGCCATCCAGACGGAATATGGAGGTCTCCTTGAAAAGCGGTTGGTCACGAAAGCAGCAGCGAACAACAAAGAAAAGGCTTGCCCGTCATTTAAGGCAACATTTAATGGCCACTGGCTATAAGGCTATAGAGCTATAGAGCTATAAGGCCATGAGGCTCATCCTGAATAAACAGGGGATGGTGGGTGCGTGTGTATGGGAGCTGAAGTTGACGTTCGTTTGTGAAAACGAAGAAAGTGATTAAATCAGCACGATATTTTGTAGGTGTGCGCGAGCTCACCCATTAAATTTCTCCTCATGCACTGGTGTTTGTGCCAGGACCCGTACGTGTGTCGTCTGTGTGCACCACCCACACACACCTGCACATTGAGCTACTGTTCTAAATTGACTTTTCGCCTGGACAAAACTAAAAATGACGACATCGCGTTTTTTTTCGTGTTTTTCGTAGAAAAGCTTTGCCTCTAAACATGCCCATCAACCGCGTGTTTATAAACAACACAGATCTTTTACCTACATACATATATATTGTGTGGTATAGTATATTTAGAAAGGTGTGCTGGGCCTCATATTACACTCCCACATGCATGTTCGCACATATGTATGCAGTTACCGAATATATGAACACGTTAATGTAATTAAACCTTAAGGCCGGCCAAAGGCTGGATAAAAACTGGCCCGGGTCATATATTAGTTGCGATATGGCTAAGGAGTTATAAATTAGCCTGGTTATAACTGTAGCTTATCGGGATTTTTTCAATCCGACCTTCTTTTTGATGTCTCAGGCTTTACAGTTGACGATCCCAATTTCAGTTTACTGCGAATAAATGGTTTACAAAAATTATGTACTCCGTGTCCACACATACTGTTTTCAATCCCCGAAATTATGAAAATTCTTTTTATTACTTAAAATGTGATTATTTAATATACAGACTTAGGTTATTAAGAAACCGTTAAACTCCTTTTGTGGTTTTTCAAATTCATTTAAAACTACTATATCACTTGATGCTTATTTTATTGTTTTTATCTTTAATTCTCCTGCAAACTCTTGTTTTTATTAGCTTTATAATAAACACAGAGATCCCCAACTATAATTCGTTCCCTCCATAAATCAGGTTGAATCTCAATTAAATTTTGAAGGGAAAACCCCAAGAATAAATATAAGTTCATTACGAGTACCCCAAGGTAACTCAAAAATCGGTTCCACCGCTCACGAGTCACTGGTTCACGTGTTTATCGATAGGCAATGTTTTGGTTTTGTTTGTTTTCGGCAAAAGAATTATATTTTCATGCGGATTTTACGACAATTTAAAAGCGTTCTACGTTTGGCAAGTTGTGCATTTAATAAGTTAATAGATTACTAAGCACGTGCTATCGAAATAATAATTCATAAAAGAGTGAATTCGGTTTTGGTGCTATAGTGGGTGCACGTGTTGATTTACTTGTTGTTGTTACCTTTTTAGCGGTGCGCGGACTTACTTAAACGACAGCCTCGTAATAACAACAAACAATTCTCGTGGTTGTCGAAAATGCAAAGCCCCAAAAGCTTAAGAAATGTTCAAACTCAGCATGGAGATTCCTTTTCGGTGGATGCTGAGAATATATTTCTGCACCGATCCATGTTGTCCACAAGCTCGATCTTAGGGGTCGATATCAATGGACAAGATCAGGCTTCCAAAAGTGTTTGGTTTCCAGATGATACCACAGAATTAACTGAATCAACAGAGAACATAGATCCACCGGTAAGAAGTGGTTAATAAACAATTTAAATAACTATAAATAAAATAAAAATAAATTTACATTATATATAATATATAATAATAAAATAAAAATATATTGTAGTGATTTATAGAGATGTTTATTCCGAAAAAGATATACACTTTTTAAAAATTTTTACTAATAACTAATACGTATATTATACATACTTATAAAAAAATATAGTTTAATATTTATTTTAAGTTCAAAATAATATTTGTGGTTTAGTGCACACTCGAAATAATTAAATGGAACTTACATATGTACATATTTATTTTGCTCTGGTTTTCCCTCCATTACTTATTCCCATTTATTTACCCGTTTTATAGCGCTCAGTCAGCAAGAAAATCGCGCCAGCCACCAACTCTCTAAACTCTAGCATTTGACCGATTCGCAGCTAGTAAAAGGGCATATTTATCTTGGGGGAATCGAATGCCCAAAACAATTTAGACGGGTCTGTTCGCAAATGTGTGGATTCCAGTCTTTACTTATGCAGTATTATTGGTGTCGGGGGAAATTTCAATGCAGCAGCTCCAATCGCACACTTAAAACTTAATTAAAAAGCTAATCAGGGAGTTGCAAATGCAATTTGCTGCATTAATTTAAACTATTAATTAAAGATGAATTAGGGGTCAAATTTTGTCGCTGTGGAAACAGTTGAAAGCGTTTCGTGTTTAAGAGTAATGAGATTTCCTGGTTTCATTAGTTTAAAGGCTGTTTTACAATTAAAAAAAAGGTATTATATTCTTTGAAACCTACCCAAATATTTTGAAAACCAAATACATATGTAATCTTGTTTTATAATTTTCCCCGTAGGCGTTTAACATGAATCTATGAAAAACATGTTCGTTTTTTGTGAAAAGCTTGTCAAACATGTTCGCCCCCAACAAGTTAGTTTATCAAACAAGATGCCTAAAGTGGTGGGTTTGCCAGTACCCTAAGAAATATTAAACAATTTCTCAGGACTTCAATTAAATTCAAATAAAGACAAATACAATGAATTAAGTTACCCGAACTTTCAATTTAAAGTTGCAACAGTTCCAACAAATTCGCGTGCAAAAATAGGTTTATTTGCGTTTTATTCTATTATCTTAAAGTTTCGAAAGTCATAAAAATGGACGTAAACATGTGGTGGTGGACGAAAAAACAAGCAAAACCACCTGGAGATTTAAACTTCTTTTACGAGACTTTGAGTCACAAATGCCCCAATAAACGAGACTGCAGTGGCTGCAGAGTCAACGTTCTGCCTGCATAGAAATTTAAAGCCACCCTAAGGCGTCAGTACATTCTTAAAAATTTTGGGCTCTGCTAAGATGTGCAACAAAAACCAGATTTTAGACAAAACCCTTAATGGCCCACAAAAACCGAGCGAGCGTACAAGTTTCGGGCTCGGGCTTTTTGTTTGTTGGTTTTATACCTCAACGTACGTGACAGTGGCAAATGGCCTTAAATATACCGGCGATTATTTATGCTCGGACGTAGGTACGTTTTTATTTCACTCACTAATTAAACAATCAATAAACTAAACACCATGGGGTCCGTCCATGAATCCATGTTATTCAGATTTACTTAGTGTACACAGAAGCATTAGAAGGGTGGTTGGGCTACAGTTCTGTGCTCACGCAAGGAGTTAAGTTATGTGTGGGACCAACTGGACGGACTCGTTTCGCCTACCTTAGTATATATTTTACCACGGATTTGTCATAATTAGTTCTCTCTCGACGACACGGCCTTTTTTGGGGGGCCTCGGCGGGCCTCTAGTTTCTAGTGTCCCGCCATCATCATCGCAGTGGTTTCCTAACGAGCTACTTTTGTCAAGTTGGTTTGTAGCCACATAGACGGTCGTGATGTTTCCGCAATTATTAGTGTCAGTGCCTTCTGCTTTCAGGCGGGGGTATCCTAAGTGTGGTCCTCATTGTTTCCGCGATGCGCCTTTTGGGCCAGTCGTTTTTATAATTCTTACAATACCACGTAAACACACATTACAAAAAAAAAAAAAAAACTAAAAAAACCTGGTGTGGTAAAAGGATACTAGATACAGTAAAAGGAAAATCCCTGTAAGACTTGGTCTAGTGCAGTCCTTTTTTCCATTCGGCTGACTGGCTTGTGCCATTAAACTGAAGAATTAAAAAGAAAGTCGAGTTGTTTTTAGGCAAAAGCATTGTGGCTGAGGAACGCGTTCCTTGGTTCTTATATTAAAGTTTTTTCCACAATGTTATTTTTTACTAACCATTTAATTTCCTATATCTATTACCGAATAATTAATTGCTCAATGATGGTAACAAATAAATATTACGTGAATTTAAGCTATAAAATAATTGACCCCTTCGAAGCTCTTGATTAAGATGAAGCTCTCAATCAAGAAATTACAGGAACAACTTCAGCACAATTCGTTGCGTAAGAAATTATTGTTTTTGTTAAATCGGTTTATTTGAAACTATATATAAATAACAGTTTTTGATTAATCCTTATTTAAATAATTGATTTAAAAATCCATTTGAAATACAGCTTCCTTAAAATGTTACTACCTTTATATTTTATTTTAAAATTTGTCGATGTTGCGACCAGACTAAAACCTATTTGCTGGCAGACCAGTAAATATCAGAATACTGCTGGTTCGAAGCCAATTTTGCAGTTTTTCGTTACTCTTTTCTTTTGAAACAAGGAAAAATACACAGACTGTGTGAAAATTATGCTAAGGCAGCAGAAAGAAAAGAAGAAATTGTTTGCACACAAACACCGGAAACAAGGCTCATATGTGTTGCAAGCTGATAAGAGTTTTGTCTATGTGATGGCTCAAGCACTTAATGCGCTTTCATATTTTTGCATCTTGAAGTGATAGCCCTAGGAACTTCACACCGTCATATTAAATATAAAAAAGTGTATTTTTAATGAATATCATATTAACCAAAACGAAAAGTAAATGGAAATAGATTGTATTTTTAGCTTTGTCAATAAACGTACATTTTATTTAACGATTGCTTATGTATTTCACAGATTTTAATATCAGAAGAAAAACCGGAAGTAGCAAAATTACCAGAAAAACGAAAGGCAAACTCCTTAGAGGATGATCCCAATGCGAAAAAACCAAAATTAGATGCCAATGGCCAAAAAACCAAGAGGCCCGGTTTTAGTGATGAAAGATACGATGAGACATCGTATTACTTTGAAAACGGTAGGTAAACTTTATTAGTAAAAAACAATATTAATTAATACATTTTTTTATTTTTTCTAGGACTTAGAAAGGTGTATCCCTACTTTTTTACATTTACAACATTTGCCAAAGGACGTTGGGTTGACGAGAAAATTCTGGATGTCTTTGTGCGTGAATTCCGCGCCGCTCCTCCCGAAGTTTACGAACGCAGCCTGGAAGATGGAAAACTGACTGTTAATTACGAGAAAGTACCCAAGGACTATAAAATTAAGCACAATGATCTGCTGGCCAATGTTGTTCATAGGTACGTATTTGTAGGAAACTTTAATTTTAATATCCACACATTTGCATTATAGACACGAAGTCCCTGTTACTTCACAGCCCATCAAGGTAGTCTACATGGACAAGGATATTGTGGTTGTGAACAAGCCGGCGTCAATACCAGTAGGTAAACAAAAACGTAGTGAAATTTAATTATATTTCGTATGTTTAAGGTTCACCCTTGTGGACGGTATAGACATAATACTGTGGTTTTCATCCTGGCCAAGGAGCACAATTTAAAGAATCTAAGGACCATACACAGGTTGGATCGACTGACATCTGGTCTGCTTTTGTTTGGTCGAACTGCCGAAAGAGCCAGAGAATTGGAGCTGCAAATTCGAACTAGACAAGTACAAAAGGAATATGTATGCCGGGTAGAGGGGCGATTCCCAGAGTAAGTGCAGTTGCAAGATACTATTAATAATTAGTTTTAACTCATTTAGCATTTTTTAGTGGAATAGTTGAGTGCAATGAAAAAATCGACGTTGTCAGCTACAAAATCGGTGTTTGTAAGGTGTCACCAAAAGGCAAGGACTGCAAAACCACATTTCAAAGAATTGGAGAAGTTGATAATGACAGCATTGTTCTATGCAAACCTCTCACAGGACGAATGCACCAAATCAGAGTGCATTTACAATTTTTGGGTGTGTCCGAAAAATTTATTATACTATACAGTTTCCCTACTAAAAACTCGTTTTTATAGGTTATCCAATTTCAAACGATCCCTTGTACAACCACGAAGTCTTTGGTCCTTTGAAAGGCCAAGGAGGAGACATTGGTGGAATAAGCGAAGAACAGTTGATCAATAACCTCATTACTATTCATAATGCCGAAAATTGGTTAGGACTTGAAGGAGAACAGGTGCCGACCACAGAAATAAAAGAAGCACCTTCAATTTCTTCAAAAGATGAAGAACCAATCGATATTAAAGACAAGCCTGTGATTTCTGCAACAAGAAGTGAATCTGTTAATGAAGTAAGTCATATAAAACTCTGCTTAAACAACTTGATTTTTATAATATTAATACTCCATTTGATAGGCCGCAACACAAACTTGTTACGAAGAACCAGACAGGTGTTTTGATTTGAAAAAGACAACTTCAGATCCCAATTGTTCTGAGTGCAAAGTAAACTATAGAGACCCCGGCACAAAAGATCTGATAATGTACCTACATGCTTGGAAATACAAGGTTAGTTAAAATCCTCTTGATAAATGAATTTAAAAATATATTCTCTATTTTCAGGGAGTTGGATGGGAGTACCAAACAGAGCTGCCGGATTGGGCTTGTACATCGACTATTGACTACGACCTTTTGTAAATCAATCAATTTCTTGTTTTAAGGAACTAAGTGTATATGTTTCAATTAAACATTTCTCAGAAAACATTGATTTTTAAGTTACATAACTCATTAAATTGATATCACTGACTTATTTGTCAAAATTAAAAATGTTTGCAATTTTGAGTCTTTTGTTGTGCTTTCCGTTTTTATCTATTCAAAATCCGCACTTGCAAAGCGATGCAGTCTTAAATATTAATCCTAAGTTTCTTAATCTCTACCTGGACCACGAAGATGTCCTTGCAGAATTTTATTTCTCACCATGCAATTCTTGTACCAAAATGAGTTCTCTTTTGGATTATTTGATGGTAGAAATTGATCTTACCTCTCTACTAACCATTGTTTCAATTGATTGCAGAAAATATTCAAAATATTGCCTACAATATCAAATAAAACACTATCCAGAATGGGTTCTCTTTGAAAAGAACGGAGTATTCACTCACTTAAATAATTCAGAAAATCTAATTCAATCCCTTACAAAATACAATATTTCAAAAAACAATATTCCGTTGGCAAGACAAATGCTGAATGATACTTTTAAGGACTCGGAAATCGAGAATGTCTGCGAACCTGGAAAGGTTTTGAAGTTAAATTCAAAGAACTTTTACCCTCTTATAAGGAATGGAACCTTTTTTGTTAAATTGTATTCACCAAACTGTGTATCTTGCGCCGTTTTATTTACAATTTGGAAAGAGCTTGCTGCAGAACTTGCAAATGAAACTAAAGTTTGCATTGCGGAATATGATTGTACAACTGGGATGCAAATTTGCAAGGACCAGCAAACGACTCGAGTTCCCGCGTTGATATGGTTTGAAAATGGACAACAAAGAGAAAAGTACACAGGAAATAAAAACAGAAAAGATTTAAAAAATTATGTGTCTAAAATGACTTTGTCCAAAAATTCTCAGTCTTCTGTTCATCAAAAACGAATAGTACAATTCGTTATTTTAACTCAGATATTTTATTTAATTGAACGAATTTTGATAGTTTTTATCCCAACAAATTATAGTTTTAATTAAAAAATGTATTTAAAAAAACTAGAAATAATCTTAGAATTCGTTTTTTTTTTTTTTTAAATAAGTAACGGTTAGAAGAACCCCTCTTATACTTATCGATTAGTCGATATTTTCTCCGAGCCTCAACAGTTTTAGGGTGACATCTCTACCGGACATCTGGCGCAAAAAAATAGTATAAAAGTTGTCCACAAATAATGATCCATGATTTAATACTGGCTTGCTTAAGCCATGATCTTGAAGGACTTGGTATTAAGGCTTTTGAGGTGAGAACAAATATGGTAGATGATATAACCAAAGCTTTACAAACTGGTTTTCTAGGACACAACAGCAATTGACGAGTTTATACATCCTTGCGAGCGGCACATATTGTTGGATATTTTAAAAATCATCAAGGTTTACCATGAAGTCGTAGAATTTGCGGAGTCCTCGGGATCGTCAAAGTGTAATTCTGGCGAAACGCAAGGTATTATTGGAAATATAACATTGTTTTTTGGAAAAACAATTAACAAATTCTTTAGCGGTAGATCCCTCACCTGGTTACTATATGCTAAACTTATCAAAAGGCATCCAATCTGCCCTTGAGGATTATTATGAGGAGATTTTTCAGCTGGTGTCGTATTGCCAGGACAACGAGCGCAAATCGCTATCATATATACACGATGCCCTGCAAGTCAAGTTACCCGTTCTCTTCTGCCTGAGAACCCTTACCATGGAGATCCAAGTGCGCAAACTGCGGGGATGCTCCATGCTGTATTACCTCCTTCAACGTTCAGAGCACGGTGACATTCAGCTGGAGAAAGTGCTAAAGAAGCAAGTTGTCATTTTACCAAAGTATTTCGTGGTTTCCTGATTTTAATTAATACATTTTTCAGAGTCATGCAGCCTGTAAAGTATGCCTTCTTTGCTGGCCTGGCTCATTGGCTTTTATTCGGAGTTATTGATGATGTGCACTCGGAGTTTTTTATAAAATATACTCCAACCGATTCAGAGGATAGTAAGTCATGCAAATCAGCTAGTAGCTCTTTTGTCGTAAGTGCTCTAAATCACTATTTTTTTATCATATTGTAATCCTATTAATTTCTTTTCCAGGGTGCGGATAAAACCCCAGAGGATTATATTTGGCAGTACGAGATTAACATGGATCAGCTGCCTGGATTTCTGTCCATTATTGTTGCTGAAAAGGTACTATTTGTGGGTCAAACTGTTTTGGTCTTTAAAATGCGGGGAAACGTTAAGACTAAATCCAAAACAGACCCACTTGCAGTTAAGCTGGCTGAAATGTCGCGCGATGATATTTACGAGTTGTGGAGCGGAAGAGAGTCGGAATTCTTCAAAATGGTCGAAGATCTCAACAACGATGATACAATTAATGTCTTCCGCGTCGAAAACGCTATAAACGATATCAAGAAATATGTTAGCATGCGACTGTCGGAATTAGCTGTGAACGAAGTCGACCTAGAACGTCAAATGGGTCTAGTTAAGGACTTCTTTCTGTTGGGGCGTGGGGAGTTCTACTTGGAGTTCTGCAGCCAATTAATTGGAACAATGGAAACATATCGTGAAGAACGTTTCAAGAATATTACTAGATCATTTGAGGTACCATACATATTCTTATTTATTTAGGCATTCATTGTAAAATAACGTTTTGTAATCAATTGCAGCTTGCAGCTACTGTCATGGGAATCACCGATGACTTGGAAAAGTTTTCACTCACTTACCAAAGAATCTCTGGAGAGCCAGAAGAAACTTCCGATTTTCACATTTTGCAAGGTCTTACCCTAAAGTACACATATGAGTGGCCTTTAAATCTGTTGTTTTCTCCGAAAGCCATTGAGCGATACAACAAGATATTTCGGTTTTTACTTATCATTCGAACGTTTCAATACGAAATACAAAGAGTTTGGGCCAAGCAGACCTGGAAGGCAAAAACAGAGCGTATAGCCCTAAATAACAAAATTGTAAATCTTCGAAATCATCTTATGTTCTTTTTGAACAATATGCAGTATTACATTCAAGTGGATGTGCTTGAAAGTATGTTTTTTTGTTTATTATAACTGGTGGTGAGTGGTTTCTCAACTCTTTTTTTTTTACAGGTCAATTTGGAATTCTTTTGAATGTGATTAAAAGCAAAGCTGATTTTGAAGAAATTCAGAGAGCCCATACGATATTTTTGGCTAATGTGCTCTCACAATGTTTTCTGCTTACCGATTCGAAGGAGGGTCAAATGAATATCACTGGATGTCAGCCACAAAACCCGATTTATGGAACCCTTCTTAAACTTTTTGGCATATGTGAAAGGTTTGCACACATTACCCAAGTGGAAAATCCGCCTGACGACTTCATGGCTGAAATCGACAGTCTTAATGAAAGGTAAGTTATAAATCGGAATGGATAAATACAATTTACTTTAATTTAATAAGGCATTAGGTCAATCATTAATTTATTTACGCAGGTTATATAATTATAACAAAACTTTGTTTTTTACAGATTTGGTGTTCAAATTGCGAGCCTTATCAAACTTTTAGTTGATGTAAAAACCACATCGTGCCTGGGTCCACTTTCTCAGCTACTATTGCGATTGGATTTTAACCATTGGTTTAGTGGCAAACAAAACTTGTCTGAAGAAAGTATTTTTCCTTAAAGCTGTAATCGTTTGATATCTTCAATTCGGAAGTCGCTCCTTAAAACACGTTAAATAAAATGTAAAGCAATGTTTTGCATTTAATTATTTTACGTTTTCTCTTACCTTAGGGTCAAAAATGTGCGAACTTCATTAGGTGTTAAGTGCCAAGTTGACATATCTTTATTATTCTCGGGATTCCAGTATTCAGAAAGCTCAGAAATCTTGTCCAGATTCAAAAGAGTGGCGATTTGAGAAATCCGTGTCATCTTGTCTCTCACCGACCACGATGTGGCTCCTGTTAGATAACTGCCCAAGGCACGAACTTCCTGATCGAGAACCAGGCCTCCAAGCTAGAAAATTAAGTTTACTAAGCAATATCCAAAAAATATGTTTAAAAGCGTACTCTGTTGAATGTGATTTTTTTAATAGCCCGCTCCAATTGAATTGTCACTTCTGTTGCCAGAATGCTGACAAGGGCATCGTAGTTTCTTGGGCTCAACGAACTTTTAAAGGAGTTTAGCAAACCATCCAATTGCACTATGAAAAACTGAACAAAAGTCTCCCCAGCTTCGTAGGCAGCAAGTTCTTCCTGTTAAAACAAATTGCAAGTTATTCTCAAACTTTAGTTTTCTCTGCGCTCTTACCTCATTTAAGTTGTGACTGTAGTTTAAGAACTGATTGATCCAGGGGTTAAGACGTGGCTTAATAACACTGGATCTCAGCTGCTGCATTCCGAAGTCAACCGTGGCCTTCAACGCATCGCGCACTGCTTTGAGTTCCGTAAGGCAGCTGTCAAGTAATTGACGTTCCACCGGAGTCGTTTGTGGAAAAGTACCAGAAATTTCCTGCTCCATGGTCTGCCACAGTGTCTCAATATATTCTGTCGATATGTCAGCATTGTTAAGCTGCACCAGGAAATTAGCGCGATTTCGATCGGCATCGCTGGAATGTAGCTTTCCCTGTTGCAACGTCGTTTGAATGGCATTATAAGCCTGAGCCAAGTCAATGTAGCCCGATGGATAGCCGCTTTTAAGGGGAGCTTTAAGTGCAGACACAAAATCACCATCTAGGCAAGCAGCCACGTTGTTGATCACAGCACACGTTCCATTTATAGATTGAGTTGTCAAGGCCCTTCGAATGGATTTGCGAAGGATGAAGAACACGTCGTCCACCATGGACGAACATTGCTGTCCAGCTTCATAGGTATCCAGACCGATGGCTTTAAGAACGCTTTCCTCCATGAAATATCTAAAAATTTAATTGTAGAAATTTATTAACATCGGCAAGTAATAACGCTATTAATGAGCTCACCTCTCCAAAAGCAAATATGTGCTCAGAATTTCTTGCATGTGCCGGCTCAAGTCCGAGTTCTTTATTATTTTTTCGAAGCGTTCCATGATTTCAGTTTGTTCTTTTTCAGGCACACAAGTCTCCACATGAACCTGTAATTCATTTATTAGTTTATGAAATGATATTACTTTTTCTTTCTTACCTGTAAGCGACGTCGCATAAACCGAAAGTACAACTCGACTCTGGCATGCATGACGGTTAGTTCAGCTATAATGGCATCGATTTCCTTCGGGTTCAATTTGTCCACGGATCCGCCAGATGGTTTACGATAATGTCCTAATGACTGAATACTGTTGCTGCTGACATTTCCACCTCCAGCTGATCGCTGGGTGGATTCGTTGACTTGTTTGCTGCGGTACTGAATCTGCCGATTCTTATTGAACTCCATCAACAGGTTCTTCACCTCAGTATCGCATTCGTGTTGCAGAATAGCCACCATGTCAATCAGAGATGACGAACTGAAGGAAAGTTACATAAATCAAAAATGAAGCTAAGTAATTTTTAGGTAACCTACGCTTGTCCGTAAAAAGCTTCGATAATTGGCTGATTAACCTCCACCACCCTCGCAAAGTTCTCCAGAATGGCAGTCAAACGATCTGCGTAAGCCAATTGCAGACGCGATTCAGCTTTGGCAATGTCCTGGGCATTTCGCAGTTCCTTTTGTGCTTTGTTGGCCAATTTCTGGCAAATGTAGAGAGAAAACTTTTCGATCCCGGTGGTGTGGCAACCGACAAGGGGGAATATTTTAAAGAATCTCTCCACAGAAGCCAAATCATCAGCCTTGACTGCCTCATCGAAACGTTTGGCGATTAGCACACGGGTCTTCTCGGTGGCATCCTCCAGCGTCTTAACCGCATCGCTGACCGACGTAATGGAGCCCTGAACATCGTCAGCGGTTCGCCTCAGGAGCTGCTGATCCATCGCCAGGAAACGGGCAATGTGGGTGGCGCTCTTTTCGTAGTCCTCCTCGCTGATGGCCTTGACAACGCCCTGGCTGCACAGGTGCAGATCGATGAGGTCATGCACCCGCTGCTGGCACTCAGAGGCCCGGCACCTGGCCAAATCCAGCCTGCGCACCTTGGCACTCACGGATTCCGCCAATTGGGCGGTGTTCACAATCTGTGCGTTTAGTTTGTTAGCATCACTGTCCACAGTGTGAAGAAGCGTCAACGATTTCCCAATACCACTCATTTTGGACTCAATCTGGCACTGTTTGGCCAACAGGGACTCTAGTTTCTCGTTGACTTTTGCCTTAATCCGGGTAAAAACATGAATTAGATTCTAACCGGAATTTTATTGACTTGGCACTCACCTCTTCTTCGGCAATCCGTAGCAGGGCCTCATCAACCTGTTCATTTGTGCTGATGTCCAGTGCACTCAATTGATCCAAAACACTCATCTTGCACGGATTTTATCCGGATTCCCGGACCAGCTATATTTAAATTACCACTTTTTTTCCAACTGGCTGATACGTGGAAAGTTTGTTTTGCTTTTAATAGAGATGTGAAAATCCGCAGTTCCAACAACAAGATGTATCGGAATGTGGCTTATCGATAGTTGGAAATAGCTGGCAACGCTACTTTTTGGCGCAATTTTAGGGGCACTCAGGAATTTGATTTTGGTCAAGACAATGGGTTATTTTAAAACGAAATATTTAATTGATTTCCAACGTTTATTTGGGTAAATCAAAATAAACCTATTTGAAAAACTATGATTTCTTAAATTTGAAAAAATTCCAGTAAGAAATCTGTCCGGCTTTGATATATTTTTGTTAATTTCGCAGATTACTTATAGTATTTTTTTTTTTTAAGAATGGTAATTCTTTTATATAGATTTCATTTCGTTATACTCAACGATTCAAAATATTATTGACAAACCGTTGATCCCATTCTGCTGCCCAAAATATGAAGAAAACTTAAAACGAAGCTTTAAAATGTTAACCGCTGTGACCGATAACAGTCGAAAAACGCGGGCACTCTGGCTTTCCCAATCAGCTGATTTGCAATTCAAAGCCCAACAAAAGTATTGATTTGCAATAACCGTAGGATTAGCTTAGCGTAGAATTCCGATAGATAACCGTAGGCGTAGACATGGATTTTACGGGCTTTGAAGTGCGCAAGGTAAGCTGTCAAAAAGGTAAAGATTTTGTGATTATCCTTTCGTATCCTTTTGCAGTGCCCTTCGACTGCCATGTACATTCCAAACTTCATCACTTCCGAAGAGGAACAGCGCATCCTGAGCCACATCGAGCGAACTCCGAAACCGCGATGGACGCAGTTGCTCAACCGAAGGCTGGTCAACTACGGCGGAGTTCCCCATCCCAACGGAATGATCGCTGAGGAGATTCCCGAGTGGCTGCAGAGCTATGTGGACAAGGTGAACAACCTGGGTGTTTTTGAGTCGCAGAACGCCAATCATGTCCTGGTCAACGAGTATCTGCCAGGCCAAGGAATCCTCCCACATACGGATGGACCTCTCTTTTATCCCATCATCTCAACCATTTCGTGTGGAGCCCATACAGTTCTGGAGTTTGCGAAGCGGGAGGACACCTCTCTAGAACCAGAAGCTGAAGATGATCAGCTTCCCCGCGAGGTTCGCTTTAAGTTGCTTCTGGAACCGCGCAGCTTGCTTATCCTGAAGGACACACTGTACAGCGACTATCTACACGCGATCGCCGAGACCAGTGAGGATGTGCTCTGCGATCGGATCTGCAACTACGATCTGTGCGAAAACACCTACAAGATTGGGGATCACCTCATGCGCCGATCACCACGCATTTCCCTCACCATTCGCAATGTGCCCAAGACCAGCAAGATGAAACTGAAGTTCTGCTAGGTCTACGCTCGCATTCCGCACTTAGATGTTGTTTGCCATTGGCTACAGATTATACACACAGATGTTGAGTAAACGCACGTTAAACGAACCCACTGAATGGGATCCCTGGGATCCAAAGGACTACGATAATCTGCAACCTGAATCTTCCGCTAGATGTTTAAGCACTCGCACTAGCACACTAGCTCGCAAGCAATCAACGTTGGCCCACACAAAAGTGCTTTATTTATACCGTTAGCATTGTGTACATATATAAATGTTTGTATTACGTATTTACGGAGCAATATGTTGGTTGACCCGATCCGGCGAACAGGCACGGGTTGTATCCCCCGATTCCACCTGACCGCCGGCGGCCTTTAGTTTTAGTTACGCGAGCAATTGATGGGAGCAATCCATGGTCTAGATTTGTGAAATATATTGTTAACTACTGAGGTGTTCCTTTAACTGATGGTGATTATGATTTGCTGAAAGTGGTCAGGATCGTAAATTACTATGCAACAGACTGATAAATTGTTTGCAATAAAGGGTTGTTTTAGAAAAGGTTATAATGTTTAATAACTGCCTTTATTTAAACTTACAACGATCAAATTATGAATATGTGAAAAATAATTTACGCTATTTGTTTTAAAAATGTTTGAAGAGGGCATAAACCAAAGAAAATATTACACCAATAGTTTGCCTAAACTTAGCCTTCTTTCGAAAAGAAATTACTGTTTTAAGTTAAGTAAAGACTGACAAAACAATTTACCAAAATTATCTGTGAACTTTGTTGTAAATTTTCAAATGTGTTCTTGCCAGTCTTAACTTAGCTTTATTTTTCAAAGCCAAAATAATTCATAATCATTATCAGTTAAAGCAGTACCTCTTACATGTATGGTTGAATGGAGCGTTTGGCACACCAAGTGGCCCGTCCTTGCGCTTCATGCTCCCGAACTCCCGTGTCCAAGTGTATTTTTGTAACCGTTTTTTCCACCGCGCACCGCAGACAGAGCGAAGAGTTGCCAATAAACGTTACTATCCACCCACTGATCTTGTAATCCCTTGCAGCTCCTAGGCCTCCGCTTCCTGCCACTCCAGCCGGAATTCACGCTCGAAGACCAGGCGATCGTAGAGCCGCACCTCGCTTATCCTCGCCGAGATGTCCAGCCGGAGCTCACTGACCGCCAGGTGGAAGTTCTGGCGCACTGTTCGCTGTTTGTCCGGCGTCAGCTGATTGAGGGGCTTCCGGAAGATGCTGACGATGCGCTGCAGATGGTACTCCACGCTGGCACAGCGGCCGATGCAGACCCACAAGTTCTCCGGATCGTGGATGTTGCCCGGAAAGCGGGTGCGCTGATCGAAAGGCGCCTTTCCGGAGAGCAGAGCTCTCACTTCGGCCACGATCTCCTGGTGCGTTCGAAGATCTCGCGTGCTGAGCGTAGTAAACTCGTACTTGTCGCAGAAGTACATCAGCTCAGAGATGGCCACCCAGGACTGAGAGCACAGAGTGGCATGCTGATTCGACCAGTTGGAGTAGCCAGCTGTACTGGAGGATTTGGTAGTTGCAGCAGCAGCAGCAGTTGTTGAGGAAGCGGTTGAGGAACTGGCATTGGGAGCGGGCGAGGTGCTCTTGGGACTGCCCACCTTTGGCTTGGGCGTATCCAGGCCGTTTGTGGACCTCCTCTCCATGCGCTGCAGCTGCTCCATTTCCCGCTCGTGCTCCCTGGCCCGCATGTAGGCCTCCTTCTTCTGTTGTAGCTCCTGCAGCTTGGTCATCTTTGGCGGCGACATCGACTTTGTGAAGATCGAGGGTGGAGCTGGCGGAGGAGGAGCCGGCTCCCCGTTTGTGTGGGCAATCGAAGTTGACCCATTTGTGTCCAGCGATGCACTGCGTCCGTACTTCGCCCGGTAGCGTTCCAGCGTGTCCAGCGAGAAGCTGAGCTCCTTCTTGATGGCCTTCTGCATGGTTTCGTCTGTGAAGGCTTTATGTAATCACCTTGGATTGTTTCGGTGCTTCGAAGTGCACGCGTTCCCTTCGAGATTTTACAAGCGAATGCGAGCGAACATTCCGCATAAAAAGAGAGACCGATCTCTTTATTTTTATCTTTTATCAATCGGCGGCCAGCCTTGTGCACTTTATTTCGGTCTCTGCCAATACATTTTGATTCGCACACGAATGCGTTTGGGTTTGAAGCACCATTTGAAAGACCAGCAGATGCAGATACACAAATATCGAACGCACATTTGGGGGAACTCATGTTGAAATGACCGAAATTGATATGCCATTTTAATTTAGATCAAGGTTGAAAGCAATACTGGGATTTCGAAAAGCTTAAATTTTGTAATTTCCTCAGTTTTCAAGTACAAAGTTTACAGTTTTTATTTCGTATATTATTAAAATAATATTAATTGCGAATGGCACACATATGTTCGTGAACTACGTTTAAGTACAAACTTGTTTCGCTGATCAATACAAAAGGTTTGTCGTGTGCTGTGAATCATATTTGAAGAAATGCACAAAGTACATTTAATACTTTCTTGTTAACTCGTCTGCCAGCTCAACCGGCTCTCACATGGATGGTAAATAAATATCTCCTTAACGCATAGGTAATAGAAAAATGTACAAAATTACAATCAATGCCTCGATCAAACAAACACACAAAACAGATAGGACTAACTAGAAGACGTTTTTTCTAAAAACTACAAAGCGGTTGTTGTTGTCGTTAGCAGAAGGCACGGTATACACAGAGTTGACTTGTCCGGTTGGACAAAATTGGGTCACAAGTAGAAAAAAAGGGCGGACTTAACCCTGTCCTTAAATTAAGTTCCATAATTTACAATACGATTGGGGAGAGAAGCTCCGCTCCCATTAAACGCAATATGATGCCGGCACCTCGAAGATGATATTGCCCTCCTTATGGTGGAAGTTGGGAATCTCCACGTTTGAAGCTGCCTGCACGGAAATAGTCCTCGACTTGCCATTCAATCGGCAGGCAATGTTGCTGCTCACATCCACACGCAACTCGGTTGCAGTTAAGCTAGAAAAGGGAATTATGTTTAGGATTCGGTTTATAATTAATATGGGGTTTCAACTCACTCGTGGTACTTCTTGCAGATAATGCCCACCAATTCGCCAATGCGATCTTCCTTGAGGGGAGTGTACTCGCCCTGCAGCGAAAACACAAAGTCCTTGTTTTCGGACGAGTGGAAGACAATCAGTTGATCCCGTCCAGGAGTAACACTAATGGAAGTCAACTGTAAAGGGAAAAATTTGGGTTTAGTAAGGTACTATTTGATCTATTTGGTCATCTACTCACCTCTCTGATTCCAACAGAATGCTTCATTAGCTTGAACTTCCTCTTGATTCCCTCCAGCTTGTAGATCATTGAGTCGGTGATGAAGAAGGCTCGATCTTCCTGCTTGTTGTGGTGGTTGAACTTCTTGGCGAAGGAGGAGAAGTGCACCTGGCGGAAGGAGTCGCCCACTTGGTTCTTCACGTTCCGCACAATCGTGTTGTAGACCTCGTAACCGCTGTTGTCCTGCGACCGAGCGAGGTAGTCACCCAACCAACGGCGCTGCTGGCCCCAATAGGGACGCCTTCCAGCCAAGGCGGTGGCTGCGATGATCTGCAGCCGCAACTGGGGCCACTCGGAGCGGGGATACTTGCGCAGGATCATGCAGGCGCGCCAAATGTCGAACAGCCTGTGCAGCTTGGCCTCCGCCTTTCGTCCGGCGAGCGGCGGCTGCGGCCACTGGATGCTCTTGCCGTAGTCCCTCATCTGCTTGGCGTTCCGGAATCGATTGGCCAGCTCCTGGACGTAGCTGCGCAGCTTGTACGTCTTGTAGGCCCGCATGATCGCAATGGCCGCCTTCATCTTCTTGTAGTTCCTCCTGGCGATCCAGCCACGAACTCGTTTCTGCAGCAGGGTCACAATATGCGGTATCATCTCGTTCCTCTGCTGCTCCAAGGCAAACAGAGTTTTCGGCGAGCGGATGAAGATCTTCGTGTGTCCGTACTTCACATCCTGCGCAAAGCCGCGCTCCTCGATGAGAACCCTGACTCCATCGCGATCGCTTCCAGCCCGGAAATTGGGCCAAGTGTACTGCGAGATCATCTTGTAGCGCAGCAGGAACTTATCGTAACGCTGGCGATGCACGAATCCTGCGCGACGAACGCGCAGATTTTCCAGCAGACCCAGATATCGCACCTGGTGCTGCACTCGCTCCTCATCGAAAACTGTGGAGCTCTTAATATCATTCGGCTTGATGCAGCGCACATAGAAGGGTTCCTTCTTGAGGAGAGTCACCACCAAGTCAGCCATCGATCTCTGGAAGAGGGTTCCGGCGGTCAAGGGTCTCTTGGTGGTCTTCTTGATGTCCTGCGCTCCCTCGGGCCACATCTCACTCAGATTGGCGTCCTTGGACCTGTGCAACAGGCGCTTGAAGTCCTGATACAACGTGTCCTTGTTCTTCTCGATGAATCCGTTGATGTTGTAGATCACATCGCCGGCATAATGGGTGATCCGGAAGTCCTCGCGGTGCTTCAGCTCCTTGTCCGTCGGCTTCAGCTGGCGACTCGTGTAGTGGGGGTGTTTGCTCAGGTTCTTGTCCATCGCCCCCAGGAGTGTATCATCCGTGACTTTTCCTACGCTCAGACAGGCCTCGTCCATGATGGCGATTATGCCCTTGTGCGGCTGCTCAACCAGGTCGCAAATGATCTGGAATTAAGTGTTTTTGTGGGTTAGTTACTTTGGTAACTGTTTTCCTTCTTAAAGATGATATCCGATAGATATACCTTCGAATAAAAAGTTACTAATTAGTGTTTAAACAATACCTTGTTGTTGAAGTAATCAATATTGGTCCATTCGATGCCCTCTCGCTGATACTCCTCCTGCTCCTGTTTCAAAACCAATTCTGAAAGGGATGAACCAAATAATTAATTTATATTCACAGTAAAATATGCAAATATCTCACCTATGAACAACTGCTGCAGTTTCTCATTGCAGTAGTTAATGCAGAACTGCTCAAAACTGTTGCAGTCGAAGATCTCGAATCCGTAAATATCCAGCACTCCGATGACCGAATTAAATCTCGCCTGAGTTTTGCTACCACGGAAGAGGATTGCCCGGTTGATGCGGGAAATGATCCAGGTGAAGAGGCGATCGTAGATGGCCTTGGCCAGAGCATCCTTTCCGTACTCCGCCTGCGTGGCATTGTGATCCTTTTGCATCACATTTCCTCCAGCGGCAATTACCCTTTTGGTTAAGGCCTCCGAGAGTTCGGATTCAGTGACCTGGAGCAACTTGGCAGTGGACTTCAAGTGTTGTTTATTGCTGATGACCAACTCATCCTCGATGGCTGTAATTTAATTTAAAATGAATATAAATTCTTTGATTATACTAAACTATTAGTACTCACTTTGAAATTCCACATTTCCCAAGTGCAGAATGGCGGCAATTGTTCGCCAAATGGTCTGCACCTCGTCCGTGGAGAATCCCAGGGTCTTGAAGGCATTGCAGGTTCCCTTATAGTCGGACTTCTCAGTCAGGATGTCCATGCTTCCCTGGTTCAAGTAGTGATATTTGCCGGTTTCCTTTTGCAGCTCATATTGTCGCAGTTCGTTGTCGTTGGCTCCACGAAGCAACTAAAATGGAATACGATATATATGGTTGGAGGTATTAATTTAGCAATTGCAACCATTTAATAATAAATTCATGTCCATAGCCATGTCCCAAGAATTTAGCACAGCAGACAATTAGTAGACGTGCTAACTATAATTGAACTTCCGTTTTCTGTTTTCTGTTTGGTAGTTGTCATTTAAGTTAAGGAATTGCAAATTTTAGTGACAAGTTCAATTTTAAAATTTTATCATAAAATTCTTTTATGTGTTATTAAACCAGAGTAAATAACCCCCCAATCAACAGACTCAGGGCATATTTTTCCTATTATATCATCCCAGATAACTTAATAATATTGATAACTTAATTTATCAGTTGAGTAATTTGCGTCCTCACAACTTTAATAGATATTTAACGTTGGGAAAGGCATAAACGAACTATCAATAAAAATCTAAATGCTTATCGGCGTTTTTACAGGTGTGAGTCAGTTTAGGTTCTGTTTATTTTTCTAGAGAAAAAGTACCCTAGGTAGTCATAAACAACAATATCTTGGCCATGTTAGGAATTTATGACCGATGCAGACTTTCATAATATGGCACAATATTTATTTTGGAGTCAATTTTAAAAATAAACAAAAAACAAAAGCAAATTGTCGATCGCTAACAGAAACCAGATCAAATATTCCACTTGATTAAGTGTTTCCAGATGATAAATGTGCTAAAAGTGTCTCACATTGATCAAATACTTTCGATACACATCGGATATAGCGATCAATTATCACCTCAACGGGTTAAATTGAGCTGATCAATGGGTGGGAATATATTCGAATCGCGAGTGGGTAACGCCTTGAATAATGAGTAATCTGTTAAATTGTGACGTTTTATTTTTTCTGCTTTACTGGATGAGTCTTTTGTGAGACTATTTTATCATGTTTTCCATGATATCATCAGATTGTAAACGCTTAGAATGCGAACAATATAAACTGTGTTTCCAGCTGTCAGCTAACTTAATTAAATTAATGAATAGTTTTCGGGTTTGAGATAATTGAGTGTGGAATGTGTTCTTTTTGACTTTAATCAGTTAAAAGAATGTTCTCTATATGTTTTGCATATTATCTCCATGAAACAATTTAAAGGATGTAAATAATTAAAATATTTTGGATATTTTGGAACGGAAGAACGGAGTGACAAAAATTAAAAATTTTGATACATATTTTTACTTTTGTTACTTTTTACTTTTTTATTACTTTTACTTATTATTTTTTTACCACCGAACTTGAAACTTAATAAAGTCATATAATAACAGGGTGTATATATTTTTTGTATATTGCCCCCTCATAAAACTATATCAAATGGCCTCAACACTCAACTTAAATAACCACCTATGTTTACACGCCTGCGGGAAAGCTGCACCCGAAAACAAAAAAAAACGAGCGACAATAAATGTCTAACCAGCCGAAAAAAAAGCATCATTGCGGGAACAACACGACACCCCAAAGTACATAATTTGGAAACCACCCACCGAAACACCTTTCGTCACCTGGCACGCGTCACGCTGACTCACTTGGTAAATAATCGTGTACTTAATGCCACACACGAATAGCTTCCCACAGCAACAGCTCGATCCACCCACAACTAACAACCCACAACTCACCTGGTAAAAACTGTGGAAGTTGCGCTCTCCAGGCTGCTGCTGCACCACTCGCGACTTCTCCAGGAGGTAGTTGGTAATGATGCCACCCACGGGATCCGCCTTGTAGTCGAACTCGATGTCCATGTACTTTCCGAAGCGACTCGAGTTGTCGTTGCGATTGGTCTTCGCATTGCCGAAGGTCTCCAGGATCGCGTTGCTTTGGATAAGGACGTTTTTAACTCTGGGATATGATGAAAATAGAAAGAATAGGATGTGTTAAACAAATGTGGACTCGGGACATTAAAAAATTGAACCTTAGTAACAATAAATAATAAATGATTACATTTTTAAATACTTCTTATAATATTTTAAAACGAATAAAAATGTTTAAAACAACACCAAAAATGGACTTTAAATTAAGTAAAACTTGGAATTATGTATTTCCTTTATATTAAATTAAAGAACCATTAAAACCAACCATTTAAAAGCATAATCTAAGAGCTTCTTTTACTACCTCAGACTCAAATAAACTAAAAGCGACCACGAATAATGAATATTCTGATGACAAAAATTAATTTTTTCAGCATAGCAGATTACAATAAAGAACTCGTTAAAATCAAATCGACGTTATTAAAAAAGCAATCAAACTTAATAAAGGTTTCCTTGGAGCTTCACAAATTCCCTTTGTTCCTTGGGAAAAGTAATTTGGAAAATGGCACTCGCCCCAATCACCCAAACTATAGTAAACGTCGTTTTAAATTTCATTCGAGGCACTAAAAATTGGCAATTTAGTTCGTCATTGTGTTTGGGGCTTGGTCGCGGAGGTCTTGGCGCTCTTTTTCTTTTATGGGGCACCTTAAACTACACCCAAGTGATAAAAGTTCCTGGGGCAAAGTGGTTGGTTGGTTGGTCGGTTGGTCGGGGAAGGCAATTAGTGGGGCAATTAATTTGGCAACTTAAGTTGCAGGCCGTCACTGATGTCATCCGGGGTTATGGGTCACGCGATGACCATGTGAGCGATTATTGCCCATCTGGGGAATGTTTAATTAGCAGGCGCCTTGTACTCAGGCTCCCCCAATGAGAATTCCATTGCGCATTTGCATGCAACACAATGGCCAATCTGAGTAGTTTTCTCTGGGATCCACATGTTATAGATCGAGGAGGTTCGGTTCCCATCGCCTGGTTCACAGTATTGTGATAAGGCCGAAAGCGTTCCATCATCCTATGCATATAGAGTGGCTTTGCCACCCAAATTGATAGACATATTTACTATGTAAGCGGGGCAAACTGCTTGGGAGCGACTAAATTAACTAAACTTATTTGCATTACCTACTATTTAGGGCTTTCAACTTTAATTCTCCTGGTACTTGGTAATTAAAAAGAAACGGTGGTTTTGTTTGGGGTAAATGTTTGGAAGCATAATTTAGTTCTTTTTTGTAAACAATAGTTTCTGAATTAAATTACCCGTTCGAGAAAAGAATTTATTGTTTAGAAAGATTTTAAATTTATTTTTAAAGGATTACAAATTTCTATTAGTCTTTCTATCTTTATTTAAAGACTGTCTTTCTATTAAATCAGTGATCATAAAATATTATCTATCACTCACCTTTCGATCTCGTTCTGTCCCTGGGCATTTGTCACGGCAGCAATGTACTTCATGATGATCTTGGAGGCTTCGGTCTTTCCAGCTCCCGATTCTCCGGATATGAGGATGCAGGTGTCCTGCTGGCGCTGCTTGAGAACCCTGTAGGCGGCATCGGCGATGGCGAACAAGTGCGGGGGATTCTCGAAGAGCTCCCGACCCTTGTACTTGCGGATCGTCTCCGGATCGTAGATGTTCATCTGTCTGTAGGGATTCATCGAGACGCACACCTCGCCGATGTATGTGTAGATGGACCCGACTTGGAATCTGGGAAAGAGCAATGGATGGACGAACATTACTTGGTGCAGTGTTTGGAAAGGCATTTCCCCTGGTATTACGCAATAGATTCATCGGGGTTGGAGGTAACTAAAATAAATGCTGGCTGGGAAAATAAGTGGGTGTTGAAGGCGGGGCACCAGAACCCCCGTCGTTGGCGCCTGCAGCTTTCATTTCGAAAATTGCTTTTCCAACATCCGTGGATATTCGGGTTTTCATGAGATACCTGCTCCACACGACGTGCCGATCAATATAATTGACCGCTGCTATGTGGATCAAGTTTTCGATCTATTTTCCCGCGTTTTTGATTGACTGCAATGGGCTGCATATGTGGATGCATTTGTTTTGTGCTCAATTTGTAAGGCGCCAAAAGATTGGGTATAAAAGTTGTTGTGTTCATAAAATGCATTCGGTTCGGTAAGTGGGTCACTTTGGATATACATATAGACAATGAAAATAGCTAATAGTCTTCTATTGAATTGTATGAGAAGGTGAAATATTCTTTTGGGGAATATGTTAAATTGTATAGGAGTGCTTAAAACAAAATAAGGGGAAAGTTTTAATTTTATTTCTTACTTTTATTACTATACGTGTAATTTTAATATCTCAGTGCTAAAGGTTTTACTTAAACCTAAACATTTTCTTTCCAGCTACAAAATCAGTTTGCACTTAAAGTATAAGATTAGTTAGAAATTAGTTGTCATGTACTCAATTAGTTTTACTTTGAAATTGTATTGATAACATGTAGACATTTTCATCTATCTTTGATAATATAACAATTTCAAGTAGTTTGGTTGTTACTAAGAAATCTAATTTTATTTTAGTTGGAAAAACAAATTTTTCTATTAAAAATTTCTGGTATCATTTTAATGAAATCAGTAATGAACTCAATCCTTAAGCCTTTAATACTACCTGCTTATTTCTTCGGTAATTATATCACAATATGCTCGAGTTTTTACCCAATTTCAGTGTCCGTCTTAATGAACTCATTTGAAAGCCAACCCGATGCAAATTAGTGGCCACGGTTCCCAAGAAAATTACCCAGACTGGCCCGAAAGTAAGAGTTACACCATTACCGACTACAAATTGCCCCACAGATGAGCCACATAACCAAGAGTCCAGCCCATGCCGTGCAACAAGTATTACAAAACCCTGGACATAGAAATGAAAAAATAAAATACAGAAACTGAAACTGAAACCGAATAAAAATGAAAATGAAGTACTAAATTAGCAGACAAAGAAACGGTGAAATTGTTAAAACCAAAGCGAGTCAAGTCTAAGCCAAAACCAAACAGTTAGTCGTTTTTGTTAGTCCGAAATGAGGGAATGAAGACGATTAAAACAATACACTTAATACGCGCATTTGTTTGTATTTATGTTTTGGCTGCTGGTCGGGGCCCATTTCCCCTTCTGAAACACATGTTTTTACTTAACTTTTCAGTGCTTATTTATAGATGGCTGCTGGCTTTTTTTTTCTGCCTTCAGTTTCTTTCCGTTTTTGGTTTTTTTTTTTTTTTCTGCTGCTGCTCTCTGTTACTTTTGCCGCCCAGACATGTGGGTCAAAAGTGTGACAGGCGACAAATGACTAAACGCCGAACCACTGAACTCCAGCCGATGGCCAAGAAAGCAAGTGTTTAGCACGCTTTTTAACTATTTGGGGCCATCGTTTTGAGTTGCACTCAGCGGCAAAAGGGCAGGCAGCAAATGGCAAGCCTCTTAGCGCATGGAAACCCAATCCGAAAAAGTTTCCACCGCCGCGATTTCTATGATTTCCCCCAAAAGAACCATATACCAGTACACCATATTGACACCATGTGGTGGGGGCGTGTGTGTGTGAGTGTGTGGGGGTGGGTGAACGCCCACGGTGCGTATGATTGACAACACGTCAAATTTTGTTTGGCACCCGCATGACTCCCCACTCAACTCGCCTTTTGCGGAGGAGGGCCCAACTGGGCTAAAGAAATTGTCAGCCGGCAGGCAGGTAATTGTCGAAAACCGGACTTATTGGTCAGCAATTGTAAATCTCTGTCAAATGAAATGGGGTTTTGTTTTTTATTTGGGGTCATTGCTCGGAAGGTGTATGAAAAAAAAAGTTACAACCCTTTGAGATAAAAAAGATAAACAAGATAGCCCAAGTTCAACAACATTACAACTCTTTTAGAACTGGTCGAAATACTATATTTATAATTATATTTCATGAAAACAAAAGAAAACAAAACTAAAAATATTTTTAAATGTGTTTAACATTATGCATTATTTAACGTAGTTATAAAATGTGTGTTTTTGAGATTATTTAAGATGGTACAATATACAATTGTTTAAAAAGAAACAGCATAACGTATTTTTTATTTCATTCAGTAAACTTTCTTTAATAATAACAATAAACCTCTTATCTTGCAAAAGTATGACATATAACAGTCAAAATAAAAAAAAAACCCAAAAGAGTCTTATCATTCGAAAACTCTTTGCTGCACCCCATTTGTCATAGTTATCTTCTGCTGTACTTGCCCTCCAAATTTACCAAATATTTTTTTATTTTATTTATTTACTCAAGTGCCAACACATGATTTCAGTCTCCCCCTTTTGGATTCTCCAACAGAAACATACATAAATTAAGTTCTTATTGCTGTCTTCGCACATTTTCATGTTCATTCTTTCGCGCACTTCATAAACTCGTCTTGGATATATGTATATTCGTTATAACGACTGTCGTTTACTGTGAGTGTCTTTCTTTACCCACAGCCAAATGACGTAATCAAGATAAAGTAAAAAAAGAAAGAAAACAATTATATCGACATACTCGTACACTCGACTAAACGAAATTCCAATAGCCAGCAACAAATTGTTCTGATGCACTTTGTGTTTAAACATTTTGTTTTCACACCGATACTTTTATTATTTTTACTGACTCATCTTCCTGAAACCGAGAACATGGCATTGGCATCTAGTATTATTTAATAAAAACATGTATCAGTAAACAAATTGTTGGCTTAGAGTGCTAACAAGTGTGAGTCAGCATTGGGTGCTCTAAAGAGCGATTTGCATATAGCCATTAATAAATTGCGACGCCTTCTCGTGCCACCCGATGAATCATTTGATTTGGAAAATCGTACTCCATCCCAGACGGAAAATCAATAAGCTAACAGTGCATTTTTCATGGGCAAAATACAGACGGCGCTCGGAAAATATTTGCCTGGGGCTGACGTCATAAATTGGTCAACAAACTTGGCTTTTATTGGGTCAATGTTTTTATTTGCCTTAATAGGGGTTTGTTTATTTTGTTATCTAATTGAATTTAGTCGATTTATTGACTGCAAGCTTATGTGTGAGGGAAGTTTAAAAGAAATGGTATATCTTCTTTTTGGATAGATGTTAAAAAACAAAATAATAAAGTATTCTATTTACATATGTACCTATAAATATTATTAAAATTTTAAGCAAATAAAAAATACTTTTTAAGAATTGTTAAAAATAAATAATTGCTTTTTTTTAAGTTTCGAGGTTTTGAAGGTTTTCCTATATTCCCCCATAAAACCCTAAAAACATTCCTGAATAATTAAAAATAATTCCCTTATAAAACAGCGGATAGGTCAAGTTCCCTCATAAATTTGTTGAACGTCTGCCAATAATAACTTTCATGGGAACCACAACATCGGATCGGATCGTAAAAGCTGTTCCATCTCATTATAAAACGTAATTTTCCTTTTCTAGTTCCACTCCTGTCTACCGACCATCTGCAGAATTTTCCCGAGATACTTTTCAACGATGTTTTCCATTCTCCTTTGCCTCTGCTGTTATATTTTCCCTCAATTTGCGCAATGCAATGCACAATTGCATCTGGGCCATGCCTTCGAATTAACTTCAATTTACACCAGACTCAAACGCAAATCAATTAACAGGAGCAGAAAAAAATGCCTGAAAAGTCTGGACGGCAGGCCGCTAAAGACTTGTGTAAACGAAATGCAGATGCCACTGGATTTTCCTCGGACTTCTGCTCGAAGTAGAAGTTATTGCAATGCGAATGACAAACATTGCCCGGATCTGGATAAACAAATAGAGCGGGAATACTATGGCACTCCGCCGTCGTCTAGACGGATACTCAGGTCGTTCCAAGACGTTGCCCCTTTCCATTTCCATTTCAATTTCCATTCTCATTTCCATTTTAGAGGTTCAATGCTTTATGCTTTTCTTCCGAGAATTTGCACATTAACCAAGTTTATGGCTCGGCAGAGGAGGAAAACACCGGCAGAAAACAGGCAATCAAATCGAAGCGGTTACGTTATGTAAATGATTTGATTTCCGTTTCGCTATTAGAAGTGCTTATCTTGGGGCAATTGGCTTGATAGCCCTTATCGAATGACTATATAAACTTGCAAGGTGAAAAGTAGGGTGAGGATCGGGTGGTTTTATTCTTTGTACTCTCGACCAGCTGAAAGACTTCCTTTGAACCATCAGATCCAAGACAATGCAACTCCCACTACCTTTCTGCACTCTACAAATAAACAGACAATCTCTGATTGCCATCGGAAATCCAATAAGCCTCCTTGAAGTCTTTAATGGCTTTCTTCCCCTCTGAAAAAGCTGAAAATTGTTTACGTTTCACGGCATCTTTAATATTTTTCCACATAACAAAGAAGGGGGAATATCGCACGGTTATCAGCTGGGAATGTATAAATAAATAGTCGATATATACAATTGGCAAGGAGAAGTATTAACGGGCATAAATGGAAACCTAATCCAGTGGAAGGTCTCGCCGCAACAATTGCATAACCGAAAGTTAACTTATCACCTTGGCGCAGGTATCAGCCATGGTTATCGAAGTATACTAGTATGGTATAGGCGCCTATGTATAAACGGTTTTCTGCGACAAATTCCGGCACTTCGGTGGAAGTGTGCAATCTTATCGCACCTTTGGCGCTGTTCAAGACCTCAGTACATAAATAAATATAGAAATGCCTTGCCATATAGCGCCAAAGTTGGTTTCAGTTACCAAATATAAGGGGGTTTTTTCTATTTTTGATAAATAAACATTATCAGTTCTGGCTAGGCGATAAGATCGTTCCTTTTGAGGAATTACTCAAGTGAAGGTACCCAAGATTTTTGACAGTCATTGATTAACATGCAGCACTTTAAATAGCCATAAATTCTCGTTTTATTTACTTGGGTTTGGGTTTTCTGTTACCTATAAACACACCTATCTTTCCAAATAAAAAATATTTTGCTTAGTGCATTTTAGTGTTGCCTGTGGAATACTAAAATCTAAGCCTTGGCACAACCAAAAAGTACATAAAATAAAATCAGTAGAAGTATAAGCAAAGTGAGAAGCATTTAAATGAAAATGAAATGCAGTTTGTCGTTAACATTGAAAGTGGATATCGTCATGGGTATGAATCATCAGCTTATATAGTTGTCTGGAATCGCTGATATATTCGCGCTCGATTTATGAAGTGGCTGAATGGGAAGACCCACTTTGAACTCTCAAGAACTTTTGTTAAGTGGGTGTGCTGTGATAAGCCTTAAACACTGATAGGAATAAAAAAGGTTTGTCCCCGAAGGATTCCTTGAGTTTACAACTAGTTGAAAGAACCATAAACTTCTTCAATAACTGATAATAGATAATAGAATATTAGTCCAAAGGTTATTGGGCTTGCTTTGCAATAAAAAGTATAAAATTAAAATATATACGTAAAGGAATTATATTGGCAATGAAAACATACTCGTTTACAGATCCTTCACCTTGTCACACAAAAGAGATTTTCCTCGTTGTCAAACATATCACTTAACAAGCCAGAAAATATTATCAAAAAATTCATTGCCCCAAATAAATGATTTCCCAGAGGCAAAAGTTCAACGGCAGTTCATGGAAAAGACGAGGGCTGTAAACACTGAATCAACCAGAAATATAGGCCAAATAAATGCGTAAACAAGTGTCGAAAATACAGAAAAACAAAGCCCATCGGCTAAGTAGACACAAAATGGGGCACTTGAAAGTGATGCACTCGGGGCAGTCAAAGGGTCAAAGGGCAATCAATCAGGGATTTTATGGGGTTCTTGGCCCTCCCGTGAGGACACTCGACTTAATGACAGTCGTAAAATTGGAATACTGTGAACTTGGTTTGCGGCAAACAAAGATCGTTTCTGTTTTTTGGGGATCGAGGAAACTTTTCGGTCGTTTCGGGCAAGTGAAACAAGTTTTCATCCAAACACACATTTTTTTCCCCCGTCTTCTATTTTGTGGGTGAGTCTCGGCCAAACTGACGCCATCAACCGGTTCGTATTTTGGCTACGCCATGGCATTTTTTTCAGTTTTCTTTCTGTTGACTTGAGTATCTGCAAGATACACAGAGTGACTCACAGCGAGGGGATTACGTACATTTAATTTATTTAAAATAAATTATTTCTAGAGGTTTTTATAGGCTACCAAATAGTATAATATAATATTGTATTTGATGTGTGTGATGTCATCTGCCAAACAGGTACGCTTTATATAGCATTGCAAACTAGTTGCTTATATATTTCCCATTTGATTGATTTACCCGATGCACCATGCCAAATGAAAGTGAGTTTGTTTCGCTGGATTTCTTTCATTTCTTTCAGGTTTCGAGTGCAATTTCCAATTACGTGTTCGCTTTTCTCGGCTCTTTGGCGCGTTTTTGACCCTCAATTTGTTGGGGCTTTTCGCAACTTGGTTGCCTCTGAGTTTTCCGGCTTTCCTGATAAATATTTATTAATGCATCGCAAATTGATTTGAGTTATGCGTTGCTCATGTGAGCTTGTAATACATGAAAATCGTGTTTAGTAACACAGCATTTGCTCCGATTATGTAATTAATCCAATTTACACAGATTCATTTGCTTGCGATGCTTTGATAAGCGGATTGCGAGCCATCAAAGTGGGTTAACGCATCTTGGACGGTAATTTGTTTTTAATTATGGTCTTTCAACACTTATGCAATCTACCAATTAAGTAGATAGGCATACGGTTTTCCACCGGCTGGCTCGGCAATTAATTTCCTTTTTCGATGGCGATTTCAACTGACAGCTCACTCAAGGCGAACGCATTTTGTTTTTGGCTTATCAAAGCCAAGCAATCGTAATTGTGATATATCGTCGGAGTCGGTTCAGCAATTAATATATATGTTTACTTATTAGATGAATCAGTGCTGGATTCATTGCCCGAATAATAGAGTGAATCAGTATACCCATTTATTTATAGGCATTGCAAAATATTTAGGGAGAGAGAAACCGAAACAATCATTAAAACCGACACAGTGCCACCGAACTCATTATCATAAAAGTCGAAGCGAGACCACAGATTTCCACTATTTAGTAAACCTCTGCTAATCAGTTGAACAAATACGTGGACGGCGAGAACTTTTCCCGATAATGATCGCTTTTTCATGAAAGTTAGCCAGCCATGCAAACCAGCGACCCGACAAAAAGGAAATATATATGGGGATATATTCCAAAGGAAGCTCTTGCAACAACTTGTTGACAATCGGAACGAAGTGAAATGATATACGGTCCATGTGGGTTGTGCTGCGTGGTCGTCGGGGGGTTAAGGAACTTTACATAATGGGCACTACAATAGCAGGAAGCTAACCACCTGGAACCACAATGCCGGCCACACAAATATTGACACTCCAAAGGGAGGGTGCCAGTTGATTTAGAGTGCAACTGTAACAAGCATTTCACTTTCATAAATATTTAACTTAGATATTGGTGTGCTAAGTGCATTGCTGTAATGTTTATATCAGATTCTTTCTTCACAAAATTGTAAATTTATCTGTTGTATATATTATTAGATTACAATGTCTAAAAATTAAGTAGAGCTTTAAATACAAATAGAAATTTTTATTTGAGAAGTCAAAAGTTATTGTCTTAAGCTCTTAAAATTTAAATAAATGCATTTTGTTTTCTGGACAAAATCTTTTCTCAAGACACCCCCAAAAATCAAACACCATTTCTCATTCCATTCCATCCAAATTGAATTAAAATGCCGCTAATGAATGCATTTAAAACCGAAAGTCATGGCACAAAAAGAAGAGTTTAACACTTTAAATGAGCATGCAAATGGGTCCATTGAGTGCGCTCTCGAGTGGAACCACAAGTTTGAGGAAGGGGTTAAATGGGGGAGATAAAGTCGGGGGACGTGGAGCCCGACTTTAATTGAAATGCCGATAAACAAATCCAGTTTAATCAAGTCGGAAAAGCCAAGAACCGAAACCAGTTTTTCTGCGTGGCAATTGATCAAAACAGAAGCCTTGAACTAGACCAACAACTTGGGGAAAAAACTCGAGGAAAAGTGGTTCCAAAAGGGGAGGAGTTGGGGGGTATTGTCGATTAAATGGAGAAGTAAACAGAGGACAAGGCCACCAGGTGGAATCAATAAACACGCTGGTCATTCGCCAGTTGGAATTGCATTACAAGATTGAATTGCGGCTTGTAAACTTTTTATGACCACGAAAGAAATATGTGTGTTTCCAAAAGCGGAAATCATTTGAAAACTTGAACGACTTTAAAACTGAGAAACTTAGTAAGTTACGTGCATAGTACTATTTTATTAAATAAAAAATATTTTCTTAAATAAAAATATTTTGAACATAAAAGATTTTTGTAAAATTTTATAATTATCCCATTCCTAAATTTCTCCAATTTAACGGCAATAAGACTTTTTGGGGGCTTTAAACTTACAAATACTCTTTGGAACTTATTGGAACTTACCTCTTTCGCAGGTTGTCCATGAACTTCTCCATGGACACGTGATCCAGGAGGACGAAATCCTGCACTCCAGCTTCCCGTTGCATTGCCATGGTGTCCGGTTGTCCTTTTTACGTTGCTCTTGAACGGAACGGAGAGAGGATCGAAGGGGTTGCTAGCTGATAACTGCTAATTGCCGGCTGCAAAGGTGAGAGTTTGGACTCAGGTAAGCACACAGGAATTCTCGCAAAAACACACACACACCGAAAAAGTAGAAGCGTTCACTTGGTTTTTGTTTTGTTTTTTCTTTTTTTGTTTGCCTTGCCTTTCGCGTCTCGCTTCGAATTTTAAATATACACGTACATATATATAAATAAAACTAAATAACGTGTTGTTGCCGCTGCCAAGCGATTTTTATGTTTTATGAGCCAATTTCGGCCGCTTCTGCTGATTGCGACGAATAATTTTCGCTGTGACAACAGACACGACGACGAAATCTGAACGAAATCCGACGAAGAGGCCCGGAGATCAATAAAGAATATTTCTGGACCGACCCGATCAAACGATCACTCCAATTGGAATGGAGCAGTGGGGCAAAAACGGGAACAAGATCGGCAACAATAAAAATAACGAGAACTCGATCAGGAACCACTCTCAAACTCACTTATGACCACAAGTTTCGCGACGTCGCCCGATGTAAACATTTATTTTGGGCTCCACAGTTTTCGGTTAGCTGCGGTCTATATATGCTTTGGATCGAAGCGAACTAGTCCGATAAATATTTGCGTCTGGACTCAGGTTCGGCGGATTAATGACAACAAACGGCCGTCTCACAACCGCGTTCGTTTGGACCATGGTAAAACAAGAAGGGGATATCTCGTCGGGTCCATAAGTCCGTTAACAAAATTTTCAATGAGAGTGAGTGAAAGAGTGTTTGCCAATAAGTGCGAGAGAAACACCAACTGCTTACCCCTTATGCGGTGCATTGGGTTTAAAATGGCCTGTCATTTACTTGTATATTTGTTGATTTTTCGCCTAGCCTTAACCCAATTTTATAAATTAACAATTCAAAAACATTGGTTTTATATCCCTTCTACAATTGCTTTTTCGAATGGAGCATTCCACAGGTAGTCTCGCCCTTTTGGCCGCTGGAGGGGTTTTCTGCAAGCTGCTAACATATACTTTACAGAGTTGCCTAACGGACAACGTTTTCCTAATCTGTTAAAAACTCTTAGCGAAACAGAGAGTGCCAACCGAAAGCTAACGGACTAAACCCGAACGATTTGGCGTCAGATTAAAAGAGAGAGAGAGAGAAATAAATCAAATGAGTAGTACCCTTAATTAATGGTGAAGAACTTTGATGGAGTGTAAGCGCGGACTCCAACCTGTTTGGTACAAAACGAACATTTTTGTAAAAGGCCATTGGTTCTAGAAATCTTTTTATGGGTAAGCAATAAAAAAACCTTGGCTTTATCAATTGGCTCATTTTGCATTTCTATACTAATTATCTTTATAAATATTTTTTTTTTTTGACCAAAATTATTGCAAGTCCTTTTACACTGGTTAAGTACAAGTACACAACGCGTGGAGGTTTACGATGAGGAGGATGTAGGTCTTACGGTTTACTGATCTTTAAATATTATTATCTGATTATATCGTTTCTGTTTAATTGTTTTGGAGAATGCATCTCAGGATAGATAACGCAGAGATTATTGCACCTTATTTGGGATGAATTAAATAAAAGCCGGCAAAAGCGGTACAGAGATCCAGTTTTTGGGAAAGCTTAAGATGAAATTGTTAATCGTGCTCTTTGTTCTGATATCTATTGTGTCAGCCCTGCCTGACTTACAACTTGTAAATAATTACGATAACAACGATCCTAACCATCCTAACGATCCGAACGACTGGGCTTCAGCACTATGTATTTATGGTACAGGAGACGAAGTTGTACCTTGCACTCCATCAGTTGAAGAAGAAGATTTTGGAATTCCGATAGACAAATAAGCAAAGACAAGTGCATTATTAGGGCTGATCGTATTAGAATTAAATTGTACTTTATTTTTTTTAAATTTAAAATCATTGAATTTCGCGGGCTTGTTAATTTTGGTGTGCGGTCACTCTGCCCCAAACTCACCTGCAACAGCTGTTTCGTGGTGAAAACTGTCTGGTCGCCCTCGTAACATTTGTTTTACAAAAAACTGGAGCTAAAATTAATAAAATGAATAAAATCACGCGTGCCTTTATAAGTGTCCTGCGCCAGAGCAGTTCCTCCGGTGGGACGAATACCCTCCTGGGTCGCCAGCTCTCCTACAAGAGTGATTTATCGCTGGACAATCTGTATCCCAGTTCGAGACTGCAAATCTACACGCCGCCGCCGCCGGTAAGTGAATCCACTGGCTACTGGGGTCACAAACTATTTACATATTCATTTTCTAGCCTCCGGGCAGCAACAACAAGTTCAACGGCTTCATTCCCATGGACCAGCTGGAGATAACCTACAGCCGGAGTTCGGGACCCGGAGGTCAGCACGTGAACACGGTGAACACCAAGGTGGATGTGCGCTTCAAGTTGGCCCAGGCCGACTGGATACCCGAACAGACGCGCCAGAAGCTGCTTAAAGTGCTTGCCAACAGGATCACCAAGGAGGGATACTTCTATATAAAGAGCGACCTCACACGCTCCCAGCAAATGAACTTGGCCGATGCCCTGGAAAAGCTGCGCTCCATCATTCGTGCCCAGGAGGCCACGGAAGCGGCCCCGCCCAGCGAGGAAACGCTGGAAAAGCTGCGGCGGCGACAGGAGCGAGCAGCCCGCGAACGCCTCCAGCTGAAACGAGGTCGCGCCCAAGTCAAAGCAGATCGTCAAGGACCCGGCGGCATAGATTTGTAGTTGTTATTGGAAATTGTTGCACAAAGATTCACATTACACATATACGCTTAACTAAGATGTGAACGCCACATCGGGATCTCACTATTACAGATTTAAATTACAAAACAAATACCCCCTGTTAGAGTACAACATTTAAGCTCTAATAACACTAAACTTGAACAAAATCTGTAAAAGTGAAAACTCGAATGGTTCTTATAAATTTCTAAGGCAGCTGTTCGTCCTCGCGAGCCGGCGTGACTGTAAACCGCTTGGAACTAGCTCCTTGGATGACTGTCTTTCTTGCCGGATCGTCCTTTCCCACTTGCGAGGGCATGCTGGAGAATCGAGGACGCTGAAAGGAAAGAAATGAGCAATAGGAAAGTACATGGAAGTAAGTAACTTACAGGCTGTGGTGGACTCAACTGGATGGAGACCTCGTGACTCCTTTGCGAGGGTCTGCTGACTACACTGTTTCGTTGGCGACGCTCTGGTACGGGAAGATTATTTCCAATTCTCGTAGCATACAGCTGCTCCAGCCGGTGGATCGTGGAGAAACCAGCTCCAGGCGGCTGCATTGAGAAACTGTGGCGATTGCTGAGCGGCGACCAAGTGTGCTGGTAGTTCGATTCGTCCAAATTACGAAGAAATTGCCGATTCAGGGAGTTTAACGTTTTCTGATCTTCGGTGGCCAAGTTAGCAATGAGCTCGCCCAAAATATCCGACTCCGTTTCCAATTTTCCGTTCCGTGCCAGCTTAATGTCGTGTTTCCAAAATTGCCTGTTCTTGCGTCCAATCACTGGTGCAATCTCCTTGACTTTTAAAACCAGGATGCCCATCAAGTAAACGCACAGCACGTTGGAGAGCGTCAAGCACATGCTGATGCCTCCAAGCACAGCCAATTCCTTTGCCTGGTTGTCCGAGTAGCGTCGCGACTTGATCACATCCACATACAGAGAATCATCATTTTCAAAAAACTTGTAGATGCAGGCAATTGCCCAAAGAAGTCCGGAGTTCACAGCAGGAGGCAGCAGAGAGGCTGATATGGCCACGCCAACCAAGGAGCCAATGTTGCCGCCCAGGATTCCAATAGCAGCCGCCGCTCCCGAAGGAATGGCCGTGAAAACTCCGACAACTAGGGAGTGCAGATCGCAACGGGAGAGCATCTCCTCTGTGAGACCTTCTCCAATTCCGTACTTGTGATCCGTGGTGCACACCACCAATCCGAAGAGGAATCCCACCAAGGTGGCTGTGAGGATTCCAATCAGCTCGTTAAGCATTCCCAATCTACGAAGCGATCGATCCTGGATCACTGTTCCGAAAATGGCTGCTATTATTGGACCCATTAGCGGGGAAATAAGCATGCTGGAGGCCAAAAAGATCGTGCTGTTCTCCACCAAACCAAAACTGGCCAGAACTCTGAAAAGGAAAACGATGAATGCTGTTACAGGTGTGCTTAGAATTATAATTGTAAGACAATTACATCATATCAGATTTCGGTAAATGATACTACAGTTCTAAAAATGATTCATACGATGGTTCATATGACAACAATAAAAAAATATTTTTAGCTGCTGACATGAATCCTTAAAAACCATAAAAAAATACCTTGACCTTTTTAAAAAAATTTTTGATTTTAACTTTAAATTCTGCCAATAGCTAAAACAGATCACTGGCACTTAGAAGATAAGGTATATCTTTGCAATTAACATTTTAAAAACTTAAACTTAAGACTACATAAGCGGATTCTTACGCTGCTGACACGAGTAGTATGCAAAAGTCAAAGGTGATGGCCGCATCCTGGCGCACATCTCTTATGATCTGGGCCACATTCAACCGAGATCGCACAGAATTCATAAACTTATTCCAGATTCCTTGCTTTTGGGCATTGATGTTTCTGTGTAGAGTAAAATTGTTAAGTTAATATATATATTCCACGCTTTTAATCATTTTTACTCGCTACTGGATGGCTGATCATCCTGTTCCTCTGAAGTATCTCGTGTTACATAGGATCTGTTGGCCAGGCAGCTGACCACGGAAACCGCGGATCCTTCCCGATCACCGATCCCAAATTCCTGCAGAGTTTCGTAGAGATTCTCGTACCGCTCATCGAAATCCATGGAGAAGCTTATGTGGTAGGCATTCCCCTCCAAACTGGGCAGCCAAACGGCGTTGGGTATGTGGAATTTCCGAAGGATCTGTCGCAGCACCTGCTCCTGATCCGTGTCCAGTGGGATGTCAAGGAGCTGATCGTGGGATCTGCCATCGGACGTCTGAATTTGGATTTTTGGCAGGGGATTCTGGGGCTTTCCTTCCTTATGGGGAGTCTCACGCGGGGAATCCCCTATCCGAATGGTGGACAAGCTCTCGATCGTCGATGCTCTACTGGCTGTTCCAATGGGCGTAGCCACCTCACCATTGACCACTTGGGTGTATAACTTTTTCAGGCGCTCCTCCTCCGCCTTCGTGGGAATCGTGATTGTGAGGAGCACGGCGGCTGTTCCCGTCATCGCTGCGATCGGAAATGACTAGTTCCTGGTTGTTTTTTGTTGACAGCACACTTTGTAGTGAAATCGATCCGCTGCATAATCATACGCACACACTCACTCACGTGGACAAATGGACGGACCCGGCAATGCAACTGCACTGATCTTCTTTATACTGGAAGTCGATTGAAGCCTCACTTGTTATTGCCGCCACTGATAACGGTTCTTGGCTTTGTGCTGCTTCTCGCCGATCGGCCAGTCACCCGGAACTATGTCTCCCACTTGGACATATTTAGGTCGTATGGGGAGGAGAGCTTTTTTAGATCCCGCCTTTTTATAAATTTAAATATTGATTATATCCCTGTTTCGTAAATTCAAAAATTTTACCAAGTGTTAATCGTTTTCAATTTTCTAAGAAAGAGAAATTAAATAAAATTAAAAAAAAGTTAGTTAACAAAAAAACAAAATTTGTGTTTTTGCAAAACTAATATGTGTGATTTAAATTTCTATATTTACAATTTTAAATATCTTAAAAAAAACATCGTAGGGGCTGGATGCTAATTTGGTGATAAAAACAAAAGCTATTTTTAGTAAAGCCCTAACCAGACCACCAACTTCTCGGTTGCTCTGACTCCAATAATTCCAATTAATTAATCTAGTTAATAAAATGTATGTATTCATTGATTGCAAGCAATTAAACATTTTCCACTAATTGGATAATAATAGGTAAGTATGCGTTAATAACAAGTTACTCAAGTTGGCGAGAAAAGGTTTTAATAATTCATATCGCCCCCCGATTAAATTAAGGGCGCATCTTCCACCAAGCGTTATTGTCACCCGCACGAACAGGTTATATAGTAAATCTAATTAAACATTCTCGTTAATTTCATGGGTATGCTTGCACTTGAACGTGTCGACTTGTTTCAAGTTTAGCTAATTAAATACTCATGGCGTGAGTGTATCTGTGTGCGATTCTATAGAGTCCAGAATCGTGCGAATCGCAGCCAATTGGGGGATAATTTGTATGCAGGTGGGAGGGTGTCATTCCCCAGCACGATCGACAAAGAATTTAAATACAGCCAGTGGTGAAGAAAAAAGTTTATTTGATACAAAATCATCAGAGCTTCTCGTATGTACAGGCAAACGCAGCGAGAATGGAAGTGTAAATGCCACTAAAACTGACTAAACAATAGCTGAAATTGCACTTAACAAGGTTCTTTAGCAGGCTAAAAACAATTAAAATGCGTATAGGAGGCTATCATCTACACAAATGCAGATACAACTGCGTTCACGATAAAGTGTATATATGCTTACGATATACAAAAGTGCAATGCTGACATGGAAATGTGCTTTGGAGGAATCTCCGAGGCTGGATGATCTTCAGTGCCGATATTCCCGATTTAATTACTTCTCTAGACTAAGTCGACTCGTGGTTGGCTTACAAACTAATTAACAGCATATTGGGCAAAAGGCAAGGCTCAAACACAACCGTATTTCAGCTACTAAAAGCGAATCTCATTGAGCTGCACTTTATCGTAAATCTGCGGCGTGAGCAGCTCGTACTTTCCCTTCGAGTTCTGGTAGTACAGCGAGTCCTTAATCGAGTTGGGGTCGTAGCCCTCCTTCTGCAGGTCCACCTTGCGCAGCTTGAAGGTGCCGGTGAGGTCCACCTTGGTGAGCAACCGAATGATCTGGGGACGGGCGTAAGCGGGCAGCACCTTGGCCAATTTGGTGGCGAAGGCATCGAGATCTAGTTCGCGATCGGGATCGTAGATGGCGGCCATGCCGGCCCTTCCCTCGGTGTGGGGGATAGTAACGCCATACACCACGGTATCCTTGTATCCAGCCACGTTGCTGACCTGCGCCTCCACCTCGCTGGTTGAGACATTCTCGCCCTTCCAGCGGAAGGTGTCTCCCGTCCGATCCTTGAAGTACAGATATCCCTTCTCATCAGCAACCAGAAGATCTCCGGACAGGAAAGCCATATCGCCGTGCTTGAAAACATCCTTTACAATCTTCTTGGCAGAAGCCTTTTCATCAACGTAGCCCAGGAATTCACGGGAAGGATTTCCCTTGACAATCTTGCCAATGAATACACCCGGTTCGTTGGGAGCGCACAGTTGGCACAGGCCATTCTGGTCCCTAATGGGCTCTCCGGTATCCGGATCTGCACGAATAATCGAGATGGGGTAGATCTTTGGCAGAATGCGGGACACAAAGCCAATGGCTCCCACAGTGTTGTCGTGGTTCATGATGTTCGCATTGCCTTCGGTGGCGCCGTAGAACTCGCCCACCTTGGCGATGTTGAAACGCTCCACAAACTGCGGCCAAATCTGCGGACGCAGTCCGTTTCCGAAAACTAGACGCACTCGGTGCTTCTGGTCATATTCCGATGGTTTCGTAGCCAGAATGTAGCGGGCCATCTCGCCGATATACTGACCGACCTGGGAGATACAATAGCCTCATTAGTGAGTGACTTAGAATGGCAATCAATTTCACTTACCGTGGCATTGTACTTGGCGCAGTCAGCGAAATAGTTAGAGGCGGAGAACTTCTTGCGAATGGAGACCGTGGAGCCGAAGAGCACCGACTGGCCCATGCACATGATGCCTCCAGCAGTGTGGTACAGAGGCAAGGGGGTGTAGAAGACGTCCTCCTCCTGGAAGCCCATGGTGTAGTGGATGCCAGCAGCGATGAACAAATACCTAAGGAGAAAAATATAATATTAAGCATTAAAAAAGGATTACAAAGTAGCATTACATTTAATGTACTCACCGAGAGTGAGAGATGACGGCCGCCTTGGGCAATCCTGTGGTTCCAGAGGTGTAGATGTAGACGAGCTTGTCGTGGTGGTTGACCTGCGTCTTGTTGGGCTTCTCACTGCTGGCGGTGGTCAGCAGAGAGTTGAGGTTCTTGGCCTGCGGGATGTTCTTCTCCGTCTGGCTGTTGTTGTTCTCGTTGTTGAACTGGAAGAGCGTGATGTTGGCGGGCAGATCCTTGACCACATCGGAAACGGCCTCCAGGAAGTCCTCGCCGTAGATGAGGGCCGTGCAGTGGGCCACCGTGATGCTGTGGAGCAGGGAAGGTCCGCGCAGGTTCGTGTTGATCAGCGGGGTGATCACGCCGATCTTGGAGAGACCCAGCCAGGTGGCCACGTACTCGGCGCGGTTCTCCAGCAGCAGGGCCACCACATCGCCCTTCTGGTATCCCTGGGCCTGCAGCACATTGGCCACCTTGTTGGCGTGCTCGTTAACCTGGCGGAAGGTCCAACGCTGAGTCTCGCTCACGACGGCCACCTTTTCCGGATGGATGCGAACATTCCGCTCAAAGACGTCGGCCACGGTGTAGTTGAGTCTCTCATGGCGCTTCGTGTACCTCAGAAGCTTGATATAGGCCCAGAGAGCTCTAAACGAAGAAATAATTTTAAAATTACTGATCAGTAAAATTCTGTAGCTATAAGATTTAAATAATTAATAACTTTGTATACATTCATTTTATCATAAGCCCTGGATGTGTCATCGTATGTTAGTTCTCCCATTAATGGGTATTATATAATTCTTGTTTAAGTATTTCCAAGTTAAATCCTAGGTAAAACTTAAAGTCAACAGATTACTTATATGGTGGTAAATCCCAAACCTATATCATATTCCGCACAGAAGGGAAAGTGACTGATTAGGGGTAAGTATTTTAGTAGCCGGACCAGCAGTATCTTTCCCTATCGATCGCGTGTGTTTTATGGTTAGTGGTTGGGGCCAGTAAAAATAGCATACAGAAATCGAAGCTCGACAAGCGCAGCCGTGATGTGATAAAAGCAGAGATAAAGTCGCATGAAGTGGCTGCAATCGAAACCGAACGTGGTAACCTAGTCCGCGAATACCAGCCACAAAATTTATGACGTTGCTAAATTCGAGCTGAGTAATGCAAAGTTCACAAGAAGGTCGAAGTTGTAAAATAATCGCTTTTACTTAACAAGAGAGAGAGGGAAGGCTGCCCTTTAAAACAAAGCGAAACAAATCAAGCTGTATACTCGTATAGAGAAAGATTGTTTTTACTGAAACGTTTAGAAATTGTTTTTAACAAACCCTAACAACTAACTAGCACATAAATTATTTTTTTCAGATTAACATTTTCAACAAGGAAATGGAGTAATTAAGCACTTAGCTTATTAGTTTTTTAGCCTTAAAGTTAACGTTATTACACTCTACAGTATCTTATCATCGAAGAGGATTAGGGATTCACTTAGACTGTTTACTTGAACAGCAACTACTGATTGACCTAGGTACTTATATTGGAGAAGTTATCAGCAAAGGCAAGAAACATATACAATGACCTAATTCAGATAACGTTTATCGTTGATAAATTCTGAATTTCGAAGTAAACATTTTGAATCATGAAATTTTCTTTCTATGAAAGTATGGGGGTCCAATCAGTTGAATGCAGATTGAATGGGTGCCTTTCTCAAAGTCTATATAATATTTGATAATTTCTAGAGAGCTATTGAAATAAAGTGTTCCGGTCTGAAAGCCATTTTAAAGCACTTTAGTCGGAGATCAACTGAAAATTGATACGAGGTGTGCGATAAAACCAATCCAAATCGTTCGTTTCCCCGTGGCAAACACAAGCCGCAATAGTTCGATGGATCGTATATTAGAAAGGGGAAAAAACTTGCACTCGACTTGGGACTCGACCACATCGACGATCTCAATTTGAATTCGCTTTGCACCCGTGCGTACTTTGCACCTCGGGGAGGGCAGTGAAGTGTCGATAAGATTGCCGGCTAAGCGGTTGGTTTACTTAGCGATCGTTAGCCGTGTATTTATACGGCTTTAATCAGGCCTTATGACCCCCCTCGAGTGGTTTTATTTTGGTGCCTTGGAAGTGCTGCACATGTTTGCTGGCAGATAAGTAAATCTGCTGCCGTCGAGGCAAAATTCGATTCGAGACCAAGGTTGACCGGCCGGACTTAAGTTGATCTTAAGAATCTGTTGTGAGCGAAGATATATGACAGAATATATGTACATATGTACGTATATAAAAAGTTAGTAAAGCCGAAACCAGTATTGGCCTTGGCTTGCAACTTGATCTGCCGAACGAAACTCATTAAAGCACAAATTGCTGAGCAAATTATATTTCGCCTTCTTTAAGTAAAAAACTTGGGGTTTTCATAGTTTTTCTTTTGTATTCATGCCAGAAAAATGGTTCAGAAAAAAATGTATGTAAAAAATATGTATTGCAAAAGAAACATTTGGTTAAAAGGGGAAGATTTCGGTTTACTAGAAAAACTAATTTGTTTATAAACTCGATTTTTGCTTTTAACTTTAAACAATCGAAAATGAAGCGAGCAGTTTTTCTAGCAGGAACTCAATAGGAAATGTTGGTTGACTCTTTTCATCTTATTCAAAAATCAAAAACTAACCATGACAAAGCATAACCAGGTTTATAAAGACACTTCCGTCACATTAAATAAATGGTGAAGCTACAAAAATGAATTTTGGTATCTTAGTTTTAGTAGTTTTTCTGTTTTAAATTGTTTTAAATACATGGAAAACCCTTCTGATAGAAAATATTTTCAGCTATACGATAAAAATGCAATAAAAGTAGCCGTGGCAACCCTAGACAACTCAAGATACAAAACTATGGCGTCGACGACACTTCCGCCATTTTAATTGCTAAAGCTTTGGCATTTTTTTTCGTACGTTTTCAAGAACAGATCGGTTAGTGTGCCAGTGGTCTTTTCTTCCGCCTGAATCACTCGATTCGAACCGAACAATTAGTATGCGTGGAGGGTCTCGCTGGGCGACGATCGTCCGAAGTCAATGGAAAAGTAAATAAAAGCGAGTTTGTTTTGGTTATTGTTGGGCTGGGCGACCTTGAACCTGAAGAAGTCAATAAACCTCGTAATCGAGTGCCAGATACTTCTAATTTCCGTTGACAATGCGTCATAATGGTAACTATTTCCCCATGAAGTTTTCTCTTTACAGTTTTCCACTTAACAACTGGAAATGGCTGCTGCAGATGGCGACCCAAATAGATGGAAAAACGAGTTTCTCTCCGAGGTTTTGAAATACGGGGTACAAAGTACTCGCACCAGGGGCGTAGCTACCGCCGTATATGCCGTATCAATTATACGGGGCCCCCGGGCCAAGGGGGCCCCCAAAGTGTGTAAGAGTGAATATTTAAAATTTGACTTTTATTTGTAAAATGGGTCAATAATGTGATAAATAAATATTTCTTCTCACAATATTTGGTCTACCCTTGCAGAGCAAAAGGGTATTATAATTTCAGTCAGAAGTTTGCAACGCAGTGAAGGAGACACCTCAGACCCCATAAAGTATATATATTCTTGATCAGCATCACGAGTAGAATCAGAATACGTCTGTACGTCTGTCCGTCTGTCTGTTTCTATGTGAACTAGTCTCTCAGTTTTAAAGCTATATTGCTGAAACTTTTCCAAAAGGTGTGTAGTTATTGCACGCAGTATATAAGTCGAAACGGGCCGGATCGGCCGACTATATCGGATAGCTCCCATACGAGAGAAGGAAATAAAAAATTCTCAGACCGTTGTTTTTGATCAGATCGACTTGATTTCTTCAAGATGGCGTTTTCTAACTGTTTTTGAATTTCGGATTAAATTTGATCAAAATCGGATAACTCTATCATATAGCCGTCATAGGAGCGATCGAAAAATATATATAGAATTAATGGAAATAAATTGATAACATCGTTGTTTTTTATCCCACAAGCATGATTTTTTGAATATCAAGTTTTTAAAAACTCTTATATTGAGAAAAAGTTTCATAAAAATCGGACAACTATATCTTATAGCTGCCATAGGAAAGATCGAAAAATCTATATAGAAATAACGGAAATAAAATTGTAACATCGTTGTTTTTCATCAGACAACCATGATTTTTGGAATATAGAGTTTTCTAACGACTCTTGAATACCGAATTATTTCATCAAAATCGGACGAGTATATCATATAGCCGTCATTTGAACAATAGTCGAAAATATAGAAAATGAATAGAAAAATCGTCTTAGCTTCGATGTTCTTTAGCCGTTATGTATTTTTTTCGACATATGACTGCAAAGGTATAAAAGCTTCGGTTTGCTGAAGCTAGCTTCCTTTCTTGTTTTCTTTTGTGAAAAATCTTTACCTCCATATAAGGGCCCCCAAAAATTTTTTATACGGGGCCCCGACAAGGCACGCTACGCCACTGACTCGCACTCGGCTGATTTTCAGTTCTCGGATGCCTCAATGGACTCACAAAAGAAAAGCCCCCAGATGAAATATTGTATGTATATTGTTGTATTGAAATGCAAACCGCAAGCGGGCGGTATTGTAAACTTATCACTGAATTTTTGATACAGTACACCGTCGCTAAGGGCAACCTGCACTTACGTTAGATCGCGGGGAGCGGTGGCTCCCGCTATGTAGAACCAGCGCCATCCAGGCTTTGTTAGCAGCAGGGCGACAAGCGCTACGAGAACAGCAAAAATCCATCCCATTGTGTGGAGCGTGTAGATGACGCAGGCGAAAGCCAAGCCGAAAGCGACCGTTGCGCAGAAAAACCGAAAAATAACTAAAAATCGTTGTCGTCGTCTTCGCTGCCGATCGTGCGCCTCGTAAGTAATCGACGTTCGATCAGCTGTACGCTGTGTGTTGCCAGATCGCCGGAAACGGAAGCAGATATTTAAAATGGATTGGGAAACAGTTGAGCTTACATAAATCGAACATCTATACGTTTACTACCAAAGAAAACTTAAGCTTCTAAAAAGACTTAATTTTAATTAATTTTATGAAGCTTCAAGTGTAGTTTGCAATGTTCGAGTTATCAAAGATCGTTATTTGTAACTTAAGCTTACATGAGTGCTATAAAGCGCGCAGTTGTCAATGTTAATTATCACGTTGTTGTTTACATGGTTGTCCAATAAGCTGTTATGCTGTAAAAAATTTAAATTACAATATAATATTAAGGTGAGCATCGATTTTTTTAAACAAATTTTTACTGGTTGTTGGTTATTGTATTCGAATTTAAAATTTGTTTTGCATCAAAAGTTAGTATGCTAATTTACAGAAAGAAGGGTTTTTGTAACCAATGAATAATGCACTTAATTGGATGTTGCTCCATATGTTGCACCTATTACTTACAGTAAGCTCAGGCCTCGGGGGACCAATACTGGAGCTGTTGTAACGCAAACGCTGATAACGTTCGTTGCGCTGTCACAAGAATCCATTGAACATGTAGAACGGCAGAAAGTGTCGGCGAGCCTTGCGAAATAGCATTGTCCGGTTTTGTAATTCAATTACCTTTTCTTTATAAACAATAGCAGTTGGTTGTTTTGGTTTTGTAACTTGTCCTGCGCTGTTTAAGTTTATTTTGAAAAGCTTTTAATGGTGCAGTTTGGAACTAGTTCGTATTTGAGAGCTTATACTGACGTATTAGTCTGGCAGCTCCATCGCCATCAGCTGTTTTAGAACTGCATGGCAACGCTGGCCACCACTCCACAAATGTTTTGTTTTATTTAGCGGGTTTTTTTTTGTTGTCTAACCACCGCCCCGCCATGAAAATCCTGTGCGAGGTCCAAGTGGTAAACCGCACCACACAGGCCAACCGAACTCCACGGCCAGTGAAATCCACCCTGGCCATTGGCTATAAACAGAGTGCCAGGGATTCCAATGGAAACACCAAGAAGGAGCTGGAAATGGTCCTCTTCAGTGGCCAAAACAAAACAGGCAGTCGCTACAAAGTGCGCGACAACATTCACGCGGTTCACACCAAGTTTGTGTTAGATGGCAAAGCCACCATTGGCTTCCTGCAGCCAGCAGAAAACCTGCTAATCAAGTGTGATCCCATTCAGCTGAAGGGATTCCTGCAGACCCTTAGGTTGGGCATCGATGGCAAGGAAGCCATCAACTTGAGACTGAACATTGCCGCCGCCACGGCGATTCCACACAAGTCGCAGCCCCAGGTGCGCATGGTCATCAGCAAGAGGAGTGAGTACCCCGTCAAGGGATTCCCGCGCACTCTGAAATCGCTGACCATCAACAACAGCCAGTTGGTGAAGCTTAGCTTCGAGGTCTGTTCGCTGCGGAATCTTACAAAGCTGGATGTCAGCGGCAACAAAATAACCAAGGTAATTTGATTATAGATTTAAAGAAGGTTCCTTGATAACCCCTACCTTTCTGCAGATTCCCCCAGAGTTGGGTCGTCTATCCTTGACCTCTTTGCACTTGGGCAGCAATTGCTTGGGAGAAACGAACGATTGGTGCTGGCTGCGTGGCACTAAACTGAGTCAATCCCTCGGCGAGCTGGATCTGTCGAGCAACGGCCTGACCCACTTTCCTCCTCCACTGGTCAAGTTTGAGAACTTAGTCTCACTAAACCTCAATCACAACCTGTTGAGCCGACTGCCCTTTTCGATTCGTCGACTGCAAGGCCTGCGAAAACTTCACGTTTGCAGCAACAAACTGGAATCCTTACCCGCTGCCATCGAGGATCTGCACATCGAGCTGTTGGATGTCTGGGGCAATGACTTTAAGGCGTTTAATGCTGAGGCCGCTCAGCAGTTAACTCAGCAAACGGCGGGTACCAACTCACCGCAACCTTTGTGGCTAATGGCAGCCCGCGCAGTGGCCAACTATAAGCTTCCCTTGCCGGCGGGCTCTCTGCCCGCTGTGCTCATCGAACTGATCTGTGAGGCGCCCAAGTGCCTGTGTGGCCAGCTGTGCTACGCCCTTGCAAAGGAGAACCTGCTCCAAAGAGTCGTCCAACCGAAATTTACCAACATTAAGAATCTTACGTACAGCCGAGAGCATCAGATCTACGCGGATGTGGTCATCTGCGGACCCAGTTGCACTGCTACAACGCAGCTTAAGGCTCTTTTTAGCCTGATGTTTCCCTGATTGAATCAGGTGCCTGCTGTTGGCGCCTATTTTTAGCTTTAGGTTACATTAAACCAACGATTTATTTATATATTTTTAATCATTTTTTCATTGATTTATTAAAAGGCGAACAAGTTCTCCCTTTACCATTTTCATTTACAACTTCATTCCCCGTTTACAGCACCTTGTTAAAGTCAAACTGCCAATAAAAGCGAATTTACCATATACAAATTTATATTTTTATAATAATAGAAAATACATTCGCTTGCGTTAACTTAAAAACTTTTTATGAAGTGTCATGCCTTAAATGTAGTTTGGTTGGCATTAAATTTTAAAAGTTTCTGCTTAACAATACATTACTAAAATAAAGTTCAAAACTTATAATGCCTTGCCAGCAAGATATATTTTAAGAAAAACTTTATAAACTTCTAAGAGCTAAAGGCTAGTTGTATGTCAGATATGTAAGGATAATGGATTGATTGGGAGAGGCGCCGTAAGTTGGAGACTCCTTGGTGGCCCTAATCTTCCTTCCCGGTAGGTTTTCGCTGGCATAAAGACATTCACACGCACGCTTGGTTGCTTACTTTGTTTTCGTATTACAGAAGCTCGTTGTTTTTATTATTAAAAGCTTCGTGCGTATGTGACTTGCATAAACGATTTTTTATCAGCCGGTACACCTACTCACCCCACTGTACGTCCTCATTCCTTACCGTCACATACGCACATTCCTTTGATGCCCTTACTCTTAGGGATATTTTGTTAAATATATCATAATTTATTTCTGTATTTATCTTATATATTTTTGTATTTATTTTGAAATTAGTATTTGTTTAATTCAATCAAATAAAGCTAATATAAATGAAAATATTTTTGGTACCATGGAATTTTAGGTATTCATGACATAATCTTTTATATAAAAGAAAGGGTATAACCTTTTCAGCTCGCTTACACTTCTTAAGCTTTCTCTTATCGTTCTTTGCTTTTCTTTTGCTTTATCAAATCAAAACTTCGAAGCGATGCCACTTTTTTAAATAAGCATAAACAGCCTTGCAGGACCCTCCCACATCCCACATTCCCACTCGCTTTGCCAAGGCTTTAATGTGCAGCTGGGGAATAAGGCGGCGACGGCACAGATCCTTTCAGAGCGAAAAGGATGAGCCATGACTTGTGGCAAAGTCGAGCCTAACTATAAAAATGTTTATCAGCATTTGTCTGGTTCAAGGAAGATGGGCAGTGGGGGCTCGGTCTCGGGAGTTTCTCTAAGCTGCCCCAAATCCAATTTTGAGCAGCATTTAAGTGTCCTGGCACCGCTTCCGCATCCTGTGCCCCATTCCCATTCCCATCCCCATATCCACATCCATTCCACAGGCTTTCCCTTCTGTTTGCTATGCAGATGCGTGAGTTACTCCTTGGTGGTTGGAGATGCGTGTGTAAGTGTGTTTGCCCACACGATGTCCTTTTTGCTTTTCGGCCCTGACTTTGTCGCTTTGTGTGCGCAAATATTTGGCATGACTTTACATTTGCAACTCGACTCGGTCAGTAAGCCCAAAGCAGGCAATATAATCGCCTAATGGGAGGAAATCCCCGTCATGTGCATATGGAATTTGTACTTTGCCCACAGCAATATTTAATTAGAAAAACAAATATAAACTTGAGATAAGGTTAAATCTTAAAAGCATTTAAAGAAGATTCAAGAGAAAATGATTTACTTTAGCATTTAATTTACGCGATTTCAAAATCTAATGATATAGACTTTCTTGGAAAAGATTTTAAGTCCTTTTAGAATTTATTAAATGTAATAAGTTAAAACAAACAAAATAATTCGCTTTGATTTTTTTCTAAATTAAATGTTACACATCCAATATCCAATTTTGTAAATTATTTCTTTCCTTAAGATTTTTAGATTTAAGGCCTATTTATAAATTTTGGGTTCCTTTTTAACAACACAAAATTATCCCCAGCGTTTTTCCTCCCAACATTTTGGGCTCTTAAAAGTCGGCTACGCAAATCTTTTTTGTCCTGCCGCCTCAGACGCATGAAAATGTTGTTAGCTCTCAAATTTGTATATTTTATAAACCCATAAATGGAAAAAATCCCTATAAACCATCCAGACCGTATAAAAACGCTTCAAAATTTGGTCTGTCTGGCCTCCTTCCCCCGATAAAAGCAAGCAACCCCGAGTCATTTGCACTGCCCCCGGCCCAAATGAAAAGGCCAAAAAAGCAAAAGCCAAACATCAAAATGTGCCAAGTCAGCTGAGGGAATGGAAATTTAGCCGGTCCCCCCAAAAATGCCCCCGCATTAAGTCCACGCTCGCAGAGACAGTAAAAACTCCATTAACTGTCATCAAAAATGCATTTCGCATGCATCAAACCGAAATGGTAATGGCCAGGGGATCATCAAATAGAATGGAATGAAATGGCGCAAATCAAAACACATCGGCATAAATCAAAGAGCAGGGAACACCAAAAAAAAAGAAGAACAAAGTTTGGGAGACCACTTTTATGGCTAATCCTCGAAGGAGACGAAAGTCAGGGACCCAAACAGATGACTCCCCTGGCAACATTTTTATGCGCAAATTAACTTTGCAATTGCCGGGAGTTGGCCAAATTCAACTGACTCTCTGGGAAACACAGAGAGGGAAACTGATTCTGGGGTGGATGTCTGGGTGTCACTCCCCCTGCATTACATAAAATTTATCCCCAATTTGCGTGCAGCGGGTAAACATTTTATTTGCCGCGTCTGGCGCTGCTGCTGCTCCACTTTGGCTTATCAAATTTTATTAGCAGGCCGGCAAATTGTGCAACAACAACAACAACAAAAAAAAAACAACAGCAGTAAAGCACCAGCCACCACATTACGGACTAAATAAGCCGTGGAGCCACAAGCCACCCCAAAAGAAAAAAAATAAAGCAAACCGGAGTGCAGCCCCAGTTTTGCGACCTCGTCTCAAGGTATGATTTGTCGTCCGCTATCAATTTCTTTAACACAATATCCAACATCCCCCGAAAGGCTGGAAAAACGACCGGAAAAGTGCAAACACACGCGAAACTGTCGTCGACCTCCCCGGCTTTTCCCCACATTTTCTCGGCGGGACTTTGTCGACCAGACGCGTGCAGGGATCTAATAAAAACGTTTTGATAGGCTTATGACCGCTTTCCATGGGGCCAGGACCCATTCCTTTGGTCGCCGTATATTTGTCTTGATAATATTTCAAATTTACTCGCTAACTGTTACAGCAAATTTAGATAAGACCCACAGAAAATCAATAAACTCGCTTAAAGACTTCCAAAGAAGGGTGGAAAAGTCGTTTACCTTAAGGAGTGACTGAAGGAATGCGCAAAGACGGAAATCTTAAGTTCAAGGTGTGGTAAGCAAATATTTAGTGTGTTTTTACACACAAACCATGTAAACAAAAAATACTTGAAAAAAAGGGCCTACAATCATCAATTTCTAAAAATGTTGAAAGCCAACTATAGTAAATGCTAGCTAAATAAGTTTTGTCAATTAAACATTGCGATAAATGCGAATTTGTATATTTAAGTTATACATAGATAAAATCAAATAAGTGAAAAACTTTTTGAAAATATCCCTAATAAATGCAGTGTTCAGATCCACATCAATTGGCAAGATAAGAAAACCAATCTGTTCCAAGCAAAAGCCGCCCAAATTAAGGATATCATTCCCTTGTATTTTTCATATTTACGACTCCCAAAAAAAGGCAACCAGGAATGTAAGGCACAAGGATGGAGAATCCTTGAATAAGGAATTGAAAGTCACTCAGGCGCACTTATGTTGGCAAATGGCTTGTTAGCTTCCCGAATCAAATTCGCTTATCGGAAAAACGCTACCAGGAATGCTTTTCCATCTGACCGCGGGCCAAAGACGAATCAATCGCACAAAAATTGACCAAGCCGCGCAGCAAACGGGGAAAATCAAATTCAAGTCAAACAACAAAGAATTGCGAACACTCGAGCATTGGGAAAAATCAATTTTCAATTTAAAATTTAGATGCTCATCCCCTCGATTCCATTCAGCTTGCCATAAAAGATAAAGATAAAAATGCGTTCGAGCGCAAAATGTAAATAGAACTCCCGCTTAACGAAAACTCAGGCAGGCGAATGAAAGCTACAGGTTGTACTCGTATTTGTGTTTGTCTTTCAGCTTCGGTGGGCGATGGGCGGTGGGAGGTGGGCGGCATTTGGCAGTGGGTGGTGCTGTTGGCCACGGAGCGATTTCAAAGCAAAATATTGCCGCATAAATCTGACGCAAAAAAGTTTTGCTTTGCGGTCAGCAAAGGCGAGCTCTCTTACAGGGAATTCCGGAAATGAAAGGGGTATATAAGACTGGTCATAAGCTGGTGAAATACTGAGTGAAAATTCTTAAAGGTCATAGAGATAAATAGGGGAGCATGGGGCATTGTCGACACTTTTTTTCAAAGTCGTTTTTCATAGTGAAAATATATTTTTTGATAATGTAATGCATATCGTTGTATTCGAAAAGATCTGGCTAATAACATTCAAAAAGTTTTTTGGTCTATTGTCAAGGGGGTGAGTGTGGTAACCAAAAATCTGAAGTGTTGTCAAATTCAGAAATTGAAAAATCGTGGGGTAAAGTCGACACCCCCTGGGGCAAAGTCGACACATACCTGAAACTCGAAGAAAATGAACACAAAATCATAAGGTATCAATATTTATTCGTCAATAAGTAAAATGTTTACAAAATACAGCCATCTACCCATCACTTCCTTTTCAGCCAATTAATTAATGTTCCTCGGGGAATGTCTTACATTTCAGCTGCCTTTTTTGCAGCTAAGCCTTCCGATCGTACTGCGTGGATGGCCGTTTTGATATTTTCCACGCCTACGGGAACCGTTTTCCTTTTATAATTGCGTACCATTGGGTGGCAAACATGGCAAAGTTGATCAAAATTCTTCAACGCATTCAATTTTGTTCAGTACACAGAGGCAAACACGCTTTAATGTCGGTGTCGACTTTAGCCCACATACATAGTGTCGACAATGCCCCACACGACATTTTTGCAAACAAGTTACATAAAAATCATGATAATATAATAAAATTTTATGACGAGTG